CGACACTGGCTAGCGTTCTACTCGGTACCCGCTTATACACGGTTTGAAAGGGGCGGGGCTAAGGAGAGGGCGGGGTTATTGTCTCGGTTGACTGATTCTCGTATTGGTAAAATGTTCAATTCGAGTAATTTAGTAAAGAGTATGTTGACGTCATTGTCAGTGAAAATTTTTTCCTCGCCAGATGTTCTACATTGGGCAACTTAAATGTGAAGTTTCTGCTTGCAACTCAGTTTTTAACTTATTTTTTCTCTGGGATTCAATTGAGGATGGTAAGGTGCCTCGTTCAGTTTGTATTTGACCGGGAATATACATTTATTTTCTTGAATTATTACATGAATATCAAGTTTTGATTCGTTTGATCTTCTGGATTCCTGTTCCTCCTAGATTATAATTTTTCAAAGAAACTTTGAAACAGTTGCGCCAGTTGTTGATGAATCCAACTCGATGACGTTTTGACAATCATCCCGCGGGCTTCTTCAGAGTTTATCCGACACTGGCTAGCGTTCTACTCGGTACCCGCTTATATACGGTTTGAAAGGGGCGGGGCTAAGTAGAGGGCGCGGTTATTGTCTCGGTTGACCGATTCTCGTATTGGTAAAATGTTCAATTCGAGTAATTTAGTAAACAGTATGTTGACGTCATTGTCAGTGAAAATTTTTTCCTCGCCAGATGTTCTACATTGGGCAACTTAAATGTGACGTTTCTCCTTGCAACTCAGTTTTTAACTTATTTTTTTCTGGGATTCAATTGAGGATGGTAAGGTGCCTCGTTCAGTTTGTATTTGACCGGGAATATACATTTATTTTCTTGAATTATTTCATGAATATCAAGTTTTGGTTCGTTTGATCTTCTGGATTCCTGTTCCTCCTAGATTATAATTTTTCAAAGAAACTTTGAAACAGTTGCGCCAGTTGTTGATGAATCCAACTCGATGACGTTTTGACAATCATCCCGCGGGCTTCTTCAGAGTTTAACCGACACTGGCTAGCGTTCTACTCGGTACCCGCTTATATACGGTTTGAAAGGGGCGGGGCTAAGTAGAGGGCGCGGTTATTGTCTCGGTTGACCGATTCTCGTATTGGTAAAATGTTCAATTCGAGTAATTTAGTAAAGAGTATGTTGACGTCATTGTCAGTGAAAATTTTTTCCTCGCCAGATGTTCTACATTGGGCAACTTAAATGTGACGTTTCTCCTTGCAACTCAGTTTTTAACTTATTTTTTTCTGGGATTCAATTGAGGATGGTAAGGTGCCTCGTTCAGTTTGTATTTGACCGGGAATATACATTTATTTTCTTGAATTATTTCATGAATATCAAGTTTTGGTTCGTTTGATCTTCTGGATTCCTGTTCCTCCTAGATTATAATTTTTCAAAGAAACTTTGAAACAGTTGCGCCAGTTGTTGATGAATCCAACTCGATGACGTTTTGACAATCATCCCGCGGGCTTCTTCAGAGTTTAACCGACACTGGCTAGCGTTCTACTCGGTACCCGCTTATATACGGTTTGAAAGGGGCGGGGCTAAGTAGAGGGCGCGGTTATTGTCTCGGTTGACCGATTCTCGTATTGGTAAAATGTTCAATTCGAGTAATTTAGTAAAGAGTATGTTGACGTCATTGTCAGTGAAAATTTTTTCCTCGCCAGATGTTCTACATTGGGCAACTTAAATGTGACGTTTCTCCTTGCAACTCAGTTTTTAACTTATTTTTTTCTGGGATTCAATTGAGGATGGTAAGGTGCCTCGTTCAGTTTGTATTTGACCGGGAATATACATTTATTTTCTTGAATTATTTCATGAATATCAAGTTTTGGTTCGTTTGATCTTCTGGATTCCTGTTCCTCCTAGATTATAATTTTTCAAAGAAACTTTGAAACAGTTGCGCCAGTTGTTGATGAATCCAACTCGATGACGTTTTGACAATCATCCCGCGGGCTTCTTCAGAGTTTAACCGACACTGGCTAGCGTTCTACTCGGTACCCGCTTATATACGGTTTGAAAGGGGCGGGGCTAAGTAGAGGGCGCGGTTATTGTCTCGGTTGACCGATTCTCGTATTGGTAAAATGTTCAATTCGAGTAATTTAGTAAAGAGTATGTTGACGTCATTGTCAGTGAAAATTTTTTCCTCGCCAGATGTTCTACATTGGGCAACTTAAATGTGACGTTTCTCCTTGCAACTCAGTTTTTAACTTATTTTTTTCTGGGATTCAATTGAGGATGGTAAGGTGCCTCGTTCAGTTTGTATTTGACCGGGAATATACATTTATTTTCTTGAATTATTTCATGAATATCAAGTTTTGGTTCGTTTGATCTTCTGGATTCCTGTTCCTCCTAGATTATAATTTTTCAAAGAAACTTTGAAACAGTTGCGCCAGTTGTTGATGAATCCAACTCGATGACGTTTTGACAATCATCCCGCGGGCTTCTTCAGAGTTTAACCGAAACTGATTAGCGTGCTACTCGGTATCCGCTTATATACGGTTTGAAAGGGGCGGGGCTAAGGAGAGGGCGCGGTTATTGTCTCGGTTGACCGATTCTCGTATTGGTAAAATGTTCAATTCGAGTAATTTAGTAAAGAGTATGTTGACGTCATTGTCAGTGAAAATTTTTTCCTCGCCAGATGTTCTACATTTGGCAACTTAAATGTGAAGTTTCTGCTTGCAACTCAGTTTTTAACTTATTTTTTCTCTGGGATTCAATTGAGGATGGTAAGGTGCCTCGTTCAGTTTGTATTTGACCGGGAATATACATTTATTTTCTTGAATTATTACATGAATATCAAGTTTTGGTTCGTTTGATCTTCTGGATTCCTGTTCGTCCTAGATTATAATTTTTCAAAGAAACTTTGAAACAGTTGCGTCAGTTGTTGATGAATCCAACTCGATGACGTTTTGACAATCATCCCGCGGGCTCCTTCAGAGTTTAACCGAAACTGATTAGCGTGCTACTCGGTATCCGCTTATATACGGTTTGAAAGGGGCGGGGCTAAGGAGAGGGCGCGGTTATTGTCTCGGTTGACTGATTCTCATATTGGTAAAATGTTCAATTCGAGTAATTTAGTAAAGAGTATATTGACGTCATTGTCAAAGAAAATTTGTTTCCTCGCCAGATGTTCTACATTGGGCAACTTAAATGTGAAGTTTCTGCTTGCAACTCAGTTTTTAACTTATTTTTTTCTGGGATTCAATTGAGGATGGTAAGGTGCCTCGTTCAGTTTGTATTTGATCGGGAATATACATTTATTTTCTTGAATTATTTCATGAATATCAAGTTTTGGTTCGTTTGATCTTCTGGATTCCTGTTCCTCCTAGATTATAATTTTTCAAAGAAACTTTGAAACAGTTGCGCCAGTTGTTGATGAATCCAACTCGATGACGTTTTGACAATCATCCCGCGGGCTTCTTCAGAGTTTAACCGACACTGGCTAGCGTTCTACTCGGTACCCGCTTATACACGGTTTGAAAGGGGCGGGGCTAAGGAGAGGGCGCGGTTATTGTCTCGGTTGACCGATTCTCATATTGGTAAAATGTTCAATTCGAGTAATTTAGTAAAGAGTATATTGACGTCATTGTCAAAGAAAATTTGTTTCCTCGCCAGATGTTCTACATTGGGCAACTTAAATGTGAAGTTTCTGCTTGCAACTCAGTTTTTAACTTATTTTTTTCTGGGATTCAATTGAGGATGGTAAGGTGCCTCGTTCAGTTTGTATTTGATCGGGAATATACATTTATTTTCTTGAATTATTTCATGAATATCAAGTTTTGGTTCGTTTGATCTTCTGGATTCCTGTTCCTCCTAGATTATAATTTTTCAAAGAAACTTTGAAACAGTTGCGCCAGTTGTTGATGAATCCAACTCGATGACGTTTTGACAATCATCCCGCGGGCTTCTTCAGAGTTTAACCGACACTGGCTAGCGTTCTACTCGGTACCCGCTTATACACGGTTTGAAAGGGGCGGGGCTAAGGAGAGGGCGCGGTTATTGTCTCGGTTGACCGATTCTCGTATTGGTAAAATGTTCAATTCGAGTAATTTAGTAAAGAGTATGTTGACGTCATTGTCAGTGAAAATTTTTTCCTCGCCAGATGTTCTACATTGGGCAACTTAAATGTGACGTTTCTACTTGCAACTCAGTTTTTAACTTATTTTTTTCTGGGATTCAATTGAGGATGGTAAGGTGCCTCGTTCAGTTTGTATTTGATCGGGAATATACATTTATTTTCTTGAATTATTTCATGAATATCAAGTTTTGGTTCGTTTGATCTTCTGGATTATAATTTTTCAAAGAAACTTTGAAACAGTTGCGCCAGTTGTCGATGAATCCAACTCGATGACGTTTCGCCGATCATCGCGTTGGCTTCTTCAGAGCTTAACTGAATCTAGCTAGCATTTTACTCTGTACCATATTGGCAAAATGTTCAATTCAATTAATTTAGTAAAGAGTATGTTGAGGTCATTGTTTTCTCCCCCCCCCTTCTCTCTCTTAATATTTGCAAATCTTAGCCCATTCCTCAACAGTGAAAATTTGAATGTGACGTATCTACTTGCAACTCAATTTTTAATTTATTTTTTCTCTGGAATTTACTTCAGGATGGTAAGGTGGCATGCGTACAGAACTTTATGTCCATGTTTTCTTAATACCTCATCCAATTTATTTTCTTGAAATATGTCATAAATTTCAAAATTTGGTTAGTTGCTGACATTTCGCCATCATCATTCTGTTGGCTTCTTCCGGGCTTAACTGAAACTGGTTCACGTTCTACTCGGTACCTACGTATATATGGTTTGAGGGGGCGGAGCTAAATGAGGGGCGCATGACTGATTCCCATATTGGCGAAATGTAGAGTTCGATTAATTTAATATAGAGTACGTTGACGTCATTGTTTGCTCCTTTAGCTCCGCCCCCCCCCTCATACCGTATATAAGCAGCCCTGAAGAAGGTAACGGGATGATTGGCGAAAGGTCAGTGTATTTTTGAAAATTTTGCTGTGTTCTTTGCTTTAGAAAAGTAATGGCGAGCCATTTGCCGATGTCGACTCGGCGTTTACGCTAGCGTATGCGGTGATCATGTTGAACGTTGATCAGCACAACCAGAACGCAAAGAAACAAACCACTCCGATGAGCGACAGGGCCTTTAAAAAAAACCTTCAAGGATGTAACGGCGGTAATGATTTCGAAGAGGGGATGTTGGATGAAATTTACAACACTATCAAGTGAGTGTCTTGGAAAATTTGTGTAGTTTTAAGTTCCATAATCAGAGTGAATCAGATGGGTTATAAAAGCCATGTGTTGTTAAAAAAATGTGATAGCAATTGATATAGCAATCGGCTTACTTTTAAACAACTGTATATCAAACCAGTGATACGATTTATGTTAAAAACCAACTATTATAATATCAAAATCAATCATGCTATTAATTGACCCTGGGTCTGCTGCCCAGCATGATGTGCAGAAACAGCGCAGGACGTCTTAACTTTTGAAATTCAGGGTGATAAAGTTTTCAAAAATAAAATATATTCTTTTAATATCTTTAGATATTTTAATTGAATTTCAAGAGGCATTATTTAGTGTACATCATTTTTCAAAAACTGTTTACGAGACCAAAAAAATTCTTGAAGCAGAAGATACGGTTCTATAAACTTTTATTCTTGACAATTTTTCAAAAATATACAGGGTGCGCCGCAAATTCAAAAAAACTGAAAAATGGTGGGTCCCCCTATTATGGAAAATTGGTTATAACTGAAAGACTATATTGCGATATAACCCGCAAAGATAGCAGAAACTTTTATTTTTAAGGTTTTCACCTGTTGTACAGGGTGTTCCCGTGCTAAATGAGAAATGTGTTAAGTGTCCTAAATTTGCAGATATAAACTTCAAATTTAGCAGAGAAGTAAAAGTCCGTGTCCATATTTAAACGGTAGAAATTGGGCGCAATCAAATTTTACCAAGTATTGTTTAAAAATATTTGATTTTTTTTTTTTGGTAATTTTAGCTTCCAGAAAAATATGTTTTCCTCCATAATCGATCATCCGATCGGTAAAATTCTTTAACCGGCAGACGCAAAAGATCCAGCGCAATAACATTTATTTCGGGTATTTTTTCGATTATATACAGGGTTTTCAAATTATAGGCAAAAATCTGAAAGACCTAGAAAATTGTTTTTTTATAGAGTAAATTATTAGCCGCAAATCAAAAATCGTAATCACATAAGCTGCCCGGGATATTTGAAAAAATCCATATTGATATCGTTATTTCGCGGGCGGCCAAGACGCGATGACGTCATTAATTACTACGGCGCACTGCATGGTTTCAGAAAAAACTTATTTTTTTTTTTAAGGACTATTTGGTAACTAAAATTAGATATTTTGTTTTGGATTAATTTTTATTTAAAGTTCTCGATTTAACCAGCACAGTGGCGATCTAATTAACCAAAATATTTGTTTTGTTTATATTTTTTTGTGGTCCGTGGAAAATAACTGCGTGCCGTCATATTAACGATATTCTTATGCCCATGCGGAGAAGGGGTTCACATTTTTTATTTATAGCGAAAACCGTATATCGGATTGAAAAAAATCAAGAAATTAAATTTCTTTAGAAATGATTGAAGATCGTAAGAGAAACTGGTGTATTTTTTAAAAAACGCGGTACACTAAATAACGCCTAGACTAGAAAATAATAACAAAAACTGTATAAAATAACTTTTACATTACATTGCTGTTAACACTTATTGGGCACATTATCAAAAGTTAACAATTATCGACAATATTTTTTTGAACAAACTAAGATACTGTGTGTTTGCCCAGTAACCTTGTCTAAACAATTAAGGGCTGTTTTTCTCAATCCTAGTACCAAAAAATTATTGTCGATAATTGTTAATGTTAATGCATTATTATTTCTTCACCTACAGGAACAATGAAATTGTAATGCCCGCGGAACAGGTGGGCATCGTGAGGGAGAACTACCTCTGGAAGGTTTTACTTCGCAAGGGTAATTCCAAGGAAGGCGTTTACGTGCACGTACCCCATGGTACTTACGATTCGGAACTGTTTCGGATCATTTACGGACCCATCGTCGCGGCCCTATCCTTTGTCTACGAAAAATCGGAAGACTCCGCGGTTTACGATAGGGCCATGCTGGGTTTCCAAAAATGCGCCTCCGTTTCCGCCCACTTCGGCATGTCGAAGAATTTGGACATGCTTATCCTTTCCCTCTGCAAGTTCACGATTTTCTATAACCAAAGGAGACAGAGTAATCTATCGGTGGGCGTATAAAGCGTGGTAAGTATAAAGCTTGCATTACCGTCTCCTTCCGACAGGTCCAGTTTGGTGGCAACCAAAAAGCTCAACTGGCTCTAAAAACGGTGTTTTCTCTGATACATCTATACGGCGATACGATAAGGGAAAGCTGGAAGTACATCCTCGATCTGATATTGTCGTTGTATTCGAATAATTTGCTCCCGAAAAGTTACGCGGAAGCCGAGGATTTCATCAGTCCGAATGGGAAAATCGCGTTAGTCTACGAAGAGACGGAAAACCCCCAAAAGCCGGACACAGGCGAGTTCGAATGTTTATAACCTCGATAAAAGCTGTTACGCGTTTATACCTCGTCAGGTCTTTTAAGCTCTCTATACTCTTACATGGTCTCAACGGAGAACCTCTCCAAAAATCCCACACCCGACGAGCAGCATTGCATCGAGCTGACCAAGGAGTGCATAAAAGACTGCAACTTGGATCAGCTGATAACCGACTCCAAGTTTCTCCACGAGGACGCCCTCTCGGAGTTAATTAGGGCGTTCATTGAGCTTTGCAGGGGTCCGGATTTTCAAAAAAACGTCGGCTACAATTACAACGAAAACGTTACCGTGTTCTTTATGGAGCTGATGTTTAAAGTGGTCATACAAAATCGGTAAGGAAAGCGCCATCTTTCGATCAGGATCTTAATAGCGTAAGGGAATGAGTGAAGGGCGGTTAAATGATAGTCTCGACGTTTGATTTGACATCTGTATCTAGAAAACCACGAGGAAGTGATTAAAAATTTATTTGGTTCAATAAGAAACACAGAACAAAAATTTTAATTATAAGCCAACTTTCCGTTTTTCACATTTTTCTGCAATAACATTTAAATTTAGCAATGGTTGTCATTCAGTTCGAGATTAAATTGTGTTCTTCTAAAAACGAGTGTTTCAATTCAAGTCGGGCAATTTAAACATGTCGCATACAAGACAAAAAGTATTTTTTTAAATATACAGGGTGTTCAAATAGTGTGTCGGAGTAATATATCTCAATATCTCAAAAGTTATTATTTTGAAGTGTGGGGAAAACCCACCTGTACATTATTGCATTGCAATCAGCGAGTGTTATGGTCTATACCTAGTGTTTTCGGATTTAAGGCCATTTTTTCGTCAACATACGACAGCTACAATTATGCCACACTATAATATACGAGGTGAGTCAAAAAATAATAATAAGAATATATTAATTTTTTTTGAAAAAAAACAAATAAAGCACTCTGTATATTATACTTCACTCCTATTAATGGTCTTTCAATTTTATTAAGCATCCCCTATACCCAAACTTTGTATTTTTTGACGTATACGCATTTTTGCGAACAAAACTCCTAAAACGTGTCAAACTATGAAAAAATCTTGAAAATGAAAAAATAAAAATAAATAGGTAAATTTTTAGTTTTGTTAAAAAAAAATTTCCTTTCTTTCCATTAATTTAGAAATTATGCCTTTCTTAAGACCCAAAATATAATTGAAGATCGCGTCTTTTAGTGCAGACACCAGTTGACCATGCAAATCTAAGTTTGCCGTGCAAATTTTTATTATTATTGTTATTATTATTATTATTATTATTATTATTAATTATAAATATTATAATAATTATTACTATAATAATAATAATAATAATAATTATTGTTTTTATTAATCATTAATTAATTAATAATTATTAGTATTATGCCCATTCGTCTAAAGCAGTGGTGAGAAAACTTTTTTTAAGACGGGCCATTTGTAATAACTAGACGATCGTAGCGGGCCAAAGAATAATACTTAATCGTTAAAAAAATTATGTGTTTATACATATATTATTACATATACTTATTATTTAAATAGTAAAAAAGCGAAAGTTACGAAAATTATAAGCACAAAATATTATTCGCATATATAAGATGAGCCGAACATTGTCATTATCTTCATTGCATGAGTAATTAGATTTGGGAAATTATCTTACTTTGCGTAGAATTTAATTATTTGGGGTTTTGTTAGGAAAAAAACTAAACAATATTTATTTATTTATGTATGTATTTATGCTTAAATCTAAAATAAAATTACAAATTATTTTTACTACCTACTTAAATTACTTAAAATTATTTACATAATATATCAGTATCACTATCGGTATCATCGCCTGTTCTAATTATTATTTGCAATATGGATATACGATTGTTCTGCCTTTTCTGCGTAACTTTGTGGAGGGATGTTAAAAACTTCGGTTTCTATAAGTTTGAGGACATTGGAGTTAACACGGGGAAAAACATTATTACGACAAATGGCATATTTCAGTTGGTGCCAAACATGTTCAATGGGATTATTATTATTATACAGTAGTAAGGTGGAAGCCTAAAAACTGAATGCCCTAGATTTTTTGCATAATTATCACAGGTTGTAGGTTCAAACTTTGTAGAACCTAAATTAATTGCTTTTTGGTATAATCTTCGTGAAAGTAATGGGGTATCACGGACCACAATTTTAGCTGAATTTAAATTCCGAAGCTTTAGGTAATAATCTTGTTGCATTGTATGTTAATGACCACCCTTGGATGGTCCTATTCAAAAGCAATTGGTCACTTTCTTATATCTATGAACAGACTATACCCGGCGTCTTAACATTCCGCCATAACAACCCTATATCGAGTGATCGAGTATAATAGTGGAGAGTATACTTCGACCAGAATTATAGTGCTTTTACAACCGACCCCGTGCTTATTAAGGCATTGTAAACTACTTAAAACGTCAAATTGTAAATGGTTCAGAACGATGGTTTAACAATATTGTTTCGTTAGCAATTAATATTTCTAGGGATCGGGTAATGACGGTTTGGCATTTGGTCCGCGACCACATCTACACATTGGTCATGAACGCTTCCGTCTTCGATTATCAGTTCCTGCTCGAACGTTCGGTGATCGGTCTATTGAGAATCGCCATACGATTGATGAGAAACGAGGACATGTGCCCCATAGTCATACAATCTTTGCGGATGTTGCTCTTGTTGAAGAGCAACACGCTGTGCAGGATCTCGCGGCAGATTTCTTTCGGTTTGTACGAACTGTTGAAGACCTCCGCGCAGAATATTCACAGCAGCGCGGATTGGACGATCATTTTCACGTTGCTGGAGTGCGTCGGGGCAGGGGCGCAGCCGCCCAGGCCCGTGGCCGACGACGGCAGCTACATAGATCACGGTAAGTCACAAAGAGGCCTTAAAAGTTTTTTTTCCCGAAAAGTCTGTTTAAAGGTTAATTTCGATAGCCCCTGTGTAATTTTAGAGAATTATAAAGATACTAGTATACTCGGACCAGAATTATAGTGACCTACTGTTTATTACCCTTTCATGAAAAAATATAATGTTAAATTGCAATTACCAGTACAAATTTAAATATTTACTGAAGTTTGGTGTAACTTTGAAGTTCGACGAGATGTGAAGGACACTTTATACAGGGTGTATTCACAACAAAATGACATCGATTTTGCGAAAGTTCCATAGTGGTCCGCTGGAGCACGATAGAAAAACAACGCGTCCCTCTAGGACAAGAATAAGCAAAGCGCCTTCTTTTTAAAATAAAAAGCTGATTCGCGCTACTTGCGATGAACTTACCCCGCCCAGCGACGATTTTTTCGAAAGCAATCTTGTTTTTATTGCTGCTCCTACTTCCTCTTCTGAATTTCTTATAAAATTGTAAACATTCAAAACAATTTGTTTAGCATCCGAAAACAAATGAATCCTTTTTTTTTTATTTGCTCAGGTAGTTCGTCTTCAAATTCTGCATCGTAAAAAATAAAAACCAGTCTCTATAAATTATAAAAAAAAAATAAAATGAAATAAGCACTAATAAAACAAAATATTATTTACCTACCTGTATTCGTTTCTTGCTGCTTATGACAAACATCATAGCGTGATTTAAATCTTTGAACTATCCTTGAATTTTTTTCCGGCAGCTTTTCAAATCTGGATCTGTTGCCAGCCATTTAAATGTTTCCACCTAATGCTGTATTTTCCACCAGTTCCACTTATAAGTGAGACTTATTTTACAATGAAAATTAAAAAAAAAACAAATCGCGACAGAAATTTTCCTGCAAAAACGCTTTCTGACAAATACTTAGTGTGTATATTGTACTATATTGTTTATAGTGGCTTAAAAGTTTTTGTAATTGTTACAAAAAAAAAAACGTAAAATACATATTCGTATGAAATTAAAAAAAATCAATTAAAATAAAAAAAATCTGAAATTTCATGATTTTCCTTTTAAATCAATGATTTTTAATTCTTTTTATAAAAATCAATGTTAGCCCAATAATGTTAGTAATTCTTCACGTGAAAAGGGTTTTAAAAGTAAAAAACATATTTTTCTTTATATCGCTAATATCTGCAGGAACGAAATCCGACGGTGAAAATCAACGAAACAGCGACGAAGAAAACGCCAGTCCGGACAGGGGCTACACCTCCGATTCGGAGCTGACCAAAAGCCCCAAACACAATCAGGAGAGGTCCCAGAGCCCTATTATTCTTCCCGTATCCCCTGTAGGCACCCCGAATACGGGTGGTTGGATTTTGGTATGTACAACACCCTCTCTGGATCAAGTCAACCAACTTGGCTGCTCCTCAGGTGGGTAATGAGGGAGAAATTCAACCGGTGGTGGGTCGAACCCTGCCTCCCACCCAGTACAGTATAGCTTTGGAGCAGAATTTGGGACCTCACGATCCCATCAGTTTGATCAAGTGCTGCGAGAGTTTGGCGTTTTTGGTTCGAGACGTAGCTCACATCACCCCGTACAATTTCGACATGTGCGTGCATTGCATCCGGACTTTTGTTGAAGCGAGCTTACAGGAGAGTGAGTGAGAATTTTCGATGTGTTTTGCCATTTCCAAAACTTCTGGTTAGCTTTCTACTCTGTACCCGCTTATATATGGTTTGAGGGGAGGCGGAGCTAAAGGAAAGGCATGTTGTCTTTCACCACAACTGACGGGAAGGGATAAGGATTGTTTTTTTTTTCTCCACTCGCGTTATTCACAGTTATAGTGTAGATTGTATAACCAAAAAATAACGCACGGGTTCGGTGTAAGACACTGTAGGGCCTTTAGAAATTTAAACTGTATTAAGCAACTATGTATAGCATATCTCCTTCTTGGAAGAAGAGTGGCACAATTTTTCAGAGAAGCTATTTAAAACATTCATTTAATTGTAATTCCCATTGCTGAGTAGTAACATTCAATTTGATTACACAAATAAGTGGAATAAAAAGAATTGATGAAGGCGCATTCTACTGCGTACCTGCTTATATCCGGTCTGAGGGGGGCGGAGCGTATTGGTGAAAGTCGCGGTTCTATAGTTTCTCAGAGTTTTTGTTGGTAGAAGAATTGACAGCTTAAGCTTTTGTATGTACGGTTTTTAAGTATTGTACAGGGTGTTCGCGATATTCCCGAGCAATATTAAACACCATAATAAGTACTCCAAATTTGCAGCTACCGATTTCAGACTTGGTAGAGAAGTTGAAGTCTGGACCCGCATTTACACTCTTTAAATTGGGAACAATAAAATAACGCGAAGTATTTTTTTTAAGTTTTTTTTTTGTGGTTATTTTGGCATCCAGAAAAACATCTTTTCCTCCAAAGCCATTCATCCGTTCGAATGAAGGAGCACGATAGAAAAACAATGCGTCCCTCTAGGACAAGAATCCGCGAAGCGCTTTCTTTTTAAAATAAAAAGGTGATTCGCGCTATTTGCTACGAACTTTCCCCACTAACCGACGTTTTTTCTAAAGCAATTTGTTTACAGAGTACCAGAGCCACTGGGCCCAGAATTAAAATACCTTACAACTAAAATACCACACTATTCCAACGTGTCCGAAAGCAACCTTACATTACATCGCTGACCACATATCAAAAGTTCTTAAGAAATATAACGTCAAAATCAGATTTATCCGAGACTTCATAGAAATCTAGTAAGCTCCGCCCCCTTCAAACCATATATAAGCCGGTACAGAGTAGAAGCTCTGAAGAAGTCGACGCTAGAGGGAAGTTTTGTGTGCATCTATTGTATTTAATGTTGTTCTCTAGCTAGGAAAAGTAAAAAGTACAGCGAGAGAGAGTCTAGGCCTAGAAAAAAGGCTAGTTTACATAGGCGAACGGAAGCTGTAAAATCCAGGAGCCCCGCGAGCAGCCCCGACGAGGAAGGGGACAGCGATAGCGACGATTTCCCTAGCGGGTATCACCATTTGGTATAAAAACCGACAAAAACACCGTCTGTTGTCATGTTTAACGTTACATCGTTAGTTGCTAGATCTCATGCACACGTTGCACACGAGGACGGCCCAGATTTTCAAGTGGTGGGCCGAGGAAGGGGGCGAAATTGCCCAAGAGACGTCCCTCTGGACGCAAGGCTGGTGCCCCCTGCTCCAGGGTATCGCGAGAATGTGTTGCGATAGACGGGAGGAGGTAAAATCGCACTGCCAGATCCCAGGGGCGCAAAATAAAAGCGTTCGTTTAGGTTCGGATGAGTGCCATAGCGTTCCTCCAGAGGGCGCTTTTAGTTCACGACTTGCAAACGTTGAGCGGTCAGGAGTGGGAACAGTGTTTCCATCGAGTGTTATTCCCATTGCTGAATTACCTGTTACAGCAGCCGGTCAACTCGAAGGAGCCCGTGTCGATGGCCGAATTTCGAAACAGGGGCGCCACCGTGCTCTCCAAGGTCGGATTTTTTTTTGTCTGTTCTCTGTATCTTTGTATACGGAACCTATTTTTGGTCGTAACTTTTGAACCGATTATGGTAGGGGGTTGAAATTTTGCTCCTTTTTCACCGTCCACGATCGGCACAACATATGCAAAAATGGCCGCGATCGGATTCGGCGTTCATCTTTTTTTTTTTTTTTTTTTTCGATTTTCGACTGTTTTTTGCACGTCGCTATGAAACGCGACAAGTGTCCGAAGTTTGAATCTATCGATTTGAAATTTTGCAAGAGTTTATGGCCTAGACTCGTGAAACTATTGAAATTGAGAGGGAGAGGGTGATAGGGAAGTATTTTTTTAAATTCGAAAACCATTTTTTTTTTCAAACACCAAACGGACGAGAAGACGCAGAATGTTGATGCTCATAAACCTTTGTTCTTGACAATTTTTCGAAAATATACGCGGCCTGCCAGTATTTCCAAAAAACTGAACATTGAGAAAATTGATTGTAACTTAAGTACTGTCGGCGGGTTCTTCTACATGGCAGTTTAGCCCATAGAGAGAGCTAAAACTTTTGTATTTAGAGCGTTCGCATATTATACCGGGTGTTCGAGATATATCGTGTTATGCTGAAAAATGCAGCAAGTGCCGGAAATTTGCAGCTTTTGACTTCAAATGTGGCAAGGTAGTAAGAGTCCACCTCGGCATGCAAGTTATAAAAGCTAGGCGCAATCCGGACATCGGCAAATATTTTTTAAATGTTTACGAAAATTTTTTTGTGGTCATTTTGGGTTGTACGAAAAATTCCTTTCTCGAAAACTGTTGACCCAATCGGCAAAATTCTTGAACTATAAAAGGTGGGAGATCTACTTAGGACTATAATCTTTGTTTTAGACATTTTTTCGTTTATGCACAGGAAAATCTAAAAAAAAGCATGATAAATTATTAACCTCAAATCCAGATAAACAATAATTGGGATAATTTGGTCTAAACAGTATCGTAAATTGTGTCGAGAGGGAGTCTCGGGTTTCGTCTATCATGCAGGGTGCGCGAGATATTTAAAAAAATATATATTGGAGATCGCTATTACTAGTGAACAAATTTTAATATTTACCAAAGTTTTCCTTAACTTTGAAGTTCCGCAAGACTTAAAAGACACTTAATACAGGGTGCATGCACAATAAAATTACATCGATTTTTGCGAAAAACAATGCGTCCCTCTAGGACACAGCGTCGAAAAAATTTTTTTTTGTCTGTCCGTTCTCTGTTCTTGGACTTTTTCGACAATAACTTCCGAACGATTCGAACTAGATGGTTCAATTTTTTTTCGTTTCATTGTTGGCACACATAGGAAGCTTGGTTCCCTGACGGCACCTATTGAAATTGGGGGGTCGGGAAGTATTTTTAAAAAATTCAAAATCGCGTTTGCAAGGATCTAAGAAAAAAATCATTTCTCGAAAACGCTTTACGCGACAGAAAAAAATCTTAAACGAGAAGACGCATAATATTCGGCTCCATAAAATGGTATTCTTGAAAATTTTTCAAAAACGTACCGAGTGCGCCGCAAATTCAAAAAAACTGAAAAATGGGTCCCCCTGTTACTGAAAATTGGCTATAACTGAAAGACTGTGCTCCGGATGTCACTTTTATATTTAAGGTTTTCAACTGTTTTACAGGGTGTTCAAGATATTAAGTGCTATATTCAAAAATTGTGCCTTAAGTTTGCAGCTATCGACTTCAGATTTGGCAGAAGGGTGGAAGTCCACACCCCCACTTCATCTGTTGAAATAATACTAATTCAAATCTCACAAAGTATATTTTTTTAGTATATTTTGACTTCCAGAAAAAAAATATTTTCTCGAAAACTGTTAACCCGAATGACAAAATTTGTGAACCAGGATATGCGGAAGATCCGGATCTATAACTTTTATTTCAGGCATTTTTTCCATTATATGCAGGATTTTTCAATTATAAACAAAAATCTAAAAGACCCTTTTCCAGAGTAAGTTATTAGCCGCAAATCAAAATTCGTGAAATATATGGCTAATTGGTTTAAACAGCGTTATAGGCCACATCGAAAGCTACATTTTTCGTATTTACGGTTTTCGTCTATCACACACGGTGTTCGAGATGTCGTGCTTCTTTTGATTTTTCGAAATCAATCTTTGTTTTTGTAGGTATTTCTCCATCACCTCACCCCCCTACTCACTCTGCCGACGTTCGGTTCGCTCTGGAACTTGATTCTGGATTTCATGGATAAGTACATGCACGCGGATAAGAGCGACATACTTTACGAGGCCATTCCGGAACTGTTAAAAAATATGCTTCTGGTGATGAACTCGGCGAAAGTTTTCGACGGGCCGGACGGAAAAAACGCCCTGTGGCGTTCCACTTGGGAGAGGATCGGGAAATTTTTGCCCGATTTGAAGGATGATTTGTTCAAAGAGCTCGAGGAAGCCAAGCCGCAGGAGGTCGGTTGCGAATTATATTTATATTAGATTTGTGTACGGCGCAAGTTTACATTTTCAGGGTCGACAAGATAACCTGTTCCCTAAACCGGTGAATCCTATGCAGCACAACATAGAAAATATCACCAGATCAAGCATCATTTTGCAGCCCCCCACTTCCCAGCAGCAGGTTTCGTCCCATTTGTTTTCCCACCTTGGCCAGGTATGGAGTGAAGGTGGTTAGTTAAGCCAAAGTCCTTCATTTCTGGCACACCACATACACTTTAAAGATACCTTCGAACATTCAGCGTTGCCAGATTTTTTTTTTAGCCATTTGAGCCCTTAATATTGATAGCGAGAGGTCTATCATTTAATCCAGGCCAAAACGGCCAAAAGAGCGGGATCTTAATATATTCTTGTATATATAAATATAAAAAAAAAATCATCAGGCGAGTATTTTCGAAGAAATCAAGCCTTAAACATTAGTAGGTTTTTTTGTGAATTTTACTGCAGGCAACTCGATATTTATTAAAAAAAAAAAAGATTTTTAGATACGCTCTACAAAAAACGTCTCTTAATATATTTTTCATAAAGTTGTTTTTTAAAAAGTTATTCACGGTTGAAATCCTGGGCCTTTTCATTTTGAAATTTTGTAACTAATAAATTAATATACAAAAAAGGAAAAAAAAACAATATTGATTTTTAAATATGCTCTACAAAAAAGATCTCTTAATATATTTTCCATAAAGTTATTCACGATCGAACTTGAAAAAACCTAAAATCCTCGTTTTTTTCACCTTGAAATTTTGTAACTAAGAAACAACTTAATATACAAAAAAGAAAAAAATGAACAATATTCATTTTTAAAGGGAACTGAACGATCTACAAAAAAGGTCTCTTAATATTTTTTTATAAAGTTGTTTTTTAAAAAGTTATTCACGACTGAACTTGAAAAAATGAAATCTCCGTCCTTTTCATTTTGGAATTTTGTAACTAAGAAATAACTTAATATACAAAAAAGGAAAAAGAGAACAATATTGATTTTTAAATATGCTCTACAAAAAAGATCTCTTAATATATTTTTCAGAAAGTTATTCACGATTGAACTTGAAAACCTAAAATCCTCGTTTTTTTCACCTTGAAATTTTGTAACTAAGAAACAACTTAATATACAAAAAAGGAAAAAATGAACAATATTGATTTTTAAAGGAAACTTAACGCTCTACAAAAAAGGTCTCTTAATATTTTTTTATAAAGTTGTTTTTTAAAAAGTTATTCACGACTGAACTTGAAAAAATGAAATCTCCGTCCTTTTCATTTTGAAATTTTGTAACTAATAAATTAATATACAAAAATGAAAAAAAAAAAGAACAATATTGATTTTTAAATATGCTCTACAAAAAAGATCTCTTAATATATTTTTCATAAAGTTGTTTTTCAAAACGTTATTCACGATTGAACTTGAAAAACAGAAATCCTCGTTTTTTTCACCTTGAAATTTTGTAACTTGGAAACAACTTAATATACAAAAAAGAAAAAAATGAACAATATTCATTTTTAAAGGGAACTGAACGATCTACAAAAAAGGTCTCTTAATATTTTTTTATAAAGTTGTTTTTTAAAAAGTTATTCACGACTGAACTTGAAAAACAGAAATCCCCGTTTTTTTCACCTTGAAATTTTGTAACTAAGAAACAACTTAATATACAAAAAAGAAAAAAATGAACAATATTCATTTTTAAAGGGAACTGAACGATCTACAAAAAAGATCTCTTAATATTTTTTTATAAAGTTGTTTTATAAAAAGTTATTCACGACTGAACTTGAAAAAATGAAATCTCCGTCCTTTTCATTTTGAAATTTTGTAACTAATAAATTAATATACAAAAATGAAAAAAAAAGCACAATATTGATTTTTAAATATGCTCTACAAAAAAGATCTCTTAATATATTTTTCATAAAGTTGTTTTTCAAAACGTTATTCACGATTGAACTTGAAAAACTGAAATCCCCGTTTTTTTCACCTTGAAATTTTGTAACTAAGAAACAACTTAATATACAAAAAAGAAAAAAATTAACAATATTGATTTTTAAAGGGAGTTTAACGCTCTACAAAAAAGGTCTCTTGATATTTTTTTATAAAGTTGTTTTATAAAAAGTTATTCACGACTGAACTTGAAAAAATGAAATCTCTGTCCTTTTCATTTTGAAATTTTGTAACTAATAAATTAATATACAAAAATGAAAAAAAAAGAACAATATTGATTTTTAAATATGCTCTACAAAAAAGATCTCTTAATATATTTTTCATAAAGTTGTTTTTCAAAACGTTATTCACGATTGAACTTGAAAAACTGAAATCCCCGTTTTTTTCACCTTGAAATTTTGTAACTAAGAAACAACTTAATATACAAAAAAGAAAAAAATTAACAATATTGATTTTTAAAGGGAGTTTAACGCTCTACAAAAAAGGTCTCTTGATATTTTTTTATAAAGTTGTTTTATAAAAAGTTATTCACGACTGAACTTGAAAAAATGAAATCTCTGTCCTTTTCATTTTGAAATTTTGTAACTAATAAATTAATATACAAAAATGAAAAAAAAAGAACAATATTGATTTTTAAATATGCTCTACAAAAAAGATCTCTTAATATATTTTTCATAAAGTTGTTTTTCAAAACGTTATTCACGATTGAACTTGAAAAACTGAAATCCCCGTTTTTTTCACCTTGAAATTTTGTAACTAAGAAACAACTTAATATACAAAAAAGAAAAAAATTAACAATATTGATTTTTAAAGGGAGTTTAACGCTCTACAAAAAAGGTCTCTTGATATTTTTTTATAAAGTTGTTTTATAAAAAGTTATTCACGACTGAACTTGAAAAAATGAAATCTCTGTCCTTTTCATTTTGAAATTTTGTAACTAATAAATTAATATACAAAAATGAAAAAAAAAGCACAATATTGATTTTTAAATATGCTCTACAAAAAAGATCTCTTAATATATTTTTCATAAAGTTGTTTTTCAAAACGTTATTCACGATTGAACTTGAAAAACTGAAATCCCCGTTTTTTTCACCTTGAAATTTTGTAACTAAGAAACAACTTAATATACAAAAAAGAAAAAAATGAACAATATTGATTTTTAAAGGGAGTTTAACGCTCTAAAAAAAAGGTCTCTTAATATTTTTTTATAAAGTTGTTTTATAAAAAGATATTCACGATTGAACTTGAAAAACTGAAATTCTCAATTTTGTCACCTTGAAATTTTGTAACTAAGAAACAACTTAATATACAAAAAAGAAAAAAAAACAATAGTCCTTTTTAAAGGGAACTTGACCCTATACAAAAAAGGTCTCTTAATATTTTTTTATAAAGTTGTTTTTAATCCAGATTGAAACGATAACCTCATTTTTTTTCAAAAATAATTCAAAATAATTTGCGGCTGCGTTAACCTTGCCGGCCAGTGTATTAAGGGCTTTTATAAATAGTTTTTTTTTTGGTCCGGGCGTTCGATTGGTAACGGGCCTCACGTTGCAGATGGTGTCGACCCCAATCGGATCGACGCACCCGAGCGAATCGATAATATCCGTGCCGAAACAACCCGAAGCACTAACGACGATCGTGAACTCGGTACCAAACTCAGCGCCGCACATTATGCAACCAACTTTGCAACCGGGCATGCCCTACATGACTAACTTATTGACCGAGACGAGTCCGACCACCCAACAGCACACGTTTCCGGTTTTGTGTAACACTCCCGCGATGGTACCCTCCACCACTACCACGGAAGTACAACCTTTGTCACTATACGCCGAATATATGGGCAATCCTTATACCATTCAGTCTAGCGGAGCGCCAAACGAGCCGGCGCGGATTAACGTCGACCAGACAAAAGCGCCATCTGTGAATTATTTCCAATCATCGAATTACTTTGGTAGCAACGAGGGCGTACCGTTTATTCCAACGAGTGCGGAGATATTTTTCGGAGCCAATAAGAACGTCCAGAACATTCCAGTTACGAGCGACGCCGATGGTGGAAACGTGTGATAGCGTTACCAAAATGTGATCTACCGATAAACGAGAGTGACCTAAGTGATGTCGAAACTTTGCTAGATATGGGTATTGGATGATCGTCATTACTGAACAACAAAAAATACTGATACTAATTTAAGTTTCCATTTTTCAAGGGGTGGTTTGCGGTCTATGGTGGATTTAGTCTACTTTTAGGCAGTTGATGAATATGAAACGACTGCAACTCTCATACTGTTTACGAATCCTCCCCTGAGTCGGTTGTTTATAAATCAAACTCACTTTGTTGGCCTCTTCAGAGTTAACTTATTCTACTCTGTACCAGCTTATATACGGTCTGAGGGGGGCGGAGCTACACGTTGTCTCGGATGACTTGATTCCCAGAAGTATGCGACGGGGAAACTCGTCTTACTCTTACAAACAAAAAGCAGCAGTAAGACTAATGGCCAATATTTCAAGTCGCTAACATGATGGGTCGATTTAAAAAAAAAATCGAATTCTCACGTTGCCTTGTTTATATATCGCTGCTCCGGCAGAACAGTGACCGAACCCCAAAAAGTATAATTTTTCAGAAGCAAAAAATGAAAATAAAATTTTGGTATTTCTCCCTAAAACTTGGCATGCATAATTGTGACTTTGAAAACGTTGTATTAGCAAGTTTTATATATATAGTAAGTTTTACCATATATATTTAAGGATTAATGATGACTTAACTCAATTTTCAAAAATTTTGCATTTTATTCTTGCATGTAGTCAATTCTTCTACCAAACAAAAATCCGCGACTCCATAGAAATGTATAAGCTGCTCTAGCTCCGCCCCCCTCAAACCATATATAAGCAGGTACAGAGTAGACTGCGAGCCGGATTCAGTTTAACTCTGAAGAAGCCAACAGTATGATTGGCGAAACGTCAGCAAACTCTATTAATCAACCATGTAAGCAGGAAGTTTTGTGTGGGGAAGTTTGAAAAAAAAAAACAAATGAAAGGAATAAATACCCTACCACGCGGCTTCCTTCATTCCGTCGTCAAGATTTAATTTCTTCGCATATTTACGAAACTATTTGTACAGGGTGTTAAAAAAAATGCCAAGCTCAATAGAAAATCTATAAGCTGCTCTAGCTCCGCCCCCCTCAAACCATATATAAGCAGATACAGAGTAGATTGCGAGCTAGTTTCAGTTTAACTCCGAAGAAGCCAACAGTATGATTGATGAAACGTCAGCAAGCTCTTTTAATGAACAATCTAAGCAGGAAGAATTGTGTGTGGAAGTTTCTTTGAAAAAAAAAAATGAAAGGAATAAGTGCCCTACCACGCGATTTACTTCATTCAGTAGTCAAGATTTAATTTCTTCGGATATTTACGAAACTATTTGTACAGGGTGTTAAAAAAAAGTGCCAAACGCTCGGCTGGTGTGATTTCTTTATAGTTTTCTTTAGTGTTTGTTTTTAAGAACTAAGATTATCGTGTATTAACAGTTCGAAAAATCAACGTCCACAAAAATATTTATGTCAATTTTAATGATGAAAGATAAGAGTCAAAAAAGTCCTTCCGGTATTAAAGCGAAATTAGCTGGAGCAAAAAATATTTTACATATTTATCAATTTATATGGATTTCTTTTCTTTGTTCGGATGGCGACTCTCTAGACTAGCGTTATGGCACATTTTTTGAAACACGCTATATAGAGATTCAAACTGGAAGCAATACCATATTTAGAACCAGATCAGGCTTGTATACTTGAATTTTCTTAGTTAATTAACTAAGGACAACAAATTATAACCATGTTGGGTATGTGCTGGAATTAAAATAAATAAAAATAAATTAACAAATTGGGGGTCTCAGCTTATAATATAATTTTCTAATATTAAAAGCCTCCTAAATATTTTTTGCAATATGTCTCGTAATACAAAATTGATCGTAAATCTGAGATGTGAACTGCCAATTTAAAATCAATTTTTGGAACCAAAACATCATCAGGCACAGTGCCTAAAGGTAATTTCTCTGCTTATTTTCGAAAATCAGATTAGATAAAAACGAAAACACGTGTATAAGAGAAGGAAAATTAAACTTTAATTTTCCAAATATTTTCGTATCAGATAGCATTTTATTTTTAGTTAATTTACGAATAGTACCCCTCTCCCCTACCTGTGTTATTGTCTTGTTGTCCCCCACACCGATATCTAAACATGGCCGTAGCCTTGTAACATATTTTGTGCAATAATTTTGTATGATATGTAGGGTGAGTGCAAAAGTTTCCCAACTCACACCATAGGCCCAAAGAAACGAATAACTGACCAGTTTCTATTCCAAGAGCCAAAGTAGCAAAAACCACCGTGTATTATATTCGACAACTGTTTTGCCTTTATGTTTATAATTTAAAATGTAGATTTATTATTGTTACCCGAAAATAAAAAACGTACACAATTATAACAGCCCTTCGTGTTAACCTACCGGAGCTTCCTAAATGTTGACATTAATCAATAACTTCGTTCGGATGAGATTGCTGCTTTTTTCCACCTACCTCCTACATATACAGGGTGTTTTCTAATCGAATCTCAATAATTAAGAAAACTTCATATGAACATATGCCCTAAACGTCAGAGATGCGGGGATGGTACGCCATATACTGGGTGCCACAAGAAAGTGGGACCACTATAACTTTTAAACCGCTTGAGATGGCGATTTTAAATTTGGAATTGACAAATTTTTGACAAAACACTTTCGGTTTGACCGGAAACGGCAGTAACTATAAGGAATCGGTGTACGTAGGATAGGACGGTTTTTTTTTTTTTTTTTTGTATCTAGGAGGCAGTGGCGACCATCATACCGTTTACCGTTTAATTTTACGAATTACTGTAAATTATAATAATAAACGGTCTTTATTGAAAATCAAAATATTCCAATATAAGTAACAATACAAGAGTGGCGACATTATATGGGTCTGTGAAATATGGTCATACTTTCTGAGATTGTAACTAAAAACGGATACAAACATTCTGAAGTCGTTGAAGTTTATCCTTATCTCGATTAAGTATAGCTGGTCAATAGACAAAACTGCAATAGCGACATGGGATGAAACTAAGTTATCACAGAGTTTAAGTTTGACTTCATTACTGAGAAAATGTTTATGAATGTACAACTTATAGAAGGACTTTTATAACACCAAGCCAGCATCTGAAGAAGGAGAAATAATCTCATCATTTAGTGTAATGTGAGCTGTATAAACTGAGAAGAGGGGGGTCCAGAATACTCCCCTAGGAACACCCTTTGGTAACTCTGACCAAGAATTTTTTTTAAAAAAGAAAGAGTACAGTACCTTTTATCCCGAAGAATTCCAGTTTAGCTAGGAGGAGGAAATGATCGAAGGTGTCGAATGCTTTGCTAGAGTCCAAGAGTCCATTAGTAACATGAAGCAAGACAGAAGTAGTGACGAAGTTGTTTAGCTGCAATTTTTTCAATAATCTTTGGAACGGGTATAACTTCAGCTTGCTTCCATGAGTCCGGAAGAACCCCGGTCAGCAGACACTTGGTAACAAGGAAAGTAATATGATCGACTAAATGTGGAGTAGTCAAAAGAATCATTTTTATATCAATATTGTCTGAGCCATGAGCGTCAGTTTTAATACTAATTAAAGTTTTTTTAACTTCCTCAGAGTAAACTTTAGCAAAACGGAATGAATTAGAATTAGAACGAAATTGTTTATTAATATAATTTGCCGACACAAACCCCGCATCAATACCACCAACAGCTCCAACAGAAGTAAAAGCAACTTTAAAACTATGAGGATAGCCAAAATTGTTTTCCAACATTAAAGTAGGATTACTGTGCACTCGAAGTCTCCTCAAAGAACGTGTAAGGATAATCAAATAAAACAACGTAGTGTTACGGGGTCTTGTCAGATATGACGTAATAATATAAATATCCTAACATACGCCAAAATCTATCGCACTTATTTAATTCAAGTAAATACAAAACTCCAGTTCCAAAATAAGTGAATGTGATGTTTTGTGTCAATGTCAAACTTGTCTTACTGAAACACACGTTGACATACCACTCAAATGGATTCTACCGACATTGTTCAGGTTTTATTTTCTAACATATTTTCGAAATATTGTGTTGAATTATCCCAAAAAGCGACAGATTTTAAAAGAAAAAAAATATTTCTATTCTCTTGTGCTTCTGAGTTTCCGGTAAAAAGCGCTTGTAGTTTATGACGTACGTATGAATTGTTGCAGGGCGATAAGCACAAGCGGAATTCGTTACTTGTATCAACGTTTGCCAATAAAATAAGTACGTACAAAATAACCGGCCGTTTGTTATACAGAAGTTACAACACACAACCTTTCACATGACGCGCACACGACAGTCAAGTACAGAGACAAGAAAATCAAAATATCTACGGTACTGAGAGGCAAAGATAAAGAGACGTAAACGCAATATGTATTGCATATTACTTATACAAATAAATGTACCTAACACGCAAAGTATTGTATTCCAACATAAATAAAATAAATAATTCATAAGTTTTAATTTTATTAAACTCTAACAAACCTTTACTTAAAATGGTGTTCGACATATAGTTTTACATGGATTGACTAGGATGAAATCAGTACGGTTTCTAATGTTATAGTCATGAACATTCTTAAAGTAATTAACCCTACTATCAATGTATAGCGGAATCATTTTATTTTTTATCTTAAACATTTTGTGAGAACTTCTCATTATATAATCACAATGTGCATCAGAATTTAATTGTGAATCTAATACAATTCCCAAATATTTTAGATGTTTCTCATACTGCAAATTAACGCCATTTATATTAATATTAACACTCTCCAGATCCAAACCTCTAAATCTGTGTTTTTTGCCATACAAACAGAACTTCGACTTCATGACATTAATGCTAAGATTATTATTGCAAAGCCATACAAATACTCGATACATGTCATCATTGATATCTCGCTGCATTTCTTCGATATTCTTACTAACGACCCCTATCGTCGGCAAATAATGTAATTTTGCTGTTTTTCACAACTTGAGCTAGATCATTAATATACAGAAGAAACAATAATGGCCCCAAAACGGTCCCCTGTGGTACCTCATGATCCACCAAGATAGACTCATACTTTTCCTTTTGGTGTTCTGCCAGATAAGGAAGATTTTAGCCAATCTAGGGCTAAGTGCTAAGACCACCAAAGATGACTCCCATTTCTCTGCGTTAGTTTTTGACTGTATCCCCGTATTCCAAAGGCATATCAATACTTTACCATAATTAAACACTTTCAACAAAAAATTGTAATTCTTGTCGAGAGCTTCTTCTGCATTTTTAATCTTACCGACTTTACAATTAATAATGAATACAAGCAAAGCCACCTAAGTATTATTTTGTTTTTATAAAAATCTATTTACTTATCTGGTTTTTTCCTTCCTCCGAGCTTATTTTTTAACGGAGTTTGCAAATTTTGGTGTCAAAATGTTGCAAAAAAAGTACCGGTTTTTGTTCCCACTAGGGTGCTATTTGAAAAAACTAGATTATCCTAAAAAATTCATAGTTCATTGCCATTAGACAAGTGAAGAGAAGTTTAGTTTACAATTTTTCCAATGATCGGATGACCCGGTAAATAGTATTTATGATGGATCCTAGACACAATTTTCAAAAATTAAAAAAACAAAAAAAAGGGGAAAAGGGGAAAATGATCTCCTGAATCCAAAAATGCAAAAAAATATAGGATGGGCCGTTTAAAATTAGAAAGTTACTGTCGTTTCCGCTCAAACCGACCATTTACTACATATTGTCAAAAAATTGGACATTCAGCCTATATTAACCCTTTCAAATTTCAAATCACTATCTCAAGCCGTTTAAAAGTTATAGAGTGTTCCCGCTTTCTTGTGTCACCCGGTATATAGTACCGGTAAAATTCCGTACGCCCGCCACTGGTGAATTTAAAAAAAAAATGTGATAGATATAAGAATGTGACCAATTGCTTTTGAATAGGATTATCCAAGGGCGGTCATTAACATACAATGCAACAACATTATTCCCTAAAGTTTCGGAATTTAAATTCAGGTAAAATTGTGGTCCGTAATAGAAAATAATGTTATACCTACCTATGTTTAATATTCTTTGATTTGATATACTACTTAGTTTAAGTTTATTAGTAATCATTCTTATTTCGTGTGTTGAATCGTGTGCGAATTATGCAAAATATTCGCACACGCATTCCTCTTGATACTTAATACATGTATGCCAAATTCCATTGAAATATCCAAAGTGGTATTACAGATATAAAAAATACAATTTATTTTTGAACATTTCAACACCCTGTATCTGAAAGGTTTTGGTTAATTTAGTTTAGTTATTAAAATTTTTTGTTGTTAAAATTGCCCCAAATATCGCGCCTTAATTATTGACGTTCGATTAGAAACCACCCTGTATTTGACATTCACAAGTTTCGCAAAAGTCCATTCAAATTGAATAGTTTAATGGACTGATATTTCAATACGATGAAAGCTCACAGGCGCATATCTACATTATCAGCGATTCTCACGTAAATATTTGCTCAACTAAGAGGGACGACTACGTAAGCAAATAAGCTTCCATATAAAAATCAATGCTACTGATAAGTTGACGCGAAGTACACCTTCGTTAGTAAAATATTGACACACGGTGGCCCGAACTAAAAAAAATAAATGTAAAGAAGTTTCTTGAGCACAGTCGACATGAATGACACGTACGACGATGACTATGACGGGTTCAATATCAGCGGTCAAGATATTGAATATATGGGAGGGGTGAGTGGACTTTTGTTATTCCAATACAACGAAAACTAATTGTTCTTTCAGATTGATTACCAAAGCGAGGTGTTCCCGAACACTATTTGGTACACTAAAGGCCCCCATGAACTGATTATATTTTTGGCTACGTTTTTACCGGTCGTTTCTATAGGACTGACAGGTAGTAATTTTTCAGAGCAAAAGGTGTTTTTTTTTTGCAAAGAAACTCAACTATTTACAAATCTTATATAAATCAAACTAAAACCAGTTCGCATGCTACTCTGTACCTGCTTATATATGGTTTGAGGGGGGCGGGGCTATAGGAGTCCGAGTCACTGAACCCAGAATTAAAAAACCTCTTCTCTCTAATACTATCCAAAGACCATTAAGCGTTCCATTGCAAAATTCACTTCACCACAACCTTGCAAAGGCAACCACGCCCATGCAGTAAGTACTTTGACTTGATGTCAATGATGATATTATGACGTAAGGGCGACAGAAATGTCAATAAACCTTAACATTTGGTGTGCAGAAACACACTCTAAATCAATTTCAAGCAAAATGTCAAAAGGCCTTGTAAATTTCAATAATTGGTATTAGTTAAGGAAAAAATTGAAATAATGCCAAGATTTTCAAACAAGAAACATAACCTTAGTATAACTTTTTTGCGACTAATCTCAATACAACGGGTTTAGTTTTGTTTGTTGAATAACTTCGAAATGAAATTCAACGGTAAGTGTTAAAGCAAATAATTTTTTTAAACTAAAAATATTCAGTTCTATGGCATAAAATTTCTTTTTGCGTTTACTTTTTTATGGCCTTTAAAAAACTGTTTTCATACATACCTCAACTTACAACAAAGACGCTTAGAGGCTTGAGCGATCCCTTGTCATTACCAGAAACAAGCTTTTTTTTTTAAACCTAAGTTGCTAATAGAAATAATTTTTAATATTTCAGTTTTTTGGAGGGTGTAACAGACCTTATAGTTGAAGTTCTTAGTAATATAATAAAGTTTCCTGAAACAGAAGAAGTAAAGATCCGTGAGAAGCAATTGTAAGTTCGTATTAAACTGCAAAAAAACTATTATTTGTTTATACATTTTTTTTACGGAAATGAGTGGTTGAACTCATATAGCTATAATTTTTTCAAAATTTGAAAATCCTGAAATGCCTGCCATATTTTATTGCAGGAAACAATATTCTAGTTCAAACGTTCACATAGTAAGTAAACACTCTAAAATGGCGACGTGTTTTTTTTTGCTTGTAGGTTTGTAACGCAAAATTAAAAATATTAATTAACGCCAGGCGAATTAGCCCAATATGATTATGGGAAATGAAAACTAAACAATAAATATAAATGCAATTTTTGTATGTACTACAATTTTTTGGCAAACATACTTAATTTTCTGCACTTGCCTTTGGATTCTTTCGATTTATTATTTGTTAAATTACAAAATAAAAATGTAGACCGCGGTGCACAGAAACAAATATAGGTTGGGTTTCAGCAAATCCTTAAGGCAAACTTGACTTTAATTTCAATAATCTTAAAACAAGGTTCGTTACAGCATAGCAATTTTTTAAATATTGAAATGAAAGTTAATATTTATTGCAATTATTTCAACGTTGACGTTAAAGTCAACGTATTTACTGCATAGCCGCAAGCAACCCCTCACTTGTCACTATTGTCCTTCCTTACATTCAAAACATCACGGACCACATAACAAAAATATCAACTAGGTTCAAAGAACATGAAATCTTATTAGATAAAACTGAAATTCTTGCATGTAATCAATTCTTTTACCAACCAAAAACCCGAGAATCTATAGAAATCTACGGGCAAGCAAATTTTTACCTTTTAGCTTTAGCTCCGCTAACCTCATACCGTATATAAGCACTAGAATGCGAGCCAGTTTAATTCAACTTAATTTAATGCCAGCGAGTTTGATTTATAAGGAATCGAAAAGTTGCGTAACTAGCGCAACAAATAAAATTGCTTATAGGAAACATATTGGTGATATATGTGTTAGCAACCGACAGGCATTGCAGAAACCCGACCAATCTTCTAATCGGTAACATGGCGGTGGCAGACATGTTCTCGTTAGTATTGCATCCGTGGGTGATTTTCGTATACAACTACTTCCAAAATTACCAGCTCGGACCCGTGGGATGCAAGGGAGAGGGGGCGTTAGAATGCAAGTATAGCCGCAACAAACCTCACAAATCGATCGCAATCATAGCTTCTTGTCTCAGGCACCATCCTGATTGCGAGTGTCATAAGCATGTCTGCCATCACTTACGACAGACTTACGGCTATCGTGTTGCCGAATGAAACCCGCATCAACAAAAGCCGAGCCAAAGTAATTATGGCCCTGACCTGGTTAATAGGCCTTACACTTTCGATACCTTTAATAATTTACAGAACATATAAGGTAAATAAGACGGCTCCACCCCTGCTATTTCTTTAGGACAGTGTGTTAGATGATACAGGATGATGATACACGGATATTTAAAGTATTTTTTAAGTTAGAATGGAAAATTGATTAAAACCCACCAAGAATTATGGGTATGGCGGCTGCCTTTTATATTTCGGGAATTTCTTAAACTAGTACTGCCACCTGGCGACTAACGTTTTTATAGCGAAACTGACCACGTTGAAACTCTTTCTTTGGTGAAAGGTAAAACAGTCAATTCTGAAAGGTAAACAATCATTTGTTTGCCGATAGTATTCAAAGAAATTAGACAAATTGCTAGCTCTAACTGATGCAACCAATGCAAGTGCAAACAAAGAACTTCTTGAGCATAAAAAACGTTGGTTTGATCAGCCATCAACCTGATTTAGCGCCTACATTAAGAATAAATTTCGTGGGCATCGATTTTTGACACCAGAAAAAAAGCATGTTTTGGAGTTGCCCGCCGCGATGTGGGAAAAGTGCTTTGATGATTCAGGGTAAATATTTTGAGAAACAAAGCCATATTTGTTGGTAGCTTATAGTTTCTTTATTACAAATTCCGAAATATAAAAGGTTGCCCTCTCATAGCTATTAAGTTTGTAGTTTATTTTGTAACGTCACCATCAGTTAAACTTTCAACAAGATTAATAAAAATGTTATATGTTATCAAAAAATCGTTTGGACTAGTCAACAAGGTTAAAGACATTGAAATTCCTACGAATTATTAACTAATAAATTTCGAAACGCCTTTGATACTGAATTTTTTTTGTTAAAGTCCTTTTTTTACAGAAAATGGTGACAAGTTGTCTAAAACAATAGTAAAACTTGCACCCTTTCACCTCTTAAAAGGAAATAGTACTATCCTTCATGAGGAACAAGGAGCAAAAAAATTGTACGACGTCCAAGAACAGAAAGTTTCCGACTGTTCATTTAAATTCAAAGATGCACAAGTTAATTTTGATATTTTACTTAATGCATCAACAAAAAGCAAAAATCTAATTTTTTTGGAAACTATGGTGATTAACAAAACGTGATATGAATTAGATTTAAATGGGTTTCCTACAATAGTAACTAACCAAAACTTGGTGTTCAAAGAAAAAAAAAATACACCAAACATCAAAATACCACTCAAGACGAGACCAGCAAATACTTAGCACTTAATAATTAATGACGAATTGAACACAGAAAAATAAAGGAAAAAGATTACACCAGTGCTATAAATTAATTATAAATTATAAATAATTTTATCTCATCAATATCTTTAGCTCATCGAAACACACTGTCAGCCAATAAAATACCAATGAATTATAAAAAATAAACAAATACCATAATGAAAATAAATAAAATACCATTAAATTACTTTCTTTTTGTCAAACAACTAAATAGTTACAGTACAAACAATACTCCGAATAAAAAGAAAAAAAAAAGCCTAAAATTTAATGAAAAAAAAAAGTAAAAAAGAAATAATAATAATAATAAAAAATTAATAATAAATATTTTGTGTTTGCTATTTTTTTAACGCTGTTTTTCTTTATTATGTTTATGTTTAAATTATTGTTGCGCTTCGTTGAATTTCTTGTCTATGATATAAGAAAAAAAATTTCAGGAACGCATATGGCTAAATTTTGACGAAAAATACTGCAACGAACACATCATAGTGACGAACATGTACTGGTTCGTGATCATAACAGTACTGGTACTGATTCCGCTCACCATCCAGATCATATGCTACACCTCGATCTTCATAAAGGTAACGAGGCAACTGGATCGACGTCGATTTAACATCGAATCAGCATTTTAGCTGAACAAATACGAAAAAATCATAGCGAAATCGTTTCAATTCCACCAGTTGGGTTACAAGCGGAGCGCTGCCAAAATGATTTTCATAGTGATAGTGACATTCATGGTATGCCGTATTCCGTATATGGCTTACATCTTCTACCGCCATCGGCAAGTGAAAGGATCATCGTCCGGTACAATATCCGACGTTAAAAACCAGGTGAGTTTATTTATTTACATAACAAAACACGTGCTGGTAAACAGGTTGCCTGTCAGTGGATATCCACTCCACAGGGATTGCAGAATTTGGAGTGTCCCCACTTTCGGTCAGGGTTTACGAAGGGACCATTGTGGACTATGTGAACTGTCGACTGTTCCGAATACTGCAAATGGGGCACCAGTTTTGGCGTTATTAAAAAATATTGAGAGGTGTTCGGTTGGCTAGTGGTCTCAACTATTAGCTCGAAGATTCTTCGTTCATTGTTCGCGTCCATGCCTGTAATAAAAGCAAAATATTCAAAAAAAATTTAAGTGCTGAATACAAATACAATACCATAAATTACGTATTGTCGAAATAGATCTTTTTGGTGTCATTTAAATTTTATGTCATATAACCGTCATTTAAGAGTTCTTCGTTAAATAAAACATTTTTATGATGATAAAAGATATAAATATAATAACATAGCACATCTTATAACTGGGAGAAACTTGAACAAAAAAACTTAAAACATTTAGTTTCTAAAATAAAACGTTATGAGATTAAGAACATTTCCTAATAGATACCGAATTTAACAAATTTCATCACATATCATTGTCATAATCTGATATTTCCGTAAAATTTATTGATTTTAAGCCACAATATATCATCATCAAGAATGTCACGTCGATATTTTCTATCCAAATCATGTGCTTCTTCGCTCATTGCCACATTTGTTTTTTTTCTTTCTTCTTCTGCTGGTGGCAGCTAATTTCAGGGACTTTCTTTCATTAGTTTCGAGTTACGCTTGCGCCTAGCATTACTATTATTTTTTATTGTTGTTACTATCGACTTAGCAGAGTTTATCATTATATTAACCGAATTTAGTTTCATAAGACCCTCTCGTAACCAAATTCAGTACGTGCGACGTACAGCCATCATAAGCTCTGAATATTTTAAATAAGAACTAATTCACATGACAATACCGTGTCTTTATCAAATGTAATATTTACTAACTACCTGCTATACCGAGAAATGACAATAAAACCGTAATTAATGTTGTGAGAATTCAAGTTTATTAATGGAGAGGTATTTATCGTTAAATCGTTGAATGTCACATTTTGTTAATCTCCATGGCTTCCAATAAACCTAATTTTTTACTTTTTGTGGCTGTATGTGAAATATCAAAATTATCGTCAAAAATGTGTTTTTCTGTGCATATAATTAGAATCTAGACTATTGTTTTTAAACGCTCTTTTATGTTCGTAATGCGCTTCTTGAAGGATCTACCTCTTCGTCAAATATAAAATTTACCACAAGATCCGCATTTCAACCTGATTTTTGAGATTTTGTTTATTGTTTTTTAAAAATTTTCCTATTGTGTTGTTAGTTCTGAAAGCTATTTTTAAACCACATTTTGACAAATGTTTTGAAATTTTTTCGCTGAGTTCTCCTATGTATGTATGTTTTAAATTGTTCGTGTTCTGTATACATTTAGTAGATTTCACCTTCACGATTATGTAATGAATTAATGTAATTTAAAAAAGAATTCAATTGTCTGTCCGTTCCAACAAAGCAAGCAAAGATATCATCCACGTATCTATACCACCATAAAAAACTTTTACTTAAAGGATGTTCTAATATGATATTTTCCAAATTATCCATAAAAATCTCGGGTAACAAAGGACAAAGTGGGTTTCCCATAATCAAACCTCCTTTAGAGATATAAATCTGTCCATTAAATTCAAAATAATTTTGGTCTAAAGATACTATTAAGCAATCTAATAAATCTTGTTTCACCAATGGGTTAACCTGTTTCCGAGCTAGGGTGAAATCTACTAAATCTATCACATCCATAGGTGGAATACTGGGAAATAAGTTTTGTACGTCAAAAGACAATAGTGTTGCGTTAGAAGGGATTTTGATATCTTTAATTTTGTTGATTAATTCAAAAGAATTTTTTATTGCAAATTTTGGTTTAAAATCTGTGTGGAACTTTAAAATATTTACTAATTTTGTAGAGAGTTTAACTGCTTAACCCATTGGTGAAACAAGATTTATTAGATTGCTTAACAGTATCTTTAAACCAACATTATTCTGAATTTAATGGACAGATTTACATCTCTAAAGAAAGTTTGATTATGGGAAACCCACTTAGTTCTCTATTAGCTGAGATTTTTATGGATAATTTGGAAAATATCATACTAGAATATCCTTTAAGTAAAAGTTTTCTATGGTGGTATAGATACATGGATAATGTCTTCGCTTGCTTTGTTAGATCGGACTGACAATTGAATTCTGTTTTAAATTACATTAACTCATTACATAATCGTATAAAATTCACTATCGAGATTGAACAGGATAACTCTATTAATTTTTTAGACTTAACTATTAAGAAAACGCAAAACAAATTAGATTTTTCCATTTATCATAAACCTTCACACGCGGACACAGTCACACATAACAGCTCAAATCACCGTTATGCACACAAAATGGCTGCAATTCACTCTTCTATACACAGACTTCTTAATACGCCACTCTCAACAAAAAATTACAACAAAGAATTTAATATCATTAAACAAATTGCACTGAACAACAATGTCAAAATGTGGTTTGAAAATAGTTTTCAGAACTAACAACACAATAGGAAAATATTTAAAAAACAATAAAACGAAATGTCCAAAATCCCAAAAATCAGGTGTCTACAGGTTGAAATGTGGATCTTGTCCTAAAATTTATATTGGATAAACAGGTAGACACTTCAAGAAACGCATTAACGAATGCAAAAGAGCGTTTAAAAACTGTAATCTAGACTCTAATTATGCTGCACAGAGAAAAACACATTTTTGACGACAATTTTGATATTTTACATACAGCCACAAAAAGTAGAAAATTAAATTTATTGGAAGCCATGGAGACATTCAAATGTTTATGTTTATATATATATATATATTTAACGATCAATTAGAGTTAAACACCTCTCCATTATTAAACTTAAATTCTCACAATGACATTAATTAAGGTTTTATTGTCATTTTTGGGTATATATAGTAGCAGGTGGTTTGTAAATATTACATTTGATAAAGACACGGTGTTGTCATGTAAATATATATAATTTTGTTAAAATCTGAACTTTTAGTTCTTATTTATTTTGTCACCCGGTATATCCGTTACCGATGGACTTAATAAAACGAGATTACAATATCATTATTTTCTAGGCAAATGGTTTATATCACACATTATGGTACGCATCCAAATATCTCCTGATTGCCAACGCGGCCGTCAATCCGCTCATCTACGGCGTGACAAATTTGGCGTTTCGGAACGCGTTTCGAAGAACTAGGCTGTTCAAGTGTCTTCTGTCGGAACGCGCGAAAACGTTCCAAAAAAAACAGAAATCGGCCCGAATCCATAATGGCGTCAAAACCGGCAACATATTTCACATACTGAGGAAACGACGTAACCCCGACGCATCGAAAATAGTCGCGCACCCCCAAAGTTACCAGACGAAACTATAAACGTACGAGGTGTGTTCAATAAGTAAGGTGACTTTTAAGTTTTATCAAAAATTATTTATTTCCGGCGATTTTTTCTTTATCTCCTTAATCGTTCCAAACCTCCTGTCTTTCATGAATTTCTTGAGTTTTGGGAACAGGAAAAAGTCGCAGGGGGTCAAATCCGGTGAACATGGTGGCCGAGGCATGATTGTCGTTTTGTTTTTGGCCAAAAAGTTGGATATAAGCAACGATAAGTGAGCATAACTTTAACGTAATACTCTTTGTTGACCTTATGACCTTGTGGTAAGACCTCTTGATGTACTACGCTACGATAATCAAAGAAAAAAGTAACCATTTGTTTCACTTCTTCAACGCTTTCATCAGTTATACGTGTTCGGCCATCTTGGAACAGCTTGTACCACTTATTAACTTTTTTTTTGTCAAAGTAGTTTCGCCATACACCGTTGTCATCCTTTCAAGTGTTTTGCAGATATTTGAAATTTGAAATATCGGGATTAAAACCGGCATTATTAATCAAAAATTTAATAGTTATATTTTGACTCACCTCAGTTGTTATATTCACTTGTTAACAAATAATATATGAAATCCCATAAATATTGTTCTGAAATAAGTAGATATTATTTATTTTATTACACAGAGAGTAGGAGTATATAAATACAAAAAAAAACGAGAACTTTATTAAAGTATAGAAAGCCAAAAAACAAAAAACATTAAAAGATATATAAAGAAATTAAATTTTAATACCAAGAAATTGTTTATCTTAAAAAAAATTCTTATTAATAATTAATATTATTTTAGATTTATATTGTGCATAAATTCGATTTTTATCAACTAATGTAATACCAAAATACCGGCATTTTTACATAAATAACGGTTTTTAATAACGGACAAAAATCGTCCCGTATTTGCAACGCCGTGTTCAATTTTTTAGATGAAATTTTATGCAATTTTTTTTTGTAACAGCACAAAATCACCGAGCACATACTAACGCTTCCGTCTCACAAAAAAAAAGTAAACATACGTTTGGGGCATGCATACCGACATAACAAAAACGGTCACTTTACTTTGTGAACACACCTCGTATGTCGGAGATGTGTCATTTTGACTGTCGAACGGACTTACCTTGGTTGATCTCGTCGACACAACGGAACGGAACTGGTGTCAATTCTTGTAAAGCGAGCATAAAAGCGGCGGTAGCAACCGCCCTTTCTCCGCCGCTCTGGATGGTCGAATTTAATTCTTGGAGGGGCTCTCCTCTCCGATACGTTACCTAAATAAATCCTTATTCTTAGCTCTTACTAATCCTTTTTTTTTAATACTTTATTTAAGAACTTAATGGGCATGAAGGCCAACGTAGGTTGTCGTATAAAGTATTAAAAATAGTTACAGTACCGCAATGCAAACTTAACCTAACATAAGCATTAACTTGGAGCGCATTGGGAAAACTTTAAAATATTTCTTCTGGGTGTGGGCAAAAATAATGTGTTACTATGTCTAGAGTTAATACGGGGAACCAGAAAATTTAATCTCTCATCGCTATAGAAGGGAACAGATCAGTTCTGGTTTGATATTTGTCGACATTGGCTCGAAAAACATGCAAGAGCCTTGAGACAAAAATATATAAACCCATCAACAGTTGCCGAACACAATCATGAAACCTGACATCAAATCGATAAAACCCAAATTCTTACTTGTAATCAATTCTTTTACCAGAGAAACAATATAGGAATCAGTTATCCGAGCCGATGTTCATGTCCCTCCCTTAGCTCCGGCCCCCTCGAACCTTATATAAGCATGTACAGGGTAGAATGAGAGCCAGTTTCAGTAAATTTCTGAAGAAGCCAATAGGACGAATGGCGAAACGTCAGCTAGTAATCTTTTTAAACGTTGCTCTCATTCTCCATAACATTCACATGAATGACTTTGAAATTACTCAACGTCAAGTCAAGTTTACTGCGTTAATACCAAGAACGTTCTCTAAAAATGAAAAAAAAGTTCAGATTTTCACGAAATTATATATATTCACATGACAATTGTTTCGACAACACCGTGTTTTTATTACTACTATATATATTGAAAAATGACAATAAAACCTTAATTAATGTTGTGAGAATTTAAGTTAAATAATTTAAATCTAATTGATCGTTAATTAATCCATGGCTTCCAATAAATTTCATTTTCTACTTTTTGTGGCTGTATGTAAAATATCAAAATTGTCGTCAAAAATGTGTTTTTCTGTGTTTAAGTGAGTAGCATAATTAGAATCTAGACTATTGTTTTTAAACGCTCTTTTATGTTCGTTAATGAAGGATCTACCAGTCCAATATAAATTTTAGGACAAGATCCGCATTTTACAACCTGTAGACACCTGATTTTTGAGATTTTGAACATTTCGTTTTGTTTTTTAAAAAATTTCCTATTGTGTTGTTAGTTCTGTAAGCTATTTTTAAACCACATTTTGACAAATGTATTGAAACTTTTTCACTGGGTTCTCCTATGTATGTAATTGTTTTAAATTGTTCGTGTTCTTTATTAGGTCTCGGATAAATAGAATTTACTGTTGTCTGGATTTTTTTTTTTTTTTACATATTTACGGTTTAACCATTTTACAACATTTTACATTCATATTAAGGCAAAGAGAGAAAGACAGTATAATAGTATAAACAGTATAACTAACAACTAGAAACTATAACAAAATGTAACAATAACAATAAACAGAATTAACTGGCAGCATTCGAACGCAACACATCAGAACGAATTGAGCGGAGGCTGACCACAAAAGGATCAAGCTTTAAACAGTTGCACGCTTTTAGCATTCTAGTGAGGGGTGAATAAACTCCATTAATTTGCGCGATGGTAAGGTATGCGGAACATTGAGTTATCACAGCTTCTGTAATATGCGTTAAATTGTATTCTATGTAAAAGAGCTGGACAAGAATGCCAACCATTCAGAATCTTAAAGAGAAAAACTAAATCACCCTGAAACCTTACAATCTTACAATATCATTTATAAACAAGTTAAAAAGGATGGGTCCAGTGTGAGAGCCTTGGGGGACTCCCGAAAAAATATCAATTTTACCTGAGACATAATTATTAATACGAACCAACTGAGTACGACCAGACAGAAAACAATTAATCCATTGCACCAACCCAGCCCCCAGGCCCGTAGCTCTAAGAAGCACATGACCCACCCGGTCAAACGCCTTCGAAAAATCCGTGTAAACACAATCCACCTGACCAATTTTATAATTTTATCGATAATGGATGAATTGTAGCCGTTGTTCAGTGTTGTAATTTTCTGTTGAGAGTGGCGTATTAAGAAAACTGTGTATAAAATAGTGAAATGCAGCCATTTTGTGTGTATAAGGGTGATTGGAGCTGTTAGGTATGACTGTGTCCGTGTGTGAAGGTTTATGATAAATTGAAAAATCTAATTTCTTTTGCGTTTTCGTAATAGTGAAGTCTAAAAAATTAATAGAGTTATCCTGTTCAATCTCGATAGTGGATTTTATGCGATTGTGTAATGAGTTAATGTAAATTAAAAAAGAATTCAATTGTCTGTCCGTTCCAACAAAGCAAGCAAAGATATCATCCACGTATCTATACCACCATAAAAAACTTTTACTTAAGGGATGTTCTAGTATGATATTTTCCAAATTATCCATAAAAATCTCGGATAACAAAGGACTAATAAGTAGGTTTCCCATAATCAAACCTTCCTTAGGGATCAAAACATTTGTCAAAATGTGGTTTAAAAATAGCTTTCAGAACTAACAACACAATAGGAAAGTTTTTAAAAAACAATAAAACGAAATGTCCAAAATCTCAAAAATCAGGTTGAAATGCTAAAATTTATATTTATTTATTTTATTTATATTATATTATTTTATATTTATTTATTTATATTATATAAAATTTATTTCTTTATATAAAATTAATATTTTTTTTATATATACAGGTAGATCCTTCAAGAAACGCATTAATGAACATAAAACAGCGTTAAAAAACAATAGTGTAGATTCGAATTATGCTACACACTTACGCACAGAAAAATCCATTTTTGACGACAATTTTGATATTCATACAGCCACAAAAGGTAGAAAATTAAATTTATTTTAATTAGATTTTAATTAGATTTAAATACATCTCCATTATTAAACTTAAATTCTCACAACATTAATTAAGGTTTTATGGTCATTTTTCGGTATATATAGTAGCAGGTAGTTTGTAAATATTACATTTGATAAAGACACGGTGTTGTCGAAACATAATATGTATAATTTCGTGAAAATCTTAACTTTTAGTTCTTATTTATTTTGTTAAATAGATTTTCACCAACTAAAAGCGACCTCAGCTCAAAACGTTCCCTCCTTCGTTACCATCTCTCTAACCAAGTTCATTAATATTAGTAAAAGAGACATACTTCCCCTGACATTTTCAAACACGCAATTGTAACTTCATTTTGTAGGAATTTTGGGGAATCAACCGTGTAAATGTTTCAAAAGTGCCCCGGTCATCATATTAAAGCATGTTCATGAAGAAATAATAGCCAAAATTATACCTTTATAGAGAGGCCGTAATGCTCGAAGTCCATTTCATCGTCGCCCGTGCAAATGTCAATCTCTCCCGCAGAGCCCATCCGTTCGAAAGAGGCGGCAAACCGCATATTGATGCCCGCAGCTATATCTTTCAAAGGAGACAACCACTCCTTAAAAAAAAAAAACCTTTCGTCAAGCCAAATGCAGGACGTGCCTATTTAAGAAACCAACTTCCTGAATTCTACCTATGGTGACTGTAATTTTGTTGATTTCCGATTTCGTTTCTACAACGTCCCTTCCTAGGGATTCTATGAGACTTATTCTATCCTCGTACTCCTTCATTTCACCGTCGTCGGCGGTGTTTAAGCAACTGATGCGCGAGTTTAAGTTCTCCTTCTCTGAGTTGAGCTCCTCGATATTATCTAAAAATTTGTCATCGAAATCGAAATCATTGAATACATGGACATCTCTAAAATAATTAACAAACTTAAGATAAGCAAAACTAATTGTTACTCTGACAAAATTAAGAATAGTGCGAATAAATCCAAAGGAAATATGGGGCATTGTGGAGGTATTAAATTCTTCGCTTTCTTCAGAACAATTTAACTCCTAATTTGTAAACACATCGAATAACTTCGCCACCAAGTTGGAAATAACAGACCTGGATATACATAATGATGTCTCAATTTTCCCGAGTCCAGTTTTTATAGAATAGAATAGAATTTATTGACCACGTTTTGTTGATACAATTATGGCAAGTCATAGATACAATATATAGAAAAATATGCAAATAAAAAACAAGACAATGAATAAATTATATAAACTATATAAAACGGTGTGTAATACATTACAAAACAAACGCCACCTGTTCAACTGAAAAAAAAAACTGAAAAATGGTTCCCCTTATTATTGAAAATTTTCAATAATTTCAAATCTGTGTTTTAGATGTCAGTTTCTTTTACATGACGATATAGCCCACCTAGACAGCTGAAACTTTTGTATTTACGGTTTTTAAGTATTGCACAGGGTGTTCGCGATATTCCGTGCAATATTAAAAAACATAATAAGTACTCCAAACTTGCAGCTACCGACTTCAGACTTGGGAGAGAAGTAGAAGTGTGGACCCGCATTTAGACTCTTTAAATTAGGAGCAATAAAAGAACGCGAAGTATTTTTTTTTGTGGTTATAAAGTGTACACTTATTGGGGAACAGAAAATGATACGAGTCGTTGATATAAATAGTGAACAGTAGCGGACCCAAGACGGAGCCCTGAGGCACGCCACTGCTCACAACCCTCAACTCCGATATGTTATTGTTAAAGACGGCACACTGTCTTCTGTCAGTTAAATACGACCGGATAAGATCCTGAGGGTGACCACGGACACCGTATCGGTCACGCTTCTCCAGAACCAGGCGATGAGAGACGCAGTCGAATGCCTTAGTGAGGTCACATAGCGTGAGTGCCGCTTGCTTCCCCTTTTCCAGGCCCTCCACCACGTCTCCCACCACCCTGAGAACCGCCCGCACAGTGGAGCAGCAGGTCTTAAAACCGAATTGGGAATCACAAATGCATTTTGTTTTTTGAAAAAATCGTGATAATTGATTCTTTAAAAGTGCCTCGAAAACCTTACCAAATATGGGAACTATTGATATGGGTCGGAAATCATTTGGAGAGTTTGTGTTACCGTTTTTAAATATTGGAAAACTGCCATTATCAATACATTTGTTAAATAAAAATGTGAGAGGCGTTACAATCTGGTTGATAATCTCCTTCAGAATTATACTATTAATGTCATAATTGTCATAAGAACTAGATTTTTTCAATGAAATTACACAGTCAATTACAAGAAGAAAGATGAAGTTACATTTGGGATTTTATTTAGGTACTCACTCTGTATTTCAGGGTTGACAGTTAAAGAGACCAGAATATCAGCAGCAACATTGGTAAAAACTCATTAAATTCATTGGGTGAAAGAGTGCCTGAATGGTTTATAATATATAAGGTTGTTCGGAAAGTCATTTCGTTTTTTCCCGTCAGAGGACTTAATTACGTTTTTTCGAAACCAACTTCACACTTAAGCCGCATAACCATTATATGTCTTGAGAGCTGATATTGCAAGGCTTGTGTGTGAAAAAGTTCTATTAATTCTACGCAGTAGTTTTTGGTTGGTGCCCTTTTAAATATGGAGAGCAATAAGCAGCATTTTCGTCATATTTTACTTTTTTACTTCAGAAAAGGTAAAAATGCTGTCCAAGCGAGAAAAAAATTGACGGATGTGTATGTAGAAGGCGTGTTAACAGTACGCCAGTGCCAGAACTGGTTTGCAAAATTTCAATCCGGCAATTTTGATGTCGAAGATGCACCACGGTCTGGAAGGCCGGTCCAAGCTGACAAAGATGCTATAAAGGCATTAGTTGATGCAAATCGGCGAATAACCACACGAGAGATCGGTGAGAGATTAAATTTGTCGAATTCGACTGTTTATGGCCATTTGAAAGGCATGGGCTTAACCTGGAAGCTCGATGTGTGGGAGCCCCATGTCCTTACGGAGCGAAATTTGTGTCGTCGCGTTGACGTGTGTGATTCGCTCCTCAAACGTCAAGAAAATGATCCATTTTTGAAGCGGATTATTACTGGGGACGAAAAATGGGTTGTATACAACAATGTTAAACGCAAGAGGTCATGGAGCAGAAAAGATGAACCGGCTCAAAGCGTGTCAAAAGTCAACATTCGCCAAAAAAAGGTGATGCTCTCCGTTTGGTGGGATGTCAAAGGAATCGTTTTTTTTTTTGAGCTTTTGCCGGACAATACAACGATTAATTCAGAAGTCTATTGTCATCAACTGGACAAATTGAATGATTCACTTAAAGAGAAGAGGCCCGAATTAATCAACAGGAAGGGTGTAGTGTTCCACCAGGATAATGCGAGACCTCACGCAAGTTTGGTCACTCGCCAAAAACTTTTACAGCTTGAATGGGACGTACTGCAACATCCACCATATTCTCCAGATCTGGCGCCTTCCGACTACTATTTGTTCCGGTCCCTGCAAAATTTTTTGGATGGCAAAACCTTTACCTCAAATGAAGATGTCAAAAACCACCTGAACCAGTTTTTTGCCAGCAAGGACCAAAACTTTTATGAGAGGGGAATTATGTTACTGCCAGAAAGATGGCAAAAGGTGTTGGACCAGAATGGCCAATATATAATTTAATAAAATATTTATTCATTATACGAAAACTGTTTTTACATATTCCCACAAAAAAAACGAAATGACTTTCCGAACAACCCAATATAATATACGATAATAATAATAATTTTACGATTATATTTTTTTGTAATTGCTGTGAAAAGATTTATAAATAAGTTTATGTTCAGGCTTTTTAGTTGTATCAGCAATGGTTTGTATCGCTGTTAACTTACTTACCAATTGCTGTCATAACCAATCCACCAGGTACAGGTATAGCTTCCTCTCTTTCAATTAATGTTTATTACTATGTCAATTATAGGCCATGAAACATGTTTTAATAATAGAATAGTATCGTTCTTGGAAAATTGTAATCTTCTCTGAAAATCCCAGTACCCAGTCAACAACAGATGCAGTAAATGAATTGGTTGGACATATTGTCATGTGCCTCAAGGGGGGAAATCTGTTTCCTCACTATTCTGGGACCTCTCGAAGGCGTTTAACTCTGTGTTGCATCAGATATTGCTTGATAAACTGCCACGCTATGGCTTGAGAGGCAATTCGTTCCACCTAACACGAGCCTACCAGTCATAGCGGGTGTCCCACAGGGATCTATTTTAGGCCCGTTATTGTTTATTTGAGATGTAAACGAACTTCCAGACTCCTTTAGACATAACACTACCTTTTCTTTTAAGGAACGTGAACAGTGGTACGGCCGTGAAATTTCTGGGTGTATATCTAGACACCCCTCCATGTACCTCGAACTGCCTACATTGGTCTCGTTCAGGCACGAATATCATATGGACTTCTATTTTAGGGCAGCTCTGCTGATTGGGGGTGGGTATTTAAAATGCAAAAGACGGCACTAAGGACTATCGGTAAACGCAAACCCCGGGATAGCTGTAGGGATCTATTCAGACCTTTGCAGGGTCTGTTCGTCTATCAGTATCTAATTTTTATTAGGTCGAGAAGGTCGGGCTACCTAAATCTATGATGGCGGAGATTTACTTTTGCCTCAACATCGGTTATCCCTTACCCCTTACCTAGCTATATATTTGTAGCTATAAAATTGTTTAATTTACTTCCGCCTCCCATAAGAGACCTGCCAATTCCAAGATTTAAAGCAGAAATAAAGAGAATCGTCCTGGAGACCTCACCGTACATAGTGGACGAGTTTGTTGCCGGATTGACGAGAGTCGTTTAAAAATTTTAATAATTATGTCTGGGTTTGTCACAAATTTTAAATGTAAACCTTGTCTATTGGGTTAGGTAACGTTTTATCTATTTGTATTTTACTTTATTTTTTCATGTTTAATTGATCACTATGGGAAGATGCTGAACATTATGTAATGTGCAAAAGCATACATCGACATATCGTCATATATCGACAATTCCAGAAATAGCCTTAAAATATTTCAAAATTCAAAATGGCCACCCTTACAGAAGAGATTCTGTATGTCATAATGAAAACATTAAAGCATACAAAATTAAAAGAACAAAGATAACATTTTAATGAATGAATATTTAATATTAATAATTAAAGAGTGATTAAAAAAAGTTTAAAGATACCATTAGAAGTGTTACAATTGAATAAATAAAATTTAAAATATATATAACTCTTTTTCCATTGGTAAAATTATAAAAATATTTAATCAATTTAATAAAATAAATAAAAAAAATATATGTAATAAATAAATGAATATTTAATATTAATAATTAAATAGTACTTACAAAAAAAGTTCAAAGATAACATTAGAAGTGGTGCAATTGAATAAATAAAATGCAAAAATAAAATTCAAAATATGTATAACTCTTTTTCAATTTGTAAAATTATAGAAATAATATTTAATCAATATAACAAAATAAATAAAAATAATAAAAATATATAACAAACAAATGAATAATATTTAATAGTGATAATTAAAAAGTGCTTTAAAAAAGGTTCGAAGAAATCGTTAGAAGTGTTACAATCGTATAAATAAAATTCAAAATATCTATAACTCTTTTTCAATTTGTAAAATTACAACAATAATTTTTACTGTTCTTCATTTGTTTATAAATACTGACAATCGGGAAAATTCTTAACCTTAAATGCATGAAGTTTGTAGCACTTGGAGGTTTTATTTTGATATTAATGTATATATGGGAATAGGTGTATTTTTTATCTTTTTGTTGTGTTTTCTATATAACTCAACTTAAGTTCAATTCTAGCCGGCTTACAAAACTTTAATTTTATAGATTGCAAGTAGTCTCTGCAATATATTGTGTATAACCGGTAACTTACAACCAATATTAATTAGTTATAATACGCCCCCTATAGGTCCTTTACCGTAAAAAGATTTTTTACATATATTATTATTAAATATTATTATTGTTATCATTCAATACTCCTTACTTGATAATCTCTCATAAACTTGTTTGAATTCCTCAAACCCGTCGTCCGCGGGGGTGTACCCGTTCGACAACTCCTTCGCTCTGGCAAGTTGGGATTTGGCCTCCGTCATCACGGCATTGTATTTATCAGTGATGGCGTTTAACGTATCCCGAAGCTCCAGCAGCTTTCTGTATCGCGAAAAATGACAAAATATCAAACACAAGAGTGATTTCGAATTAGACGCCCACCTCTTCGAATCGATAATCACATTCTCCAAGTGGTCCAGCTTTCTTCTGTGCGCCTCGATTTTAAGACCGTTCAATCCGTGTTGGGTAAACATGGCCTGCAGTTTTTCAAAGTCGTCCTTCATCGATTCTTGCAGCAGTCCGATGGCGTGCGCCAACTTTTTCACTTTCACCTTCGAGCTCGTCCGTATCCCTTCGGGACTTTTCTTGTTTTTCCGCATGCTGTTCAAGTGCTGCTCCGCCCCTTGGATTTTTATTTGGATCGCCTGACGACATATACAGTGAAAATTTCCCATAGCGAAAAATTTTATTAGGTCTCCATACAAAACCATGTATATATCTCTATACCGAAAGACAAAATGGCACATCGGTAATTAATAGAGTCTCTTACCTTCTCAGAATTCCTTACCCTAGCAATCTAATTACCGGAACCTGGTCGTTCTGGTAATAAGCGATTATGTTAATGCCTTTATCGGTATGTATAAAAGCACACCGTTGTTTCAATCAGTTCTAATTTGACTCAGTGAATACGGCGAGCATGGCGAGTAAGCGAGAAATTTTATCTCTAGATGATAAAGTTGCATTAATTCGGGAGATAGAACGGGGAGAAAAGGAAAATGATGAGGGACGTCGATACGGACTTACACGCCTACAGTTCTAGTAAAAGTTGCAGTGGTTCCATCAGCAACGTCTTAAAAGTGTACCACTCTCGTAAAACTAAAAGCAGAAAAGTTTGCTGAACAGCTTGGCATCATCGATTTCAAGGCTTCGGAAGGACGGTTGGGGAAGTTCAAACAGAGACATGCAATAAATTATGAACAGATAAGTGGCGAAGCCCGTGATGTCGACAAAAACGTCATTGACGATTGGTTGGAGAAGACGTGGCCAAAACTAGCAGAAAAGTACCCTGCTGACGACATTTTTAATGCTGACGAAACTGGTATTTTTTAGAAAATGACGTCAGATAAAACTCTTAAATTTCGAAGCGAAAGGTGTGTGAAAGGGGAGGAAAATATCTTCTCTTAGATAACTGCCCTGCAAATTCCCATATTCCAAATCTACGGAATATTGAATCGGCATCTCTTCTAGCCAAAACAACAAGTGTATATTACAGCCGATGGACCAGAGTGTAATAAAAAGTCTTAAGAGTCGATACAGGAAAAACAATTGGAAGTGGATAAAGCAGTTTCAAAAAACAATTACGTTTACAAGGAGTTTGAAACATTAAGTGTAGTTCTTCAATATTTATATAAAATGTTTCTAAGTGGATGCTAAAATATGTATATAAAATAATTAAATATTACAGAACACATAGGCGTGTTGTTATTTATTTTTAACTATTTAAAACGGAAAAAAAGCAGTCCCTTCAATTTCGCTATATAGAGTTTCGACTGTATTTCAAACATTACCCCTTCCTTTTTGAGGTTATGAGTTACCTGAGCCCGTTGCTTCTGCCTTTGGCTCTCGTTCAGTTTCTCCTTGAGAATTTGTATATTTTTGTTGAATTCCGCGATCTGGATATCGTAAGCCCTGGCTTGTTCCTTGAGACCGTCGATGGTCCTTTTAACGTGGTTGTAACGGCCCTTTAAATTTTCAAGCCTTATAACGTCAAGGGATAGGGACAAACCCCCGTCCCCCCTGATGACGTCCTGTTTGGCGCTACGTTCGCCAGAATATTTAGAGTAGGATATAAAATACCTAAAAAGTACCGGGGTTAGTTTAAGATACGCGAGGAGAGGGATGCAGTATATATATAAGAAAGGAACTAAACTATCTGCAAAACGATAAGCATAAAGTACATATTCAGGACTGCAGTGTTGAACTGCTTTATCTACCAAAGCAGAAGCTTACATTTATAGGCATCGTGAACTTTTTGCCACTGAGCTACTGGAACAACAAAAAAATGGATGTATTATTGTAGGAGTTATGAACTTAGAAGCAATCACAAGCTATCAATAATTATAAAAACGTAATAAAAATGAATGGCTTTAAATTCGAAAACATAATACTGCCAACTAGACAAACTAATACCACAGCATGTATCCTAGATCACATAATAACAAATAAGACTTAACATGCGCAATCAAACTGGAGGACAGGGACATAATGTACGTAGAATTGAAGAAACTGATAATTATAAAGAAGAAGGAAACATTAGAAAGAAGTTACCTAAATGAAGATAAGTGGCTCAAGAGTGTACAAGAAAAAGTGCAGCAAAATGAACCAACAACTACTGGATAACTAAAGAATACCTAACCAAACTTAAGGGAAAAGACAAGCTGTACGTTAGATGGAAAAAAATGAACAACGAATACTGTAAAAACGAATATAAAAAAGCAAGAAATGAATTAAATAACTTAAGAACAACGCTCCAGAAACAATACGCTGAAAAGAAGTTTAATGAAGCAAAAGAAAACTCTAAGAAGATATGGAAGATTTTAAACGAAATAGCGAACACAAAGGAAAACAAAACCGAAAAAATACATCAAATAATTAATGCAACTGCACAACCGACTAAAGACGATAAAGAAATAGCTAAAGAATTTAATATACACTTTTCAAAAATTGGAGACACTTTAGCCAACAAAATAAAGCAACATTCCAATACCAATTTTGTAGAAGAAGTGGTGGCTAGCATATTTCTGGAACCAATAACGATCCTAGACATAAAGGAAACGATTAACTCATTAAAAAATATTTGTGCCCCAGGCATCGATGGTGCAACAAAAAAAGATCTGCAAAAAAGGAGCGCACTACGAAATGAATAATTACGGGCCAATCTCTCTACTTAGCCACTTCAGCGAACCTACTGGAAAAAATTATTAAGGCAAGATTAATAAAATTTATCGAAGCTAAAATTAATTTTGACAACCATCAATATGGATCGGTTGTTGATATGCTGGAATTTATGGCCAAGAACAAATATGTAATAACAGTGTTTGTCGATCTTCAAAAGGCGTTCGATACTGTCGCTATTAAATAAAATGAGACTTCGTGTGGTGTGCTAACAGTTGATTAAATCCCATTCTACGGCCAGAGAGCACTGCACAACAATAAATAGTGAAAGCTTCCAACGTCGGCATTGCCCAGGGATCGGTATTAGGGCCACTACTGTATTCGTTGTATGTACAAAGCAAGGTACTTCAAATTTGCCGACGGCACTGCATTAGTTTACTCGGGTGATAGTGCGGAACAGCTTGAAGGACTTGTTAATAAAGATTTACAGCAGTATTTTGAGTGGTAGTTATAGCACAGATAACAGACTTTCCTTAAACGCCCAAAACACAGTTTACATGATATTTAAACAGACAGGAAAAGCCCCTTGTAACCTAAATATAAAAATAAACGAAGCGGCACTCAAAAAAGTGTGTGAACAAAATATCTATGGCTAACTATCTCTGAAAATCGAACTTGGGATAAACATATTGAGACTGTAATCGACAAAACCAAAAAACAGCTGCTTTATAATAGCCTCGTAAAACCACACCTGAGATACTTTATACCTTATTTAAAAATATGTGAACTTAAGATATTAGAACAAACAAAATTAATTTACTTAATGCCAAACAAACTGATTAAAACAAATGTGCAACTGACTAAAAATGGACCGTGTTACAGCTACAGTACAAGAAGCAATTCTATTAAAGCGCACTACCAAGAAAATGTGTCATAACCGTAAAGACTTTATAAGAAAAAATAGAATATAAACTTATATTAACAAAATATTATATTTAATTTTACTAGAATATTATATATATGCTTTCAGTCACGTTTTTTGTAAGTAAGTTTTATTGTTAACTTTTTACTTAATTACTTATTATAAAATTAGGTTTATATGGCATTAAAGACTCTGCACTAGAATGGATAAAGAACTTTTTATCTGATAGATCTCACCAGACTAAAATTAATAATAATGTTTCTAATCATAGGGATAGCAGATGGGGGTACCGCAGGGAAGCGTGTTGGGTCCGCTATTATTTATTATTTATATGAATGATATGCATCAGGTTTTAAAAATCTCCTTTGTTAACTTATTTGCTGATGACACGCTTATTTCAGTCTCTGGAAACGATTGCAAAGAAATAGCTACCAAACTGAACACCGAAATGCAGTACTTCTACGAATGGCTGTGTCAAAATAAACTGAAATTAAATAGATCCAAAACCAAGTGCATGGTTATCGATTCTACGGTTAACTGTCAAAAATGTTATAAGTCGGGGTATTCTGTGGATATACAAGGTAATAAAATTGAGTGTGTTTCCGAAAATAAATATTTGCGGGTGATCTTGGATCCACAATTAGGCTTTAGTAATCATGTTGAATATCTATGCAAAAAAATTGGTAAGAAAATATGGTTTTTTAACCGTGTATCGCGGTTTTTATCGCAGTGGACTAGGACATTAGTGTATAATAGTATAATTTTGCCTCATTTTTCATATGTTTGTTCATTGCTTATATTTTGTACAAAAGAAGATTTAAATAAGTTACAGTTACAACAAAATAGGGTTACGAGAATCATCCTGAACTGTGATAGATATACTCCTATAAAGAGTAAGTTAGACCAGCTAAATTGGCTAATTGTCGGGCAGTTCATTAGAAGAGCAAGTTTAATGTTGGTTTATGGAATTGCGCGCGATCACTTACCAGGCTATCTTAAATTATGGTTGGTTAGTTACGGTCCAATCAGCACTTCAATGTTTCTATGGTAAAAACAACAAATTTACAGAAAATTCTATTCTAGGATGGTGTTTGTAATTTTAATGAACTGCCGGATAATATTAAGGGCGCGCCTTGCCCGAGAGTGTTCAAGAAGAGACTTACGGGGTATTTGCGATAGTTTTGTTTATGCAAATTTTACTTGCTTATGTAAATAGCCAAGTGCTAAATTAAAAAAAAGAGTTCTGAAAAAAAAAAAAAAAGAAAAAATCTGTCACCCACCTATGTCGATCGCTGAAAAACAAATTAATTCCCCTGGGCACACGTTCGTAGCAGGCATTGGTGGAAACGTCACCCACCGGAATATCGTGAAGTCTATACGTCCTGCATAAGTACCTCATGATTGGTTCGGGCGCAGTAAACAAAGTACTAACGTAAGTGTAAAAACCGAACTTTCTCAACCTTTCGATCGGTACATTCGGAAGGAATTTCTCGCCCACGATTCCTGTAAAGAGACGTAAAAAAAGAAGAAGAAAAAAAAAAAACACTCGCCCTTTGACACACCCGAATGCACCACGTTGACGGATAGTTTCTTTTCTTGTCGTAAACACCTGATGAGCATATTCATATCTTCCTTTTCGACGCAAGTGAACGCGAGTCTGTCTTGCAGCGGTATGCACGCTTCCAAGTATTTCGCTTTACTATTATCCAATATGTTCACTTCGAGCATTATGGGTTCGAAAATTTCCCCACTGAAAAGGTGCTTGTTGTTCCGGAGCCACAAAACTGCGGCATACGCGTCACTATTCAGCCTTCTTAACTACATGCAAACGAACGATTTATTCTAATTACCGAGGACAGTACCACCATACCTGCTCAAATCTTTGTTGTTTTACATTCTCAATATGGACCTGTTCATTTTCCAATGCTTTCATTTCGGCTAAACTCGTCCTAATGTTCTGCTCAAGCTCTTCTTTTTTATCTTGAAATGACGCCATGCGATTACTGCACTGTGCAATTTGATTTGTAATATAGGATCCTTCTAGGCCCTCTGAAATGGATGAAATTAATAAATGTCCTGTCATATACTGTTCGACAAAAATCACCTTCTTTATTTCTGGCGATAGCCGCATCGTGCAACTTCTTCATTTCTTCCAGCTTTTTTACTGTATCCTCAATTTGTTGATCCCACTGTTGGACCTCCGCCAGCTCGTTATGCATTTCGTTTTCAATTTCGGCCACTTTGGAGCAAAGTATTTCTACCTTATCATTTGCAGCGCCAACATTCTCTTCTATATTCTTTATAGATTGCAAGATTTTGGAGTTGGCATTTTTAAAATCCATTATCTTTTGTTTGCAAGAGTCGATTTCTTGTTGCATGGGTTTGAGTTCATTCTTGTGCAGTTCATAGGCTTCGAGGGCTTTGATTTTATCCTCTTTGGCTTCATACAGTTTGGCTCTTACTTCTTCATATAAAGACCAAGCAATTTTCCTATCAATGTGTTTTATCATATCCTTATACTTTATTTTCCTTTTGAAATTTTGCACTCTACCTTCCAGGCGAGTGTTCTCGTCCTGCGCTTCCTGCAACTTTTTGGTCTGACTATTTGATAACGATAAGAGTTCTTTGTGTCTTTTTCTGGCAGCGATTAAGCAATTTTGCTTCTCTAGTAAGTCCTGCCTACACAATGCCACCTGAGTCTCTTTTAATAAATCTTGCTTATTAAGTTTAGCAAATTCTTGAACTCTATCCTGAGGCAAGAATTGACACAAGTTATCCACTTGAATGTTAAATCTTTTAATACAATTCACCACATCTTCTGCGAGACATCTTGCGTTATTTAGCTTCCATTGACTTTTACTTTGAGTATCAAATTCCCTTGTTACCTTAATGAAGTTTTCTTGATCATCTTGCAAATATATGTTTATTGAAGCACAACTACAGCCATGCTTAACATATTCGGAAACTTTGTTACCTCTTCCTACAACTTTCGGGCTACCTCCTAACCCAAGTATGATAGCGGCCACTATAGTAGACTTGCCAGTCCCGTTAGGGCCTATTATCATATTCAAATTTGGTCCAGGATACAGCTCGACGTAATTATAGGTTACGAAATTTTGTACTTGAATTTTTCGAATTGAACCCGGTTTAAACATAATATTTTCAAAAATCCATCAATACGCCTTCACTTTAGAACTCAACAATTCAACAATTCTTGATCTTCCCTTCTAAAAATCTTTGGCGGCAAAAGAAAGTTTATATAGAAAAACAAACCACGGACCGAAAAACTGTCACAGAAGATTAAATCGTTTTATTCTGACAATATATCGCAAACTCATGATGCTGCACCAAACCCACTTCGCTCATGGGTTAATTAGGATAAAAGGATTCAGGTCAAAGAGTCTTGATGCTGTTTTACACTAGCTTGCGAATTTTGGCAATTTTTTTCCGAGAGACAGAATCAGTCGTTTCCATTATATCTCTCAGAACACAGATCAGCCCGTTTGCTCCGAGGAAAGTGATTTTCTACTTTGTCACTCAAACTCAAACTAACCAAAACCAATCTTTGTATTCTGTGCTATCACTTATAGTGTGCCTGTACTGTTAGGTTGGGATGTTCAAAACAAGACTTTGCTGTAAGCAAATTTTATTTAAGGACGTAAAACTCTGACGATCTTGTTTCTGGTTGCAGACGCTAATCGTGTAAAATTCTTAAGAGGCTTTGGCTCAATGGAAAATTGCGTTGAGCAAGAAATAGTAGAAGGTTCAGCCAAAATACTGACCACTGGTAACGTATTTTATAATCCCGTCCAAGAATTCAATCGAGATCTTAGGTATTGCATATTTTGTATTTTGTATTAAGGTAATTATAAATCGAGACATTTTAATTTTTAGCATTGCAGTTATTAGAACATATGAACAAATTTTACACATAGAAAAAAATGAGGCAAAGGGGAAAGAATATAAGGGACTGTCTATTTTGGAAGCATTGTCGGCAACTGGTTTAAGAAGCATCAGATATGCACAGGAAATACCAGGCGTTAAGGAGATAATCGCTAATGACCTGTCAAGGAAAGCTGTAGAAGATATAAGGACAAACATTATCAGAAATCATGTGCAACATATAATAACTCCAAGCCATAGTGAGGCCACGTGAGTGACTGCCATTAAATTTTATTCAATTAATGGAAATCCTTTAGGATGCTAATGTATGAGCACAGAAAAGATAATCTATTTGATATCATTGATTTGGATCCATACGGATGTCCATCCATTTTCTTAGACTCGGCAGTGCAGTCAATCGAAAATGGGGGTCTGTTGCTGGTTACTGCCACCGATATGGCCGTTCTGGCAGGAAACTCCCCCGAAACCTGTTATAGTAAGTATGGATCTGTTTCGTTACGGATAAAAAGTTGCCATGAAATGGCCGTCAGGATATTGCTACGGTGTATTGAGTCACATGCAAACCGGTATAGCAGATATATCGTGCCCTTGTTGTCTTTGTCGGCAGACTTTTACATTAGAGTGTTTGTAAGGGTCTACAGTGGTGCTCAGAAATGCAAGCATACATTGAGGTGACTTTTGATCTTCGAGGTTATAGGCATGTATACTTATTGAAAATTCCAGCAAACTGGCCTACGTATACCATTGTACGGGATGTGATAATTTTACGCTGCAGCCACTGGGGATCACGAAAGTGAATGAAAAAAATAATCAAGAGAAATTTTGTCTTCCCGCTGCTTCTAAAGTGCCCGAAAATTGTGATAATTGCGGAGGAACTATTCATGTAAGCTATGTCACGTAGTATTTCGCAGTGTTAGAAATTTGGTTATTAGATAGGGGGACCGATTTGGGCCGCGCCCATACACAAACACGATTTTGTCGGTCAAGTGTTGAACATTGCCATGCAGAGTTTAAACACATTTAAACGAATTCAAGGTGTATTAAGCGTAATCTGTGAGGAGTTGTCCGATGTACCTTTGTATTATGCCGTGGAAAAGCTCGCCGGTACAATCCACGTGGAGACACCGCCCATGATGAGTTTAAGGTGGAAATCGTATCCAATTATTGATCCCACCTATTAGGCTTCATATTTAAGGTCGGCCATTTTAAACGCAGGTTACGAAGTGTCCTACACTCATATGAATAAAACTTCATTCAAAACAAATGCCCCGTCGAGAGTCGTGTGGGACATAATGCGCTGTTGGGAGAAAATCCACCCGGCATCAAAAAAACGCATCGCTCACAATCAAATAGCCGTGACTATTTTAGGGCAACGGCCAGAAAAAGAATATTCTTTCCAGGATCATCCCGAAGCAAATCCAGAGTCGAAGAAAAGAGGTTTTCTACGTTTTCAGATGAACCCTTTGCCATTCTGGGGCCCTGGTTCTCGGGCAACGGCATTGTATATTATAAGCCTGTAATAAAAATAACAAATTAATGCGTTTCCCTTTTAGACTTGGCCAAGGGAAAATCGAGAAAAGCGTGAAAAATCAAGGAAAACGGAAACGAGAAGTATCGGAAGAAAGTGCAACGAAATAAAGAGAAAAAACCTTAGATCTATTATAAGTTTTTTCAAATTGACAGTGCTGTAACTTTAAGATTAAAACATTTTCATCATTATAATCCTAGAGTTTCTATGAAACGAGTATAAAAAAAACAAAATAACTTTGCATTTGTACTAGTGAATAAGCGGACCCGGGCTATAAGTTTTGAGACTTTATAATAGTGCATAAACAAAACATTTTATTCAGCGCAATACTTTAATATAAATTAACCTGGCAAAAAAACAATTTGAAATTAAAACGCATGATGAACCGGTAAAACTGACCTTTGTATATCCTTGCTTAGAACAAATAACTAATACTACCACTCTCATTCGAGAACCAGGACAATATATTCCATATTAAAAAAAGAAGAAGAATCTGCGTCATTGTTCATAGCCTACATTCTCATTCTGTGTTGCTCTGTGACCGCATTCGTTAACTTCGCGCGAAATTTTAACCATTGTTCAAACTGGCCGAATGATCTTAGTCCTGTTGGTCAAAAAAAGAAGACTAAGCTACTTGTCTATGGTCACGACAGATGAAAACCGCGTCCTTAGCATTGTTGCGCAAATGAAAATTAAACCATTAGAACGAAGTATACTTTCCAAATTATATGCAACAGGGCAAATATTGGTGGAGCCGAGATTCTAAATTTAACTTATTTTCGTTAGCCAAACCAGTAGTAGTAGTTGCAATACTATTTTAGATTATGCGGGAGTAAAAATAAGGATTGCCCTAAAAATGGATTTGTTAAGAACATTAGAAGATGGTACTCTTCATGATCGCAGTAGAAAAGAAAAGCTGTTTACAGAAATCGATTTATCCAAGGCTTGTCACGCTGAATTGGATGAAAGCATTGTAGCGTTACAGGAGAACCCTAACATAGAAACTGTTTTTATTGAGGATGAGTTGGATAAGCCAGATTTCATTGAGGATATTCAGAGTCTTGTCGATTATGTAAAACTTGAAAAGGGTTCAAATAATAATTCGGACATTACGTCAGAAGTTCTCGAAGATAGAATTTTAAAACCTCCCGATGGTTCCTGTGTAAAAGTAATCAATTTTAGTTCACCCAATGGAGAAAGTAGACAAGTACAAAGCAACAAATTGCAGATTCAGCCCCCCAGGCACACTTTACCAAAGAGTTACACTCCTGCACAACAAAAGAAAATAAAAATTGAAGGGTGCGAAGAATGGACCCAAAATGGTAAACTGACAATTGGGAGCTTACTGGCCTCTCAAAAATTTCCCAAGCCAGGTTTAATGCAACCAACAATGAATGCCCAAAGCGATAACGAAATACTGAAGAAAACCGCTTTGACTGTAAGGTGCCCGACGGTAACGAGTCAGTTCAAAGGGCAAGACGAGAACAAGAAGTATATGTATGTGCCCAGATATGTGACAACTCTGGATAACTTTGGAAACCAAATTGAATTAGAGCTTGTAAACTGGAATAATCAGTTAAGTTATGTACCAAAACGAAAGTCTGGCTCCATAAATGCCTCGTTGCCCATAAATTCCATAAAGCTGCAGGTAGACAATGGCCTTTCATGCGAGAGTAACTGGGGAGGAGAAAGTTTTGATTCCGCACAGCTGGTCCATTCCAAAGATGCGGTTATATTAATATCGGATTCGGAAGACGATCAAGCAGGATCCCCACACAGGCCGTTGGTATACACAAATTGCAGTATTTTACGTGACAAGCATTTCAAATGCTGGAGTTATCCGGCCAGGAAAAGGAACCTTTCTGGCTTCTCGATGACAGATCCTCTAGGTTTTCTACAATCAGAAAAGCAGAGGTGCCGAAAATGTCTCAAGAATGTAGAAAATGCGTGTGTGATGCTCAGCCGATCATTGCTAATCCTACAAAAACGATACGAACCTCGAGATGGTAACGTTTTTGGTAAATTTAAATTCGTAGAGGTGGACGAAATTAAATCGGGGGAGAGGAAGAAAAGCGTCCTTAACAAACAGTTCCGGTTTACGGAACCGATAACGAAGTTAAATTTGCCCCAGTCCGAGAGAAAAAGGCGTCGGGGCCGACCCAGGGGCCCCAATCGCAGACATTCGGACGTATACCCCCATTCAGGCCTAACGGGGTCAGATGCCGATACCGGTTCTGATTTGTTGCTAACGAGAAAGGTGGTGTTTATTAACGGGGAGAGGGAAATGGGGCAGTACGCTATGCCGAGGAAACGCAGGCGTCAATTGAGGGAGGTTAATCCTTACAAAAAGGAATATTGCCTCAAGAGGAGGGAGCCATTGAATTCAGATTTTGAGGTTAATAAGCAAACTGAAACCGATTACGGTGATAAACCATATAATCTAAAACCCTGCTATGTGGAAATCAGACCAAATAAGTTGGTCATCGAGGCTTTAGATAAGTACTACGCCACTAAATTTGACGACACTTATATGACGCAGAGAAAACACTTTTATCGGGTTTTCAACGAGAGGATGGTGAAAGATTTGAAAACCTTTCAGCAAAATCTTTCGGATGTGAAAGCTCTTTTAATTCTAAATGAAAACAACTTGGAGGGTATGGAGTTCGAAGAGAACTATCCAAAGTATGATTTGGTTTTCCCGGTGGGGAATGACGGTCATTTTTCGGAAAAACTCATTCGGAATGCTTATTTCGTCGATTCAGTGGAGAAGGGTTTCATAATGCTAGTGGATTCGGAAATTCTTTCGAGGCATTTACTCGGTAACACTTACAATATTTAATCGCGATAACATTCTGTATGAAACGTTTGTAAATATTATTTTTTTATAATCCTTATTTTTAGAACAGGCATTGTATTTATTTTATTTTTTTTTTGTTTATATAGTGTAATATCTACAAATAATTCTAGTAAAATAAATGCAGATTTTTTAAACACCTTATTTTAAACCAATGTTGTAATTATTAAGACCCTGTTTCTTTTGCCATAAGGGCCCAGGTTGTCCCTTTTAGATTTAGTATGTAATGATCGACATGAGAGAAATATATTTTGACAACCGCAGAATACATTTTGTTTACTATTTACCAGGACTAGGCATGAGTCTTATTTCAGCAGCAGTTCCAATTTTATTATATACCGGGTGTTTTCTAGATATTTTAATGAAATTTGCACGCCACTGATTTGTCTTAAAATAAAAAATATTCTTACAATGTCCATTTCCAATTTTATCTGATTTTTTTCAATAAGTTGTACGGTTTTCGCTTTAAAAAAATACAAAACCTCTGCATGGGCATAACAATATCGTAATAAACTCGACCATTCTATTTGTAACATAATAATGCTCGGATATTTTAAACGCCAAATCAATGAAGTTAAAAACAGATGTCAAACAACCGCCTAGAAAACACAGAAGTCTTACACACAGCCTACTACAACAAGGAATATTTATAAAGAATTCAAAAATACACCTCGTATTCGTATTATTTTTTGAAGTATTTTAATAAAGTTACGTGGTTGTTGTCCTCTTGCTAAAAAGCGACCTCACAAAAATTATGGGAGTTTAAGCATCATAATCGTCCGCCAGTTATTAATATTTATTATCTGAAGCTTTATCTGAATCACTTTTATGCTGTAATTTGAGGTTAGAAATCATTCCATGGTCATGACGTTATTAGAGCTACATCAAACGTTGATTTAAGTCTGGTTTGTTTTGGTGAGGTTGCCAGATTGCCTATAGTTTAACCGACCAAAATTGATGTGTTTTTTTTTATCTTTGTATCCAACTTCGCGTGCATTTTCGAGGTGTGTTTGATGTGAAGTTGCTTGTTCCGGAACCGCTCCAAATTCAAAAAAAGCTTTACGCAAATTAGTTCTCACCGAAATACTTTTCCGGTACACGTTAAGTTCGTAACGATCGGCGGCCAACTTTTCGTTCAGTACCATTTTATCCGCGCTTGGTAATGGCGCTATCCCTCACATGTCCTTTATGTTGTAGCGAAACATTTCCGAATACAACTTCTCTTAAGTATCACCTGCTGAGTATCGTGGGCAACATTCTGTGTTCCTCTTGCAACAAGAGGTGCGATAGCATTTTAGAGTTGATTCAACATTTAGAGAAGGAATGCGTTGATCAAAAGTCTATGAAAATGCTTGGGAACATTAAAAAGGAACCGGAGGTGAACAGTGCCCCTCACCAAGGAATTTCCGACAGAAATACGGAACCTGCAGTAGTTTTCGTCGATTCCGGCAGAATAAAGCAGGAAGTAGAACCTGAAAGTAATGATAATGCGATAGAAGGACCTGTCGGTGATCCAAATTTGCAGTATTCCTGTGAGATATGCAATATTAGTTTCAATTCCATCGAGGAGCATTTGGCAAAATACCACGAAGGAGAGGAAGTGCTGTTGGTAAAATCTTTGACTTTGACACGTGTAATTTAGAGTTACGGGTATTTCTTTAGGAAACTGATAATGATGAACCTTTCCAAAACGCTAACTCTTCTGATATGTTCGACGACGATAGTCAAGGTACCGAAAATGAATTGGAGGACAATGCTGCTAGTGCGGAAATCTCTCATAGCAAAAACAATCAATTTCAAATTGACGAAAATAATGAGAATGAAGAACCACTGACTCACAAATATCTGTTCGACGGTGGTAAGTATTTGTGGGATATCGCTAGTTCCCTTAGCTTTTCGATTCTTGTGTACTTTTAGAGTTGACCAAGCTTACCGAGGAGCAAGTCGCGAATATCGAGGACAAGTCGAAAATTATAGAAATTCATTGTTGTCCGGTATGTTCCTTGCAATTTCCCAATCTGGGCCATTACCATAAGCACAAATGTGCGAAAAAGAAGATGACCAAAGAAAGAAGAAGACATCCCAAACCCAAGGAAGATACGAGATACAGGTGCGCGTTTTGCCAAGCCATTTACATGAGCCTCATAGCCCTGAACGATCACATGAAGTCCCATTTGGTGCAGGACGAGTCGGGTATGTCGACATTTTTTTTTATGGGTTTCTTAGGAACTCTGTTCAAATGAAATTTTAGGTAGAGTCATAAAGAGAACTATAACGTTAGCCCCTCATGTGTGCGAAGTATGTAACACCCAGTTTCCATCCTTCAAATCCCTTCGGTTACATAAGAGGATGCACGATCCTGTACAGCAGAAAGAGGTACTTCGAACTTCACATTTTTGCACTTTTCTATTTTATGATTAGTTATATTTCTACCCGAACACCCTTGTTAGAGTTCACGGTGCCATTGTTGTTTAGATCGAACCTCCGGTAACGTACTCTATCGATAACCAAGATGATACTCCCAACGAACGAGAGATGTTCGAGTGTACCGTTTGCGATAAAAAATACGATAAAGAATACGAACAAGTGCACCTCAAATCCCATCAAAACGTTGACTATTTCGTTTGCTCCGTTTGTAACAAACAGTTTTATACCAAAGAGAATTTGGATATGCACACGAAAGGTAGAGTTTGGCCCCGCTCGGAGGTCTGATTGGAGTTTTATTCTGTGCCCCCGAAAATCACCGCGGTGTCGGGGCAAGGCACCGAACAAAATTTCCAACAGTCACGGGCAGGTCGCGACAGGTACTCCGCGCTCAGACCGGAAATTTTCAGCTCATTCGAACGCTAAAAGGTTCATATGTTCGTATTGTAAAAAGCCCTTTACCAATGACGAGGCCTTGCAAGATCACGTTACGAATCGGTGCACGAAAAGGCTTTACGAGTGTCAGTACTGCGGCAGGAGGTTCTCTAGGCCTCACGAAAAGGTAAGATCGCTAAGATTTTTAAAAGTTTTCGATGAACTGACATTGTGCCCCATGCCTGATGGTTTTTGTGAACTCTAACAGGGCGGCAATTAAAGTATACCTTTTTATTTAAGAAAACTTTATTCTACGGGGGGGCCAACGTTAGTCCCCAATTTTGGGGCGGGTTCGTCGTGCTGTGGTACACTTTTGGCTTACTGTTCTGCTTGCTTTACAGCAATTTTAGTGAGTGTACATTTCTTGCCTGATGTTTTTTTTTTTTAATTACGTTCTTTTTTTGGCCACTGCTGCTAAGGCAATTCGGCCAGCTTCTCGGCAGTGGCAATAAACTAACAAACAATTCTGGCAGCAAAATCCAACTGAGTGCGGTGAAACAATATGGAATTAATATGCGAAATTAGCATTAATGAATGACTCACACAATTGTGATTTTTCCCAATGAATAGCACAGTTAAAGGGTACATGACTTGAATCGCCTAGTTCTCCACATTCTGCTCTCTGTCTCTGGAAGGTTTACTTTAAATTCTATTTACACATAGTTGTGATTTCTCTTCTATTCAGATCCAGCTTATGGAACCATTGTGCCTAATCCTATGAATTTCCATCTGTCCCTCCAAGCGTTCCGGAGGTTATGCTTTAATTTAGGAAAACTCCCTAAAAATCAATGTTTTATTCTCCCGTGCAGCCTTAGTTTATTTTTAACCTTCAAGGTTAAGTAGTTAGACATTGCATCCATCCCAGTGTTATTGATTTCAAGGGCACTTTTGGAGTCTGAAAAGAGTTCTGAACTTGAACAGGGCTTCACAGGTGGGCTTTTATAGAGTGGATCTAACAGTGAATACTTTTTCTTGGAAAAAAGGAATAGTGTTCACTGGAAGTGATATATAACCATCTAACCGCTGCTAAAGAATCGTAAATCTATGGCTGTGACGTAGGTGAAGTCCTGTATTGGCGCTTTTACTATGTAAATGCATGGAAGTAATCTGAAACTGAGTAGCTAATATAGCATTTTGTTTGGATAATCACTCGTTATTTTACCATACTTTCTAATTATTTTTCGGCAGGTATCATCCTGAAAAGATTTTCTTTTTAAACTAACGTTATATTTTGCTTTTAAATTTCTGAAGTTCATACGAATTATCGTTCTCACCATACCTAATAACTCATTTTGTAAGTCTCTTTCGTAATCATTTTCAGTAAAATGAACTGAGCAGACATAGCTTTTATCTGGATTAAGTTTGTCCTCTCTTCTACATAGAACTATCCACTCGTTCCGAATAGTTCGGGATACTAGATCTTTCCCTTTGAGAAAGCGATGAAAACTACTTTTAGAGAACTTGCTTTTTCATCAAAATAGTTATTGCCCTCGTACATCTCGTTTCAGGCAAACCTAACTATTTTTTGATGTAACTTATCCCACTGAAAAAGGTAAAAGAAATGTATTTCTTACTTTTACCTATATTATTATAAAAATACCGTTTTTCTCTGTTCTCGCCATTCAAGCACATACAATTTTAAAGTATTGGTTAAAGCTTAAAAACACTGTTTTGTCCAAGTTTTTTTTTTACAGAAATACAATTAACACAAACATAAGCGCACTACTCACTAGTTTAAATTATTTTAATTGTTCAAAGAACACAAAATACAATGGTTTAATACGCATTCAAATGCGTTGACAGAATACATAAAAACCGTTAGAGGACTTCGATTACGTCACAAGGGACCACGTGTGATCGATAATTTTGGCGAACGTATGTTTTATGGGATTGGGCAATCCTATTAGGTTTACGACTCTTGGGTGTGGACTTCATATACTACTGAGCCTCGAATTGAATTTTGTTTAATTGGGCAGGGGTCTTTCTTGAACAACTACCACCTAAAAAAGTGACTCCATAATCCAAATGGGGTCTGCTTTGTAAAAGGTGTGCCCCCCCCCCCCCCTCGCACCAGATTGTACTTATAAATCGCATCAAATTCAACCCGCCTGAAGCTTTCTGTATCATGTTTCTAATTTGTGACTTTCATGACAACTTTGGATATGTGATACAATTACTCCATGGTATAGTTCGAGTGTTGAGGTGAAGTCTGGGGAGACAATTAAAATTGTAGTTCTTCCAGGACAAATATATAGCTGCAGATTTATTGCGGTTAATTTAAAGTCCTACAGAACTGATGGTTATTATGAAGATTGGCTTTAATGAACTAAAATGTATAGTTATCGACAATAAATTTGAGATAGCGTTCGTATCCGAAATGTGGGTCTCGGAGGCTGATGTCTTTGGACCATTTGAGATTCGTAATGACTGTTTTTTTTAGAAAAGATCGGAATTTGATGCCCTATCAGAATTTATTACATTTAAAACAAAAATTGAAAATAGGGTTTACTCATTGTAAAAAGCACATTTCAAAGAACATATTAAAAGTGTTATACAGTAATAGAAAAATTTTGGGTCAAAAGATAATAGGAATTTTGTGTATGGTTTTCATCAATCAATCAACTTTTTTAATAAAAACTATAAACGATCCTTGAGTCGTGAACAAATAGTTTATAGGCGCGAATCTAACAATAATAATATATAATAAGCAATTAAGGTTTACATACACATTTAGCCAATTTAGGTGGTCTAACATACTCTTTATATTTATATAACACAGTTCAGTATTTAAATCTTAACATATTAAACACTAACCAACCGCGAGACACAGTCAAGAACCCCTATTTTCTTACCAATTTTTTTGCATCTTGATTTTAGATCAATTCCTAAATATTTAATTTCGGAAACAAACTCTATGTTATTTCCATGTGTAGCATCTATTAAATCCGGGAGGGTCTTAAATACGAAACCTAATTTAAACAATTTACTATTCAAATGAAGTGGGTGCAAATATCAGAAAACGTAAAATTACATTAAGGCGTATAAACATTCGAGAACGGCCATCTTCTAGTCTTCGACCACCACCTTCCTGTTCCTTTATTTTGGTACCCTGTGGCTCACTCTAGCGGGACCGTACTTTAATGAGGCGTTCTGGTCCCCGGCTAATTGCTCTACGGGCGGATAGATGGCGGTGAGGGTGTTCATTTGTTACACCCAAATAGCTACTAGTCTTATAGAGGCACTGCATATGCTAATAGAACAGGAACTCGTGAAGCACTATGTAACAAAACTTTGAGAAGGTCCGATCAGTATGCACATACGCGAGATTTGAAATTTCGTTTTTAACCAAGGGCAGCTCTAATTGCAAATGGTGACGTTGGACCCATAAGACCTTGCGGAATTCAACAACCAACATGGCCGCTGGCAGATCGTCAATGGATGCTGCATTTGTACCCTTGACCCTTCCCGCACGCTAGATCGGGGGGTAATTAGATATTTTACAGACGGGAGTAGAAAAAGTTCCATTCTAGCGCAGAGTCTTTAATGCCACATAAACCAAATTTTGTCCCCGTTAATAGTATCAAATCTACAAAAACACGCAAAGTCGTCTTTTATTGTTATCGTTTTAAAAGCTGACATCAAGACCGCAGAATCGACAATTTTTACAGCGAGCTTAACCCCGCAGGTGAAGCACGAGCGTATTCACACGGGCGAAAAGCCCCACGTGTGTCAGATCTGTGGCAAATCTTTCCGCGTGAGTTACTGCCTAACATTGCACATGCGTACCCATTCTGGAACCAGGCCCTACGAATGTCAACATTGCAACAAGCGCTTCAAGTCTTACAGCGTGTACAACCACCATATGATGACCCATTCGGACGCGAGGAACTACAAATGTCCTTTATGTCCGAAAGCCTTTAAAACCAGCGTCCAACTGGCAGGTCACAAGAACAGGTACCAGTAAGAGCACTAGTCGTGTGTTCACTTGGTCACTTTTGTCACATTTCCAGCCACACCAAGCCGTTCACTTGCACGGAATGTAACCGACCGTTTTCTTCCCTCTATGCGGTGAGGGCCCATATGGAAACACACAAGCGAGAGAACAACCTGAAATACGACTGTTGGCTATGCGGCGCGACCTACGCCAGGTCGTTCGCCTTGAAAGACCATATGAACACCGCCCACTTGAACGACAACGCAGCAGAGCAGAACGGCGACGGTGTTCTCGTGGAACTCGAACCGGACGAACAAGAAACGGAGCAAGTGGAAGAGGAGGAAGCGGAAATGAACATGGAAGAAAACAGTTTGGAGGAGGACCATCAGGAGGTGGAGGAACTTGTCGAGGAGTATCACTCAACGCAAGACGATGCGACAAACGAAGCGGAACCAGGCGACGTTACCGAATCGTAATCGCTTATAAATAATGTTTGTGATAGTCTAAGTTTACTGTATTTTTGTTAAATCAGAATTAAATTCCAATACTATACCTCATTTTTCATGACTGCAAAAACAACCAAAGTTTTCGGAAATGTAGCTTTTACTGGTTGGTCTTGCGTATACGGGCACATTCTTTTCCTTACATGTTCGACAGCAAACAAGTTCCCAGTGGGTGGGCTGCCAATAATGTTCGGATTTAAAAATAAATCAATTTTTCAGGAAAGTTACGACAATAGAAACTTTTCGTAACTCCTGAAATTCGTTGCTATTGCTTATGAACGGGTTATAACCGAATTTATTTCACGCCATTTTGAATTCAATTCTTCTTATTTGGGGTGGGCACTGCTACTAGCCAATTTGCCAGCACTATTTGGAACTGCCCCAAATAATCGAGACTGTTCTACTGGGGAAGTTTACTTTTCAGACTTCTGTTTTTAATTAAGAGGCATAATGCTGCTGAGGAGATAGGGTCCGTTAGTAGGCGGGCTCAGAGCACACAATATTCAATTCAATGATGCGTTTCACAGATAGCTGTTGGGCAAGACTACCAGGATCATTCGCCCAAGCACACAATATCTAAATACAAACAGTTTGAACTTCTTTTTTATTGACGTTAGATTCTTCTTTTTTACTTCTGTTGGCCAACTCAGCTAGGATCATTCGGCATGTTCTGGGGTAAAATGTAGTCTGTTCTTTCGTTATTTTCAAAATATAAAAATAAATATTGTAAAAGCGAGTATAACGAGCAAATAATTTATTATTAATTGATAACTCACAACGTTTGCTATTTTCGAAACTTATCGAACAGCCAAAGATCAGGAGGTACATCTCCTCTACATAGACCTTCAAAAGGCTTATGACAGCATACCTCTAGAGAAACTATGGGAGGCTTTAGAAAAAACGAACATTAATTCAAATGCGATAAAAGCGGTCAAAAATCTATATAAAGATATAACAGCTAAAGTCAAAATACAGGACACTTTTTCTGAGCCCATACCAATTACAAAGGGCCTCAAACAAGGATGCTGCCTGTCTCCTGTATTATTCAAAATATACCTACAACAAGCCTTACAAAAATGGATGCACAAATGCAGAGGAATGGGAATCCCACTATTAAATGAAACAACATTATATACCCTTTTCTTTGCGGATGATCAAATACTCTTAGCACAAGATCATGATGATCTAGAATATATGGCACGAAAGTTAGTAGAAGAGTATGGAAAATGGGGATTAGAAGTTAACATCACAAAAACTGAAAGTATGACTGTAGGAGGAACATCTGGAAATATAACATTGGAAGACGGACGCCTAATAAAAGACTGCCAGGAGTATAAATATCTAGGACTAAAAATAACGCAGGACGGAAGATTAGATGAGGGAATAAAAGAAAGAATAATACAAGGAAGAAAAGCAATAGCCATGCTGAATGGGATCTTGTGGGACCAAAGTATATCCAAAACTAATAAAAAAACCATATATAATACAATAATAAAAAGTATCATCACATACGGAAGTGAGGTATGGCAGCTAAAGAACAAAACAGAAAATATGTTACTAGCAACCGAGATGGACTTCTGGAGGAGATCGGCTGGAAGATCAAAAAAAGAAAAATTAACAAATAAAAAGATAAGAGAGATTATGGGAATAAAACATACAATAGTAGACGACATAAAAACAAAGCAACTTATATGGTTTGGACACGTACAGCGCATGCCCGAAAACCGAATCCCGAAACAAATACTATTGTGGACACCGCAAGGGAAAAATAAAAGGGGAAGGCCTAGAAAAAGTTGGAAGGAGGGAATAGAAAAGGAACTAATAGAAAGAGAATTACCAGACCAGCTATGGTTAAATAGAGAAGAGTGGAGGTTAGGTGTCGGAAAACGGCGTAGAACGTTCTAGACCGACATATATATATATATATATATATATATATATATATATATATATATATATATAGGACCGATACCCCAATTAACTAAAGTTTGTTGTTCAACTAGCCGGTCACGACTACCGTTTTGTATATATATATATATATATATATATATATATATATATATATATATATATATATATATATATATATATATATATATATATATATATATATATATATATATATCGAATTGCCACTGACAAAACCGCCTACGCTTTAAACTTCAGTAACGGGAGCCTTATTCAGCCGTAAGTAGCGTTCAACTTTATCGGTCAACAAGGGAAAAACGTTATTTCCAATAAAACGCTTCAAATAAGCGATAAAGTAAAACAACGCCACAATGAGAGGTGCAAAAAGTCCCTAATGTCGCTACATGTCGTTAACAAATTACAGATTTTACCCTGAAATCTAATAAAGTGGTTTATGATAGAAAATGACTTCTTAACGGAAACGTAACACAACTCTATAGCGGAGGTTATGAATTAGATTAGCAAACGGATGATCCCAATTTATCATTGGTCAAATACATATAGCTAGTAGGGATTTAAAGGCCCGGCCTAATGCTGATAACGCAGGAACGGACGAAGCAATTATAAAACAATTTTTTAGAAGGTCTTAAAATCCCGTTTTCAACGAATGGCGCCTGTAATTGCCAATTTTCGCCGTCGGCCGATAAAACTTTGCGGTATTCAACAACCAATGTGGCCGCTGACAGATCGTCAATAAGTTTGGATGCCGCGATTTTAGGGCAATTTGTTTTCAAAATATGTCCAGAAAATATTAAATCTTCGAGTAAAATTAAGAGCGTTGGTGAAAACACTGTAATTTCGCAGAAATTATAAAAGTTCATGAGTGGGAGTCCTATATAAATCTTTTAAATTAACTTATGCATAAGGCAATACTTGCTTGTGTGTGGGTACGTTCTTTTTCTTACAGTTTTGACCGCACACAAAAACACGAAAAAAGTACGGAGATAATCACGAATCACTAAAAATGAAAACAACATTGGCACAGACTGTCAGTACTCTGTGACATTAGAAATAATTTGACCCGCCGTTGCCAATAATTCGGATTTTTATTTTACCACAATGTTGTGAAGTGGCAGATGCACGAAAGATCGTTAGAATTGCACGAAAATATCATGGTATTTTGCGACGCCTCAATTTTTACCAAAGTGATGCGACGTAATAAGTTAAGGTAGTTTCAATATTGTTTGTTTTTTAAACAGTTGACTTTTTTCTTTTTATATTATTTTTACGATTTGGGCTGTTCGTTAATTAAAAAACGTTTTTAATTGCCATGGTGTAAATTTAACAAGCAACCGGCCCACACAAAATTATAAAATAAAAATTCTGCAAAAATACAAAATGGCGCCTAGGTCACGTGGCGACGCCATTGTTAACTATAACAAAATGGATATACTTTCTTAGTTATCTTTATATAAAAATGCCTCGTTTTGAAACAAAAATATTTTGTATTTTAACATCTAAGAGGTTACACATTAATAAATAGTATTTCTTGGTTAACTATAACTAACCGACACACAGCACATTTTCAAGGGGCTGTCAAAATTAAATTAGTTTTAGTCTTTTACAGAAGCGTCAGGTGATTTTGCGGTGTTCAGCACATCACTCGGCTTCTTGAAACCTGGCCTAGGAGTTAATCCAGTAAATTTGGGTTCCCGAATGCTAGATCCCTGGTCTGCGGGTTTTAAAGTGAACACTGATCCAAAAGTAATATGCTGTACCACTGGAAATTTACCCAAAACTTCGACTTTATACATTTTGATAAGTCCACTGTTTATCTTGGACCAACTTGGCACTCCACTTATGCTCCACAATTGGTTCGAGTGCTCTGCGAATGGTCCCGTTTTTACTGAATTTATGTACTGAATACAGCTCATGAACATATACTCTTCAGCTAAAGAATTGACAATGTTCTCTTTAAGAAATGACGTCGGATCCAACCTCGGATGATCGATGAGTTGGGAGCTGCCCCAAATAAAAGGTACAAACTGGTAATCATCTAAGCTCCATACACCGTGGCTACCCGCTGGTTCCATTCTATATGTCTGCTGCAATTTTCTTGCTAGTGTTAAATACTTTACAAAGATTTTACAGGCTGTGGCTGCCAAATCGGCCTCAGTTAAAAAACCTATTTTGAACAATGCACACAGGAACATCAGAAAGGATATTTCATGACCCGTGCCGTAGTCTATTCTTGTGGCATTGCCAAAACTTTCCTGTAAATAAACTGCAATTTCGGGTAGTGCTCTATGCAGATTGGGAGGTAAAGCATTCTGTAATACGGTTATGGATTCTGTTTGCAATCTGTTATACCAACTTCGAAACGCTTGATTTCCAAACCTTTGCGGTTGCTGTATGGGTGGAATTTCATCTATCCAATGGCCAAGTCTATCTAGTAAGGTCATAATTTTATCGACGGCTTGTGACGCGTTTCGTGATCCGTCTGAATTGGTCGTTCCTCTGACGGCGTTGTTTATCGCAAATATGAAACCCATATACTCTAAATATGCTTCGGATCGATCCCACTTTAGCATGTCTTCAGGGGTTTTCACCAGTTTTATTGGCGTAATAAATTGATGAACGTCGCTTATTACGGCCTTTAAGGCCGTAGATGTATTCATTTTTGTTTTGCTAAATTTGCTCGGACAATTTCGAGGTTCGGCACTTCTTCTTCTTTTACTTCTATTGGTCAAGACTGCTGAGATTACTTGTAGATTTACACGGTGAATGGTGACTTTTCTTTATAACTTGGAAGGGTTTTTTAATTAAAAGGGATTGAAACCTCGACGGAAGTTAGGGGAAACGCATCGTTGAATTGAAAAGGGAATGGACGAATCCATGGTATTGCCGGGTGAAACGTGGGTATGACGTCAAACGTTTGATTGGAGTCCATTGTTTCCAAGGTGAACTCTCTCTTTAAACAATAAACACTTGCTTATTTCAACACAATTAAAATAGAGAGTGAATAGCAACATTAGACTGCCGTCAAACGGTAGAACGCCTTCTGTGGTTCGTTCCATGTCGGTTCCTTCCAGTATCCTTTGTTATGGGTTGAAATTTTGTTTGTGTTTTTGGTGTTTCTGGTGGTTTCGTTATTCACTCTTTTTTGAAATATCATTTGTGCTGGTGTGTGACCCAGACAAACAAAAATTGTTGACCGATTTTGATAATGGGCCAGTGTTCTGCTTCTTTACTTCTATGGCCAGGATCATCTCGCCATGGGCGAGTGTTGTGTTGAAGTGTACAACGCAGTTGAAAAGAAAAAAAGAAGAAGTCTTTTTAGTTAACCTGTTCCGCATTTACAGTTTTAGTGCTCAGTGTAATACAGTGTTTCTCATGGTACTTTTCGTACAAAATAAAAAAACCAGTGATGGAAAATAACCAAGGCGAGTCGCAGTTATTTGTTCTATTCAGCGGATATTCAAACAGTGAAAATTGCTCGGAGACTAATGTTATGAAGGCAAATTGTTCCTGTGTTTTGATAAAAGGCCAGCATAACATTATCATAGATACACGAACAGCGTGGGACGCGGAAGAGCTTTGCGGAGCTCTTCGGAAATTGGACATAACGCCGCAAAATGTAGATTACGTGGTGTGTACGCATGGACATTCTGATCATATCGGATGTAATTATCTTTTCAATAATGCGACACATATAGTCGGGTTCAGCATATCATTCAGGGATACTTACTTTTTAACACCAGATTTTGCTAATGGTGAGGAATATGTTATTAACAAACAGGTCAAAATTATCGCCACCCCGGGACACACATTGCAAGATGTGACGGTTTTATTTACAACACCTAAAGCTGAAATGATTGCAATAACGGGAGATTTGTTCGAAAAAGAGGAGGATATCCATTGCGAGACAATTTGGCAGAACGCGGGTAGCGACTCCATTGAATTGCAGAGGAGTAACAGAAGAAAAATCTTAAATTTAGCCAGTTATATTATACCGGGACATGGGCCAATGTTTAAGGTATTGGAAGAACATCGAATAAAAATTAATGGGGAGCAATAAAATTTAGATACAGGTCAACAACATTTTGCACAGTGCTCAGGGAATAATTTGGTTTAAATTAAAACCTGCTGAAAATTGAAATTTAGTTATTTCAATGCTTTATATTTATTTTAATGAACATTTTGAGAATATGTTACTTTGATTTGATAAGGTTTTGGTCTGAATGAAGTTTGTTGGGGTGTTTAGGATTGTTGAGCACCTTTTTTACTAATGCGAATTTTATGTATTTCTCTAAAACATACACATTTTCCAATAATGTTAATCCTGTATAATTTAAAAAATTGCGTTTTTACTGGATTTGGTATGTCAATTGTTTTTGTATTTTGGTTGATGGCAAATCTTCCTTCTAAAATTTTTCCAAACTGAGTAAAAAAGAGTCGTCAAATATCCCTTTAAATACCTTTTCACCCATGTGGTCGACACTATTGTAGAAAGGATGACATATCTCATTAATTATTTCTATCTATTCTAAATCTTTCGATTTTTTTTGAAAGTTGCGACCTTTTTTCCGGCATGCAAGTTAGAAGAAAGGACTGGTTGTTGCCTTTCTTGTTATTAATTAATTAATTATACACATATAATTTTTTATTATTTACCTTTGTATTATGCTGAAATCTTATGGAAATAAAGCTATCTTTATCTTTATCCTTATAAGCGACTCTCTAAGTTATGGATGAGCATCTTTTTTATTCTGGTCTGGTGTACATACGAGGGCAGCGCCAAAATTTCCCGGCCTGAATATGGAAGAAACAAAGCAGAGTAACATTTTTTTATTATTTTTCAATATAATCCCCCTTAACTTAAAAGAAAAAAACTTAAAAAAAACATTCTTTTGGTTTGTCTGCAAAATGAGCTAAAACAGCCTCCTTTAACTCACGTCGTTAAACCGCCGTCCACGTAAGTCCTTTTTCAAATATCCAAACAAATAATAGTCGCTGGGGGCCGTATCTGGGCTATGGGGAGGATGATCTATCTGTTGGAACCCACACTCTAAAATGAAAGCTTGTACAATACCATCACCATGGACAGATGCATTATCGTGCAAAAGACGCACGCCTCTGGTCGGTTTTCCTCGACGTTTTAGACGTATACAGTCTCGCAATTTATGTAATAATGTTGCGTAATATTTACCATTGACGGTGGTATTAGTTTCTTTAAAATTTATCAAAAGAATTCCTTCACAATCCCAAAAGATCGTGGCCACCACCTGTGTTGTGGACTGGCAGACTCTGAACTCTCTTGGAGGTGCTTTACCCTTACGACGCCACTCCATTGATCCTTTTTTCGATAGAGGGTCATAATAGAGAACCATAGTTTTATCTCGCGTCACAGTAGTTTTCATCACAGGCTTCGGTTCCGACCCACAGAGTTCCAAAAAAGACCGCGCACACTCGACACGGCGTTGTTTTTGAATAGCCGAAAGGTTTTTTTAGGAACCCATCTTGCACTAACCACTTGCATCAGAAAGCTTAGTAATTTCTGAGATTTCCTTGACCTTTAAACGTCGATCACTCAACACTACCTCTTCCAAAATCGCAACGATATCTTCTGTTATGACCTCCACTGGTCGACCAGTTCTTGAATCATCTTCAGGGGACTCTTGCCCCATTCGAAAACGTTTTGCCCATTCTTTCACTACAGAATACGAAGCAGAACTTTGGCCGTACACACCATCCAGCCTTTCTTTAATAATTTTAGGTGCTAACCCTTCTTTTGTCAAATCCTTTATGACTGATCTATACTCAATTTGCATTATTTGCGATTTTTTTTTCTGACACGTCTTGTTTAAAATGCTGTCAATAAAAAACTATTTGACGCAATACTTCATTTTTTTTTTCGCAGCCTACTAAGATGTATATTTAAAAGAAGACAAAGTTTTATCGTGATGCGCTCTATCTGGAGCTGCATCTCTATCTCAGGCCGGGAAATTTTGGTGCTAACCTGGAACAACAACAGAATATGAACAGAATGAGAAGGACGGAACTCCTTTTTTTGTATCAGTTTTTTAGTAGGTGTATATTCTGTGATTAGGAGTACGATAAAGTGCTTAGAAACAGTAAAGAAAAAGAAAGGCAACATTTGGGGTGGTGTTTAGAGTGACTTTTTGTTTTTTCTTTGTGTGACGATTGTGGACGATTTTTGGGTCTGGTCCTCTGATCAGTCTCATCATCATGAAACTGGCTGTTAGACTTTATTTAACAGAACCAAAATACCCACATGGGATAAAAATCCGGTAGGTAGGTACGGTAGGTACGGTAGGCGAAATCAGTATATGTCATTGTAATTGAAAAAAATATATTCATCTGCGGATGAAGAAGCGTCATGTTTCCTGGCAATGGTAGAACAGGATTTAAGTATTTTTAGTAATATCAAAAAACTAGAGTGTTGACTATATTACGGGACTCAACTTGGCAGAAAAAGAAAATGAGTTCACTGAATGAACTAGGAAAGACGACAATTAATAAAAGGCGTGAAAGTTGATTTTTTTTTATGAACTTTTGAAGAGCATTAAGGTGAGACTAGCACAATTTCATACGCATTCAAAAATGTATTTGAAACTAAACACCGTATTCTAAAAAAATACTGTCATATTGTTGTGGATAGGTAGTTGGAAGCTTTTGAATCTTTAGAAGTGGGTTGACGTCGTGGTTGTTATTGTTTATACCGGGTGTTTTCTGTATATAGAATAAACGCAATACGTTAATAAATGTGTTTTTATTACATTTTTGTACCACGCAAAATTTCGGGTTGACAGTTTATGTCACATATAGCTAGACGACAACGCGGAGTCCTTACCTGATTGTGTCTGGTCATCATGTCTATGAGAATGTGAAGTTAACAAATCTCGCCAGCAAACTGTAGTAAATAAAGAGAGTAGGAAGGGCCACATAATGGCTCTCTTTTGAAGGCGACAGATAAAAATGGCTATGGAAAATGGAAAAGTATACATTCTCAAGTAATACGTGTTTAAACTGTGTCATACGGTTTTCCATTTGTATTAGTTTAGAACCCAGTTCCTCGACTACTAATCTTGATAAGAAAGACTCTAGCTCAACTTGTAACAAAACAGATAATTTGGTTATGAATCCTCAACCTTTAATGACACGTACCGATGGAGTTGTTACAAAACCTGTTAAACCTGTTATTTAAACTTATGTTGTGTTTAAGAATTTATTTGAATTATTTTTAATTATTGTAAAAACGGGAGATGTGTAATACAGGGCTCTTTAGACCATTTGTATTAGTTTAGTGACCAAGTGATAGATGGCGCTTCCCATGAAGGGAGGTTGTCCCCCAATGACGTCACATCCGACAAGAAAAGAGAAGAACATGATTTCCGAGCACGCTAGAAATGAGTAGTAATGTTTTGGTTAGTTTACTGCCACGAATATAAAATAAAACATAAACAGCCCTTCAATTGTCGCACGACAAAGAACTAGACAACTTCGACCTCCCGTGTCCATCATCAACCAACTTACATTTCTTGCGAGTTGTAAACTTGGCAGTAAGTCAACGTTGGGTAATCAGTTTGATGTTTTGATGAACCTTATAATGACCCCTATGTTTTCCGCGACTGAGCTAAAAACACATCAAAATCATTTGGTTTTAAGTTGTTTGTTGGATTCGTTTTTTTTTATATTTTTTTCAGATTTATCCAGTTTCCATCAATCTTTGGATTTAGTTTGGATTATAGTTGTTTTTTAACGATTTTTAGAGTTCCTAAAGATAAGGATCGTTATTTTCATCGTAGGTAGACTCTTTTTTGAAGAACCATTACATTATCTTATCGCTAATTGCGGTGTACTCTTACCTGATTTTTAATATATTTTTTAATGTTATTCTGTGAACGAGCGCAAAATGGCCGTCCCATCATTGCCGATTGGAAGTTACCAAATACCAATTATTGGAATTGGTACCTTCACAGTAAGTAGCAGAGCCGCTTACGTTTTTTAAAGATATTTTTTCCATTATTATTACGCGTCTATTTGTTTTACTACTTTAGAGTGACTATATAGAATGATACATGATATTTTCTCTCTTTTTTTTCTTGTAACTCTATTCACCAGTACCCAGCGTTTGTCTACCCAAAATAATTGTTCTATTCTCGTATAAGAAAGCAGTAAAGTGCCTGAATCGGCCCCGTTGTAATGTAATTAACTAATAAACACGTGCTGAGTCCAAAAGGTCCAGGCATGATGAACAAAATAGATTTCTTGAATTGAACTTTGGTTTTTACTTCATGATTTTAAAGTTCCACACAGATTTTAAACCAAAATTTGCCAAAAAAATTCTTTTGAATTAATCAACAAAATTAAAGATATCAAAATCCCTTCTAACGCAACAATATTGTCTTTTGATGTACAAAACTTATTTCCCAGTATTCCAGCTATGGATGTGAGAGATTTAGTAGATTTCACCCTAACTCGGGTACATGTTAACCCATTGGTGAAACAAGATATATTAGATTGTTTAATAGTATCTTTAGACCAAAATTATTTTGAATTTAATGGATTAGATTTACATCTCTAAGGAAGGTTTGATTATGGAAACCCACTTAGTCCTTTGTTATAATAAACAATATCATACTAGAACATCCTTTAAGTAAAAGTTTTTTATGGTGGTATACATATGTGGACGATGTCTTTGCTTGCTTTGTTGGAACGGACAGACAATTGAATTCTTTTTTAAATTACATTAACTCAATACATAATCGTATAAAATTCACCATCGAGATTGAACAGGATAACTCTAATTAATTTTTTAGACTTAACTATTACGAAAGCGCAAAACAAATTAGATTTTTCAATATATCATAAACCTTCACATACGGACACAGTCATACATAACAGCTCAAATCACCCTTATACTTCTAGTTCTTATTTATTTTGATAAATAGTTTTTCACCCAGTAAAAGCCACCTCAATTCAAAACCAATAATATTAGGTCACGGACGGTGAAACCCTGGAAAAAACTTTGGACGCCGCACTGGAAGCGGGCTACAGGCACATCGATACCGCTCACTTGTACCGGAACGAGCATATTATAGGCAGGGTCCTCGGGAAGTGGTTTTCGTCTGGAAAACTCAAGCGGCAGGACCTTTTCGTAACCACCAAGTTGCCGTTTTACGGGGTATATCCGGAAGGGTACTTTCGACGATAACCCTGGGGTTCGTTTTTACGTGACTGGTTTCTAGGGTGGACAAGTATTTGACGGAATCGCTGGCGGCTCTTCAACTTGACTACGTAGACTTGTACTTGGTGCACTGGCCGATCCGGATGAAATCGTTGGGAGACGAGTGGAACACGTTGGCTTTCGAAGGTTTGCCTACTGATCACGTGGCGGTCTGGAAAGTAAGACCCGGTCACGCGTCTTTCTGTTGCAATGACGCTTATTGTTGCTTATTGCTTATTATTATTATTATTAAAAAAAAACTACCTACTATTAATAATTTTTAACAAAATTGTCTGATAATAAGTCTGCCAGTCAACAAAAAAGGTGATGGCCACGATCTTTTGGGATTGTGAAGGAATTCTTTTGATAGATTTTAAAGAAACTAATACCACTGTCAATGGTAAATACTACGCAACATTATTACATAAATTGCGAGATTGCATACGTGTAAAACGTCGAGGAAAACTGACCAGAGGCTTGCGCCGTTTGCACGATAGTGCACCTGTCCATACTGCTGGTGTTGCACAAGCTGCCATTTTAGAGTGTGGGTTCCAACAGATATATAGTCCACCTATGGCCCCCAGCGACTATTATTTCTTTGGATATTTGAAAAAGGACTTACGTGGACGGCGGTTTAACGATGAAATTGAGTTAAAAGAGGCTGTTTTAGCTCATTTTGCAGAGAAACCAAAAGAATATTTTTTTAAAGGGATTGAGTTGTTAATAAGTGTATTGAAGTTAAGGGGGATTATATTGAAAAATAATAAAAAATTGTTATTTTACTTTGTTTTTTCATATTCAGGCCGGGAAATTTTGGCGCTGCCCTCGCACCTCCACTGTTTCTTATTAGGGATTTTACCATAGACGATCCCGTTTTTTTAATCGATAGCGATGACTGTCTTTCCTTGATACGCTCTCGTAAATACTATATTATCTTGGGAAATCTTATTTTTAATTGATTTTACCATAGACGATTGTGTTTTCTAGGAAATGGAGAGACAGGTGCGTTCCGGACGCGTCAGAACTATAGGCGTGTCGAATTTTAACCGGCGTCAGGTGGAGAGGCTATTGAGTGTCGCCGAAATCAAACCCGCGTGCAACCAAATAGAACTGAACGTCTATTTGCCCCAAACCGAGTTCGTAAACTTTCTGCAGCGAAATGGAATCGTCGCGGTTTCCTACTTTTCCCTAGGGAACCCGGGACTCAAGGCGCAGAGGCTTCGGTCGGGAGTGTGGTGCGCAATCGGCCTCTGAAACCCTGTGAAATTTTTAAATAAGTCACTTCAGGACAGAGGAGAAACCGGACGTGTTGGCGGATCCGGTAGTGCGACGAATCGCGAGGAAGCATAAGAGATCTCCGGCTCAGATTTTGCTGAAAGTTCTGACACAGAGGAACGTCGTGGTGATCCCAAAAAGCACGACGCATAGCAGGATAGAAGAAAATTTTCGATTGTTTGATTTTACTTTGGACGAGGAAGATGTGACGGCTATCGCCGGAATAGAGATCGGCGAGAAGGCTAGGTTGAGCCACGTCAAATCGTATGTGTTTGAATACCTCGCGCTCCTAAATTTTGTCCAACATGTTATTTTTTTCAGCGTTCAAAATCACCCGGAATATCCCCATCCAATACCCGACTAACCAAAACTCCGTTTTGAGATTAGTCTCTTAGGTTTTTGGAGTTTGGATTGGTACTTGGACAGTATAAATAAATAAATAAATAAATAAATAAACGGGTCTTTGTTTTCCAACACATTTCAACAAAATACAAAAATACGTTTTTGTTGTTACTAGACAAAATTTCGTTATACAGATAGGTTTTATATCTCAGGGTCTGTTCTGCGCTCTCAGTTCCGTGATCGAAAACGTTATTGGACTAAAAGATCCGCGAGATCCAGTGCTATAAACTTTTGCTCTTGGAAATTTTTAAAAATATACAGGGTGTGGCCGGAATACGCAAAAAACTGAAAATTGGAACAGAGAATTTCCGACATATATAATAAATGTATTAAGTGTTCTAAACTTGGAGCTATCGACTGCAGAAGTTGCAGGGAAGTAGAACTAGTCCGCATTTGAACAGTTCAAGTGCAATTAAATCGCGCAAAGTATTTTTTTAAAATTTTGAAAAAATTTTTTGGAATCATAAAACGCGCGAGATCCGAGGCTATACCTTTTGTTACATGCATTTTTCGATTACATACAGGGTGCTTTAGTGACCAAGACCATGAAAATTGTTCTTTCCGCTGTAAATCAAGATTCGTAAAAAATATGGCTAATCGGTTCGAACAGTATTACAGCCCTCGTCAAGAGCTACAATTTTTCTTTGCTTGTATTGTTTTTTGAATATTAAAAAGTACTACTACGTTACTTAAGGAAAAAAAAAAAGTGGCCCTCATTATACGATTTTAAAGCCGTGTAAAATTATTTAATAATTCCAAGTTGGTAACGAGTGAACACAAAGTCGTATCATTTGAGTTTGTCCTCCCTGAGCGTGCTTATCCCCGTGGTTTCCTGTCGTAACCTGTTATGTCGCTGGTTTTTGATACTTAGTTGCACGAGTAATTTTCATGGTTATGTCAATTGCAAATGCCATGCATTAAGGAAATGTAACTAATACAATTAAATTAAATCAAATCAGATATTCACGGTTATTATATAACACTTATTGAAGTGTAACAATTTTTGAGAATTTGCGATTCTGCTTAAGGCTGTTCTATTTTGCATTACATAGTTATAAATTTATGCACTCAACCCCCATAATTGAGAAAATTTTCAGGACTGAGCAGCTAATTACCAAAATTATATTTCAAGCAAAACAATGGTCGTTTGCATCAGGTAGGTTTCGAACCTACGCTGCCAAAGAGAATCTGATTTCTAGTCAGACGCCTTAACCGACAGACCAAGGCTAAATCCGATTGAAAGTCGAACTATTTCTGGTGATGTGTAATGCGTTGAAATATAGAAATATAAGGCCATTATATTTTTATAAATTTATGTATTCAATCCCCATATTTGAGAAAAATTTCTGGGCCGAGCTGTTAATTAAAAAATATATATTTCAAGCAAAACAATAGCCGTTTGCAGTAGGTAGGTTTCGAACCTACGCTGCCATAGAGAATCTGATTTCTAGTCAGACGCCTTAACCAACAGACCATTGCTAAATCTGTTTGAAAGTAGAACTATTTCTGGTGATGTGCCATTTGAAATATAAGGGCATTATAATGTTATAAATTTATGTACTCACCCCCATAATTGACAAAATTTTCTTGACTGAGATGCTAATTACAAAAATTATATGTCAAGCAAAACAATGGTCGTGTGCAGCAGGTAGGTTTCGAACCTAAGCTGCCATAGAGGATCTGATTTTTAGTCAGACGGCTTAACCGACAGACCAAGGCTAAATCTGTTTGAATGTGGAACTATTTCTGGTGATGTGCCATGCGTTGAAATATAAGGCCATTATATTTTTATAAATTTGAGTATTCAATCCCCATATTTGAGAAAAATTTATGGGCTGAGCTGTTAATTAAAAAATATATATTTCAAGCAAAACAATAGCCGTTTGCAGTAGGTAGGTTTCGAACCTACGCTGCCATAGAGAATCTGATTTCCAGTCAGACGCCTTATCCAACAGACCAGGGCTAAATCTGTTTGAAAGTAGAAATATTTCTGGTGATGTCCCATTTGAAATATAAGGGCATTATATTGTTATAAATTTATGTACTCAATCCGCATAATGGACAAAATTTTCTTGACTGAGATGCTAATTACAAAAATTATATGTCAAGCAAAACAATGGTCGTGTGCAGCAGGTAGGTTTCGAACCTACGCTGCCAAAGAGAATCTGATTTCTAGTCAGACGCCTTAACCGACAGACCAAGGCTAAATCTGTTTGAATGTGGAACTATTTCTGGTGATGTGCCATGCGTTGAAATATAAAGCCATTATATTTTTATAAATTTAAGTATTCAACCCCATATTTGAGAAAAATTTCTGTGCTGAGCTGTTAATTAAAAAATATTGCTTACACAACTGAGTATCTCCGAAATTTATGAAACTAAGGACTGCTAACTGCTCCGCTGCGAAGAAAGCCCAACTCCAAGGTCACACTAAATGGTTGAAAGAAGAACGAAGACGTCACTACAAAAAAAGGTCTACATTGGATTTATTCTGAATTATCCCACGGACTTAATAATCAAAAATCAAAACTGTAATTACAGATCCATCACTTTTTAATAACAGTGAAAAACGAGCTTACAATATTCAGCTGTAAAAACGACACCATGTATAGGCCATGACAGTGCAAAAATACATCCCGCAGATTACCTTCTTATCACATCGCGTATATAAATAAATCGCGGTTCATTATTAGTCGATCGCATTTAATTTTCTAAGCGATAGAAGACATGACCAACGTACCAACGTTGCCTCTCGGGTCCTACCAAATACCCATTGTTGGTATTGGAACATTAACAGTAAGTTGTAATAGTGTTGATGTAACTGTGATATGAGACATTGTTTAGTGAATCTCGTGGTTTTGAACAGGTACTTGTTTGTTTTCAAGGTCAAAGCAACATGATAACATTCGATTTTTTAAAATTTTTTCCGTAAATTAGTTATATTGCCGTGTAAGAAGGAAAAGCTCCAGTATACGAGGTGTGTTCAAAAAGTACGGTGGTTTTAGCACATACATTCTATCTTCGATATTTTTTTTGTTATGTTGGTACACAACATAACAAAAAAACATATATTCGCAGTTTCAGCCAATTTGCACGATCTTGATATGCTCAAAAAGGTTATAACCGGTGACGAATCATAAGTATATGGCTATGACGTCGAAACCATATCTGGGGAGGAATAATTTGAAGGGGAAGAAGTACTATAGGATAATAATAGAATCAGGATATGTTTATGAATGTTTAATGAAATAATTAATGAAGTCATAAATAAATACATTCCAATTAGACCTCTCAAAGTAAATCCAAAAAAGCCATGGTTAAATAACATCATTTTTAAGGATATTCAAAAAAAGCGAAATCAAGATTATAATCACTATCATGTGCATAATAATGGACTTAAAAATATGATACGAACAAGAAATTGCCTCGTCGAAGTCTACAAAACAATTTTTTAAATATATAAAACTCAAACGTATCCACTATGGGTTGACACAGCTTTCATAAACGAGAATGATAGAGACCCATTTTAGCAACATCCCGTTCTATTGCAGAGATGTCGAATATAATGAATGAACCACTAGAAAATGGTAAATTGCCAGAACAGTGGAAATACTCTATTGTAAGACCATTACACAAGAAAGGCGATACGCACATAGACAGCAATTATAGTCCAATTAGTTTAACATGTCATTCATGTAAATGTGGATTAACGCCTTTCTTTTAAAATAATAATACTATATCAGGGCTTGAACATGGTTTCTTACCTCGGAGATCAACTATCACGAAGCTACGATAAAAATCAGCAAGAAAAGTTTTTGGCAAATTCCTCAAAATCTTTTGCTTAAGCCAGAACACTATGTGATTAGAGGAGATCTACTAAGTCTTATTGCTTCATTCCGGAAAGATCAAGTACTAGTAAATGGCAGTTTGTCAAATAGGCATAAGGTGTTTAGTGGTGTTCCGCAGGGATCAGTTCTTGGGCCGTTGCAATATCAAAACTTCAATCACACTGTTTGCAGATGATACAAAACTCTATGCGAATCCTACTGAAAATTATGATGACCTTCCGATAGACCTAACAATGAAATTTGGTCCAAAAAATGGAAAATGAAACTAAACGAAGAGAAATACAATGTTTTGACTATTGAAACAAACAGAACTGAGTATCGTTATACCGTTAATAAAAAGAGCTTGCGACATGCAGAACAACAGAGAAACCTTGGAATTATGATATAATAATTATGATAAATAAAAATATAAATCTTTTTATTAAAGACATTGCAGTGCTCGAGCGCGTTCAAAGAAGAATAACAAAACATCCAATCCATTTATCCAATGATTTCTATGACTTCTAGACTTGAAAGAAAGACGATTACGTGGCGATCTAACTGAGACTTACAAGATGATACAAAACTATTAATCATGTGAACTGAGCATCTACGAGGTCACTCCAAAAAATTAACCAAAGAAAAGACTGCCAAACTGCAGAGAAAAAGCTTATTGTGCAACAGAGTGATGTATACCCGGAACTGCCTGTCGGAAGACGCAGTGTCAGCAACAAGTACTATTTTTTTCAAAAACAAATTCGACAGAGACAGGCATGAGAGTAGATACTCATTATAATCAGAAATCCTTTTTTCTTCCTTTTCCATTAAATAAAGAAACGTTTCATTTTGAATTCGCACGAATTGAAATAAGGTCCAAAATATAGGTTCTAAAATTAACAGATTTTTTGGTCGTAGCTTAATTCATCTTCATTTTTTCTTGGGCATTTTTTGCAGTAAATAGAAAATATACGGGGTGTTAATATGGTTTGTGTATTTAACAATTAAAAATGATTGGCCCTAATATGCTCCCTCGTGCAACATCCAGATTACTTTGGAACATCTTTGAGTATTTTTTTCTATTAAAGCCTGCTCCGCTCATTCAATACTTCTCCAATGTTTGTATAATAAGTGCTAATTCACTGTTTTCACGGTGTTTGCCATATACTGTCCTGGTTTTAAATATTTCAATATATGCGGTGCAATTTTTAGGTGACCGATGAAGATGCACTGGAAAAAATGTTGAACACTGCTTTGGAGGCCGGTTATAGACATTTCGACACAGCATACTTATACAGGAACGAACATCTTATCGGCAAAGTCCTTAACAAGTGGTTTACATCGGGAAAGGTCAAAAGAGAAGATATCTTCATAACAACAAAATTGCCAGGGGAGGGTATCTACCCAGAGGGGTAATATTACGGAATTCGATGTATATATAGGCTGGAACTTCTTGCTTTTCGCACAGGGTGGAAAAATTCCTGAAGGAATCACTGGCTGCCCTACAGTTGGACTATGTAGACCTATACCTAGTTCATTCCCCAATTCGAATCAAACCGTTGAACGGCAAAGGATTTGAAGCAGCAGAAGGATTGCCTACGGATCATATAGGCGTCTGGCGTGTAAGTTATATCTACAAACTTAATGTCGATCAACATAGCAGAGGTTTTGCAGGAATTGGAGAAGCAGGTGAAGGCAGGTCGTGCCAAAACCATCGGCGTCTCGAATTTCAATCAGAGACAAGTGGAGAGGCTTCTAAAAGTGGCGGAAATTAAACCAGTCTGCAATCAAATCGAATTGAACGTGTATCTACCTCAACCTCAATTCGTGGAGTTCCTCCAAGCAAACGGAATCGTCGTGGTTTCGTATTTTTCGTTAGGAAATCCTGGAGTGAGAGAACAGAGAGTTGAATCGGGTTGGTGGTGCGTAGTTTGAGTATGGTACTCGGCTTAAATTGACGTTTGACTTTATTTAGGCCAGCTGGTGTACCTGACATGTTGACCGATACCACAATAAATCGAATAGCTGTCAGGCACAATAGAACGCCGGCTCAGATTTTGCTGAAATCTCTGGTTCAAAAGAAAATCGTTGTGATCCCGAAAAGTGTCACGCCCAGCAGGATAAGGGAAAATTTGCAGCTGTTTGATTTTAACCTAGACGCGGAAGACGTGGAAGCTATAGCTGGGATAGCGATCGGCGAGAAAGCAAGATTGAGCCAGATAAAACGGTATGTGTTGGACGTTGGCTATTCGATCGATTAAGTATAACGTTTTCAGGTTGCAAGATCACCCGGAATATCCCCATCCCGTAGTAGAAGCCTAGTCAAAAGAGATGCCTCCGCATTTTTGTTATAAATATTTAACTAATAAATGCGTACATTGAATTTGTATTTATTATGAACCCGGTTTTGGCTAAGGTCTTCCTTAAGTCCAGTGAACAGTTTTACTCAGTGAACTTAAAACAATCATTAATTAATTGGTAATCTATATTTTCATTTATGATTGTTATTTCTTACTTAAAACAAATAAAAAAATGCTTTTTTGCTCTGAAATTGTTTATGTTGTTGCACTTAAGAATACATTACATGTGAACCACTGGGAAAAAACATTAAATAATGTATAATTTATACATAAATATACAAAAGAAAGTTCAAATTCGACAAAAAACAACTAAAAGTAGATTGTTTTCCAAATAGAACATGATTTGATTAGAAAAAACGCATAATATTTCATTTTTGGTGATATACATTACACTTATTACAAACGTAAATTGTGTGGCTGTGGCAGATTCTACATCTCCTTCGGGATTTATTAGCATGAACAACTATGAGGTGACCTTGATTATCATAACGCACTTGATCTATGGCAGGTGCAAGATTTCTTTGAGAAATTGTTTTATCAGTTTTTAAAAGTCGCAAAGCAATGTAAGCATTAAAATCTACCTGGGAAATCTTTTGCTCGTTGACAATATTATACAATTTCCATGCATTCACTACTAAAGTATCCAGTCAGTTACAAAATCAAGGCCACCACCATTTGTTCCCAAATACTTGGCACCTGTAATTAGGAGTTCCGTTGTTATGTAAATCTACCCCACCCATATATCTATTGTATTGGGCAATTACATAAGGTTGGGGCATATTTACGTCTTTCCGTTCTTTTGTATTATAGCGTTTTACCTTTTGGACAAGATCTACACTAGAAACATTACTTGCCACAGTTACAACTGAATTGTCGTGCCAACGGACGATATAAATTTTTGATTCAGATTCATATAATGAAGGATAGGATACGCGGTCTTTTTTTCCAAATCATTTACAATTTTCCCTTTTTACATTTATTTGTTCCATTTTCCCGAATAGTACCGGTGGCAAAATGACTATTACTTTTTAAATGTACAAACAGTTTGAATGATGGCAAAAAATTGCCAAAAAGAATTTGGTGATTTGCTGGCTTATCTACAACAGAAAGTAGACTCATGACAACGTCACCGCCAAGACCAAGGTCAGAATGAGCTTTATTTTGAACACCATCAGAGCAGGAAGTGAATAAAATAGGTACCCATCAGATGAACAAAGGCACCAAAGCTTGAACCCAAAACGAACTGGCTTACCCCTTATAAACATTTTGCAGGAATGACTGCCAAAGTAAGGTACAATTTGTTGAAAGAAAATATGCCAAACTGAAGATTTTTTTTTTGTTTATTACATCAAAGAAGGGCCTAACTTTTGAAAATTTATCATTTTTATCCAACAGATTATTTTTTTACAATTTTTATAAGTACAATTCCTTTGTCTTCATCAATAGACCAATAACGCTAAATATGTGGCAATGAATGATCACCCGAGAACATCAAAATGCCTACAAAATTTAAAAGTGCATTTTTTGACAACGAGAATTCATGGCGGTTATTCTCTTGAGCATATTTTACCGAAAATTTTAAAATTAAATCAATCACTTCGTCATCAGAAAACACAAAAAATATTTCAAGCGGAGGTTTTCCAGAAAGCCTATTGTTTAGTTTCTCAAATGATCTAAATTCATCGGATATAGGTGTGTGAGTGTACTCAATCTGACCTTTCTTCCATTTGACAGTAGAAGCAAGCCTGCCGTTTGCAGAAAGCATTCGTCTTCTTTTGAATTCCAGGGTTTCATCATCCGATGAGTCCAATTCAGGTTCAGTGCTTGATGAATTACAGGACTGTTGAAGGACAGCTGTACCATTCGGCGTATATAACTCGAAAGTTCCAACTACATCAGTTGGTTCCCCAAGCTCTTGTAGATTTATGTTATCGTCAGTCAAGGTATCCACGTCCGGTGGAATATAGACCCCGTTAATATGTTCTGTAAATATTTTTTCACGTTATTTTTAGCATAAGTTTAAGGGCATAAAATGTAAAAACACTGCGAATACAGCACTTTTCAAAGTATTCCTTGAGGTATCGCAAAGAGGTCCCAAAATTTGCGACATTTGGCTCAGATTGCGCAAGATATTTGACAATTGTGCAATATTTTCAACAATTGCGCAATTTTTTATTTCGATGACCGCGAACTATTTTCGTAAGTACTGAACGTAGATATTGAAAAATATGACTAGCAAATCTTTCTAATATTTCAGATTTAACAAATTTGTCAACTTTAAACGCGTTTCTCAATAAATTCATAATACTCCAATAAAGCCAAAATTTTAAAAATACTTTCAGTGCTTCGTTTATCAGAAATGTGTAAAATATGTTTTTTTTTCAAAGCTATTGTCTGTCTAAAAGTGGATAGGCGCAATCAAGTCTCTTATAATTGCTTATAATTTCCCTTAATTAATGTTTATAATTTAATTAAAACAAGTAGAATAATAGATTAATATTTGACCTACCTAACATACCAAGTATATTTACAGTATTTCCGCTATACTATGAATTTTTGATAGTTTGTCTGGTGTGAATGAATGTCGTTTTAAATAACGAAAATATTTGGCATCCTTATCTAAAATAAAACATATTTAAACTCACCGAGAGGATCGAATTCTTATCGTTCCGTATATAAGCGGTTTACTATCGTATTTAATTTTCAAATCATCAGAAATCATGACCAGCGTTCCGACGTTGCCCCTCGGGGCTTACAAAATACCTATTATTGGCATTGGGACGCTAGCAGTAAGTACACATATTTTTAATATTATATTAAATTAAGTTTGGGTATATTTTAACAATTCATTCTATAAATAGTATGTTACCTTACCTTACCTTACCTTACCACGTTATTTTTGTGAGAGCTAATTAGATGCAATAGCTTCTCGAATTTTAACAGCAAAATATAACAAAATAGTCAATAAATAATTCCGGATAGATGCACATATAATAATAATAATAATATTAATAATAATAATAATAATAATAATAATAGTCTTTATTTTCTAATATCATATCAATATCCAATGGAAATCTGCTCAGTTTACAACAAGAAGAAGATGACAGTCATCTTGATTACAGATAACTCTAAATATTTTCATATCATATGAAAATGGTAATGATTTACCTGATATTCTTCTTCTCGAAATTCATATGATCTCCAAACCATCGATGGTTTGTTAGTTTCTCCCCTGGCAATATGTCCTACGTATTCCCACTTTCCTTACTTCAAGTTTTGACAATATCGAAAAATGCCATTAAAAACAGTCCTGTTGTTGTTTGGCGTTATGGCCATATTTAATCACTATATTACAATAGGTGACTGATATCTGATTCTTCTGATATGATATCATGTTTAATAGGTTCGTTAAAGAATATGGGTTTTACTCACTTTCCTCACTTTAAGTTTTGGCAATATCGAAAAATTTCATTGAAAACAGTCGGTCACAACTAAACCCTACGTTCAGATATGCAATATAATCAGTTTATATGGAAAAAATACAGTGAATAACAAAGAAGAAACAGCTAAGGAGAAAGCCATTGACACATTCATGACTGCAATGCAATAGGTGACTGATATCTGATCTGATATCATTTTTTCTAGAACTAGTATACTGGGTTCGTTAAAGAATATGGCTTTTACTCACTTTAAGTTTTGACAATATCGAAAAATACCATTAAAAACAGTCCTATATTGGAATAGGTGACTGATATCTGATCTTCTGATCCGATTTGATGTTTCCTAGTAGTATACTAACTTCGTTAAAGAATATGGCTTTTACTCACTTTCCTCACTGTAAGTTTTGATAATATCGAAAAATGTCGATAAAAACAATCGCTCACAACGAAAAACTATGTTCAAATATGCAATTACGTCAGTTTATATGGAAAAAATACAGTGAATAAGAAAGAAGAAACAGCTAAGGAGAAAGCCAACGACACCTTCATGATCCTGTTAATATTTGGTATCATTTTCATGGTGAATCGCTATATTGCAATAGGTAACGGACGAGCAGTTACTCCAAAAAACCCTGGACACTGCCTTGGAGGTCGGGTACAGACATTTCGACACTGCGTATTTGTACAGGAACGAGCACCTTGTCGGCAAAGTCCTCAACAAGTGGTTCACATCTGGAAAGGTCAAAAGAGAAGATATCTTCATCACGACAAAATTGCCGTTCGACGGCATCTATCCGGAGGGGTAATATTCTAAAACTTAATATTGGATTAGCGGTACAAACTCACATGTCGCGTAGAGTGGAGAAATTCATCAAGGAATCGCTGGCCGCCCTTCAATTGGACTACGTCGACCTGTACCTAGTTCATTTCCCTATTCGGATAAAACCACTGAACGGCAAAGGGTGGGAACACGTCGAAGGCTTGCCTACGGATCACGTAGCAGTTTGGCGGGTAAGTGAGGCCGGGAAACGTGTAAGCACCACTACAGCAACGAGTGTGTTGCAGGAAATGGAGAAACAGGTAAAGGCAGGTCGCGCGAGAGCCATAGGAGTCTCCAACTTCAATCGGAGACAAGTGGAGAGGCTCCTAAAGGAGGCGGAAATTAAACCAGTCTGCAATCAAATCGAATTGAATGTATATTTACCGCAAACGCAATTCGTAGAGTTCCTACAAGCAAACGGAATCGTCGTGGTTTCGTATTTTTCTTTAGGAAATCCAGGACTGAAGGAGGAGAGAGTTAAATCGGGATTTTGGTGAGCACTTTGAGTATGGTCGCCGACTTAAGCTGAAGATTGAAATTATTTAGGCCAGCCGGTGTACCTGACGTATTGGCAGATCCTACGATAAAGCGTATCGCCGATAAACACAAAAAAACGCCGGCTCAGATCCTGCTGAAAGCACTAGTTCAACGGAAAATTGTAGTGATTCCTAAAAGTGTCACTCCCCGTAGGATAAAGGAAAACTTCGAGCTGTTCGATTTTGATCTGGACGCGGAAGACGTGGATGCTATAGCAGGAGTAGCCATCGGCGAAAAAGCTAGATTGGGCCGACTAAAGCAGTAGGTATATACGACATTCGGTGGATAGAGCGTTCAGTTTTCAATGATTTCAGATTGCAAGACCATCCCGAATATCCTCACCCTGTTTTAGATGACTAACCTGGGGCCTCAATTTTTGTAATATGTCAAATAAAAAATGTCACCAATCGGCCATCTTTTTCGTCTTATGCACCGCGTGCTGCAGGTCTCGTTTTAGTTAATCACTGTCACCTTCATTTCTCTATTAATAGACATTCAAAAAATTCAATACTTCAAAATTTCAATATAAACGATCAGTATGGAAATATTTTTGAGTTCAACACCTGAAGAAGTCGATAAAGACGTCTATGCTATAATAATTTTAGAAGCTATAATCATAATATCTTTATTTTCCAAGTCGTCTTTAGATTTAGATTTAGATAACTATTCGATCAAAATTAAATAATAGTTCGCTTCGTTGGTGCTTGTTAATAAATCAGTAAGACCCTATTTGAGTCTATGAAATCTTGAAAATAACATGAGCATTAAAACAAGAGTACTGTCTGCAGTTGAATTTAACAGCAAACCATTTAAATTATATTGACATAGATAATAAAATAAGCTTAACAAAATAATCTTCTAAATGTTTAAAATCGTGGCTGGGCGGCGCAAGTTCGTAGAGCGTAGCGTGAAGCAGCTTTCTATTTCCGAAAGAAGCCGCTTCGGGCTTTCTTGTTCTGCGGTCCACTATGGAACTATCGCAAAATCGATGCAATTATATTGTGCACACACCCTGTATAAAGCGTCCTTCACGTATCGCCGAATTTCAAAGTCACGACAAACTTTGATAAATATAAAAAGTTGTACAAGCAATAACGATTTGCAATGATATTTTTGCAAGTATCTCGCGCACCCTGTATGATGGACGAAACCTGAAACTCTCCTTTGACACAATTTACGATACTGCATAAACCAAATTATCCCATGTTTTATGGTTTTTCATTTATGGCTAATAATTTAGAAAACAAAAACGTCCATTTTCAGAGGCTATTTGATTTTTTGCCCAGAGTCGACACACCCTGTACACAATTGAAAATATTTCGGTTATAGCGATATATATAGAAAAAATTCAAAATAAAATGAGCGATTATTTGAAACATTAAATGTAGTTTTTAAATATTTATATAAAATGTTTCTAACCAGATGTTAAAATATGTATATAAAATAATTAAATATTACAGAAAACTATGCGTATTGTTATTTTTCAAGTGCCTATAACTCTTAATAACTAAGCAGTCCCTTCAATTTCGCTATATAGAGTTTCGACTGTATATTATATTTGAAAAAAAATCCAACATTGCGCAATTTGCCATATTTGACGATTGTGCAATATTTTCCACGGTTGCGCAGTTTTTTATTTCGATGGTATTTAAATATTTAAGAAATTTATGAACTACATTTTGTTTGTTTTGTAAATTTATCAACTTATGTTTCTATATTATCTATATACACACATTTCTATATGTCACATTGGAAATTCTTGTTAATATTATGAATATTATTTTATTATATATATTATTATTATTTATTATTTTATTGAGAATTTTATTTTTCTTATTTATATTTTGTATTTTATTTATTTAAAATTTTACATATTTGCCTCAATCAATATTTATAATTTAATTAAAACAAATGAAACAAAATACGCATGACACTCGGAGAAACAGGAACTTATAAGTCAATAGGAAACCACCATAATTAGTTCAAATTAGAAAGAATTTATAAGAAGACTTTATGATTTACTTGGTTATCGATATAGTATATTTTATTAGATAAATAAATTAACATTTTTTCTTAATAAATAAGCTGATCATGCTTTGGGGATTTGTTTGACAATCCAAGTTATAATTGGGGATCTTTATCTAAAATGGGAACCTTACGCTGTAAACATATTTCAACTCACCGAGTGGATCGCCTTCTTATCATTCCGCACGTATAAGTGATTTTTTTTATCGTATTTAATTTTCAAATCATCAGAAATCATGACCAGCGTTCCAACGTTGCCCCTCGGGACTTACAAAATACCTATTATTGGTATTGGGACTTTAGCAGTAAGTCCACATATTTTTAATATTACAATAATTTAGGTTTGGGTATATTTTAGACAGTCCAAAATTTATTCTGTAAATAGTATGTTAATCATTAGTTGATAAATTAATTTGAGTACAGACGATTAAAGTTTAGTTTTGATTACTTTCCTATTAGCATCGAAGGGGAATAGATAAAAGATGCTCTCGAAAGATATCGTGGATATGTTAAGTCCGTTGGAAACTAATTTCCACAACACAGATCTAAATATTGAAATGAAACTATTACAATTGAAAATCAAGGGCGATTCAATAAGGGTTTCCACATTAAAATAATAAAAAAAACTCGGGAGAATATAAAAATATACAAACATTTTTATTCGCCATTTTAGATTAGTGTATTACAATTAGTTCACTTTTTGACTTTTTGACACAATTCAGGTTCTATGTCGGCTATTTCGCGTCTAATCTCCTGTTTCAAAAAAAATCTAGGGGAGTAAGATCACATGATCGCGGCGGCCAATAGATATCGCCGTTAAGTGAGATAATCCGACCAGGAAACTTGCCCCGCAGTAATTGCATCGTTTCTCTGGATGCGTGACAAGTGGCTCCATCCTGTTGGAACCACAATTCTTCAATGTCCATACCTTCCAACTGCTCCCAGAAAAAATCAGATGTCATGTTTCTGTAGCGAACACCATTAACCGTAACAGCGTTCTCCGCATTATCCTCGAAAAAAAAGGGCCAATTATTCCTAAGCACCAAAATGCGCACCATAAGTTTCGCATTTGGCATTTTTCTCTAGAACCCTGTATAATACGAAGTATATCCGAATATCTACAAAACTATACACAAAACTGCAATAATGATTTAATTTATCGTAGGCACTAGGTTAGTATAAAATACTACAATTTACAATAGCAAAAATTAGGTTCACTTTCCATAAATAAAACCATATATACGAGGTCTATTCAAAAAGTAATGCGACTTTTAAGTGTCAGCAAAAAGTATTTATTTATTTCTCAAAATTAATGTTATCCCATTCAAAGCAATCCCCCCCCCCATATATATAATACACATGTGCCAACGTTTTTTGCAATAATCGAAGTTGTTCCAGGATTTTTTCTTTATCTCCTCATTAGTTCCAAACTTCCTTAATTTCGTGGGTTTCTTGAGTTATGGGAACAGCAAAAGTCATAGGGGACCATATCCGGTTACTATGGTGGCTGAGGCACGATTGTGGTTAGGTTTTTGGCCAAAAAGCTAGACACATCGCAAGAGTTTTGCAGCACATAAAACTTTATGTAAAAAATAGTACGTATATTTTTAGGTTACCGATGGAGAAGCACTGGAAAAAATGTTGAACGCTGCTTTGGAGGTAGGCTACAGGCATTTCGACACGGCATTTTTGTACAGGAACGAACACCTTATCGGCAAAGTCCTCAACAAGTGGTTCACGTCGGGAAAGGTCAAAAGAGAAGATATCTTCGTAACTACAAAGTTGCCATTTGATGGTACATATCCGGAGGGGTAATATTCTAAAATTTAAGTTGGTATTGATTGTACCGACTCTTGTCTGGCGTAGGGTGGAAAAATTCCTGAAGGAATCATTGGCGGCCCTTCAATTGAACTACGTCGACCTATATTTAGTGCATTTTCCAGTTCGGATAAAACCGTTAAACGGCAAAGGACTTGAAGCCGCTGAACCATTGCCAACCGACCATTTAGGCGTTTGGCGGGTGAGTCCGATCTGGAAACCTGCAAGCGAGCGATATAGAAACGGATATTTTGCAGGAAATGGAGAAACAGGTGAAGGCAGGTCGCGCCAAAACCATCGGCGTCTCGAATTTCAATCGGAGACAGGTGGAGAGACTTCTAAAAGAGGCCGAAATTAAACCAGTCTGCAATCAAATCGAGTTAAATGTGTATCTACCACAAACGCAATTCGTGGAGTTCCTTCAAGCAAACGGAATCATCGCGGTTTCGTATTTTTCCTTGGGAAATCCTGCACTAAAACAGCAGAGAATTCAGTCGGGATTCTGGTAAGCAGCTTGGGCAGAAATTTATTTGTATTTATTGTATTTTCTATGTGACACATAAATTTTCCATATGAAAACCTTTGGTTTTAAAAATTACAAAAATTTAATAGAAATAAGGAGCAATTTATATAAAAAAAAGTACGTTATCGAGAGCTGCCCTAAGTATATATAGGCAAAAGTAATTAAAAAATGAATAGCTTGATTCATTTTGATCCATTTTGTTTAAATTTTATGTTTTTTTGTGGTGCCATCGATATTTTGCAGAAATTTTAATACTGCAAGTGGGCTATGACCGCTTCGTTAATATCAGCTGTTAACAGCTAACGTCAACAGCTACTGTTAAACATAGACGCCGTCGTAGCTCTCGAAAATTCAAATTTTCAAGGTTTTTGTTAGGTGTTTTTTTAATATTATATCGTCAATCTGTTTAGATTTTTTGATATATGAAAATTAGAGATTATTTTTTTTTTTTTTTTGAAGGTTACTTTAAATAGTGTTAAACAATTTGTATAAATTTAAACAAATGGTAAATTAAAAATTATTAATTTAGGTAGATAAAAATTTTTGGACATTTTGGACACTTTTATGGGTTATGTTGTGAAATTAAATATGCCTGCCACAAAATTATCAGGTTGGTTTTTGAGATACAGGGTGAAATCTAAAACTATCCATTTTTTATATTAATTGGAAGTTATTCAAGCATTTCAGAAATATATATTAGTATAAAGTTGCCTTGAAATTTTTTTTTCATATTTTATTTTATTCGTAACAGTAGGCCATGATTGATCTACAAAAAATATCCAATACTAACATAATATTATACCTAAAACTGGTGTTCAAATTGGAGTCTATTTTTCTTATTTTTTTAATGGCGTTTAAAAGAATGATTCGTAGAGTTTTGAAAGTTAAGAGCTTTGATTTCGGGCACCATCTTGCTGAAGTTATATATCATTATAATTTAATTTATTATTAATTATAATTAAATGTCACGGCCAACTATCTGCTTAATATTATAATAACATAATATTTATCAAATTAATAAGACATTATTATTTATAAAATATATATTTTCATCCTGTTCTTTTTGTATAGTAATAATTGCTAAGACATATCTTATTTTTACTTGATTTAGTTGATTGACTAAGGCTTACTACTACAAATAAAGTAAAAAAAAAGAATGTTGTGCTTAATTTTGAAAACAACTTTATACGGATACATGTTTTTGAATAGCCTCAATGATTTCCAATTAACGCAAAAAATAATATATAGGGTATTCCATTTAAAAAAATATATGTTTGCTTCATAACCACCCCACTAGATTCTACGGACAAACTCCTATAGGAACATTTCTTAAACTTTTCAACTCTGATAATTTTCTTCACAGTATCTTTAAAAATAATTGATATACCCCGTAAAACTGTCCAAAATGGGACGCCCGGTACAGTGTATTCTCCATTTTGACACCATATATCACTTAAAAAGCACTTTCACGCTTTCTGGACCACTGGCAGATAGCTTAAGCTGACGGTTGAATACATTTAGGCCAGCGGGAAAACCTGACGTATTGGCCGATCCTACGATAAAACGTATCGCCGATAAACACAACAAAACACCGGCCCAGATCCTGCTGAAAGCTCTGGTTCAACGGAAAATTGTAGTGATTCCTAAAAGCGTCACTCTCAGTAGGATAAAGGAAAACTTTCAGCTGTTCGATTTTGATCTAGATGCTGAAGATGTGGAAGCTATAGCTGGGATAGCGATCGGCGAGAGAGCTAGATTGGGTCAATTTAAACCGTACGTATTGGATATCGGATGATCGAGAGATTAATCGTAATGTTTTTAGATTGCAAGGCCATCCGGAATATCCTCACCCTGTATTGGACGGCTAAATTCGTCTCGGTATTTTTTGCAATAAATGTGGGAAACTCTGAGCTTTTTCCATTTAGCGTTCAATTTCAACCATACTGACCTTTTGCAATCCTTAAGGGTTGATTTAAACTGTGAACTATGCTTTGTTGACCACTTCGTTAATCGAATAAACTAACCTTTTTTAATTCTTTCTTTTAATACCAAAAATTTATCTTTCGATCGGACAATAAAATATCTTTATCTCACTTATTATAATCCACCATTCTGATCATTTCATGATCGCCCTACGGGAACTCATGAAACAACTACCTAAGAAAAATTTTGCGGAGGTTCATTGTCAGCTATAACTGCAAATTCCGACATTCGACCCGTAAGACCTCGCGGCTTTCACCAAACAACATGGCCGCTGACAGATCGTCGATGTTGGGATTCAATTTTCAGACAAAAGAGGAGTTAAGTTTTTGTTCTTCATGCCCCGAATTCTGTACGTATTTTCTCAAAAAGAAATAAAAAAATATGTTACTAAATAGCATAAAAATATTTATTTTTCAATATTTGCGTATTAGCCGACATAAGATGCCTCACTGTTACCATTTTAAGGAACTTGATTTGAGAGGATTACCACTTTTAAAAATCGTACAATAGATTAAAATATTGTTAATTATTAGCAGAACATCAAAAGTAATAATTTCATTAACTAACTACAATTATTTTTGCTGCGAATTTCCACAAATACGGGGTGCGTTCAAAAAGTAAGGTGGCTTTTAAGATTTCTCAAAAAGTATTTATTTATTTATCAAAATTCATTTTAAATTACACACCTCGTATATCATGTTCATTTGAAAACACGCATGCCGCTGTAAAAACTTGTGCGATTCTATTTATAACTTGCCAGCGAATATGGCGATAAAATTGGAATAGATAAACCATGGTTTGACCGTCAAATTTTATGTTTTTCAAGAAGGAAAGCTTCAACGTTAAAATACGAACAAGTAAATATACGAACAAACAAAAAGTGTAATTTCACATTAGTACCGTTTAGAATTTAGAATATATCCTTATTATTATACAGGGTTTCTCAATAATTATGTATACAGGTATTGGAGTTAGTGGAAAAGGAAATCTGTATTTGGATATCACATATTCTCCGGAAGCTCTTTGCCTAGTTATTTCCGGAATGCCACAAAAAGGACCATAACAAATACAGTAAAGCGGCACATTGGAGCGCACGTCTCATTTTCGAAATTTACTGCCTCTTGCTGTGAAGTCCCCAAAATAAATGATATTAATTTCATAGGAAAATAAAATTTTAATTATTACGTATTGATTTATTGCACTTTACGAATTTTTTTCGTCTAAAATAATAAATAAATTAAGAAAAACGTCTTTATTTTTCACGCGGCGCAGGGCAGCTGGGTTGATGACTTAACCGAGCAAGTAAACAAAAATTTACAAAAAATATCATAAGCAATTAAGTGAATGAGCTAACAATAAGAAAAGATTAAAACAAAAATAAAAAAAAGGACAATAATTAAAGCAATAAAATTGACAAGGCTAGTTAACATTTAACAACAGTACAAAAATATAACTTATATAATTTCTATTAACAGCTAGTTAACAGCAAGTGTTTGTAATAGGAAACAATCGGTATTTTAACATTGTTGATTGAAATGTCGAGCAGCTTACTAGCCCAATTTTTAAAAGATCTCAGCAGCCTCAGATCCGAATTGAAGATAATAAAGAAGAAAGGTCCCAGAAGAGAACACCTCTGTCCAACACTGATGCCGCTGATCTTCTATTATCAACCTCTACTATCTACTTTCTAAGGAACTAGAAATTATTCTGATTGTTTGGATTGGATTGGGCAGAAAGTCATCGAGAACTGTCATCAGAGCTGTTGAGGTGCCTTACGAAAGTCTATCGAAATAACGAATTAATTGTCTGTAAGTTAACTTTTCAAACACAATAAGCCGACAATAACCTACTGAGTCTAAGATCAGATACATTTTTTGGGGCACTAACTTTAACTAAAGAAATGAAGAATGTGCAAGAATGAAGAAAATCTTTATTAAAAATCTAGATACACTAGGGCGCAAAAAAAGTTAGGAAGTATCATCAAAATTATTCACGAAAATGGATTTCTCATTTCAATAACAACTTTACTTATGAAGTACACTGTATATAAAATATTGCAAAAAAAAACAGAAACTTCTAACTAAAATCCATTTTGTTCTCTAGCAATCTTCTTCGAAATATTAAACTACATTCATTGCCAGTAAGATGCAGTACAATATGACGCAACTATGACGTATCCGAAGTCCAGAATTGTTGGCTGAAATATATTGGCGTGTGAAGCAAAAGAAACGCGATCTTTAAAGTCAACTTACCGGTGATCCAGGCTCTGTAAGCGGGAACGCTGGAGTAAACTCCCGGGACACCGGCCCTGGCACATCCTCCTCCAAAGGACACGATTCCCGCCAATTTTCCGTTAATAACCGCCGGTCCTCCGGAGTCTCCCTGGCAAGCGTCCTTACCGCCGGCATCCAGGCCTGCGCACCACATCCTGCTGGAAATAACGTTTCCGTAAATGCGACGACAGTTCGATTGCGAGACGACTGGCACCTAAAAATTGAAAATGTTCTTCCAGAAATGAAAAAAAAAAAAAAAAACCTGCCCGCTGCCAGTTTCAAAATGTCTCTTTTTTGAATGAGCTTCTACAACACTAAATGAATTTGCACCTGAACGCCGAAAGGTAATAAAAACTATATTGGGTGACAAGATGTGGTGAAATAAATAGACAACGAGATCAAAGAAAGAGATCCACTATACCGAAGATTTGTAATGGGGAGGATATAGGCATAAAAGGAGTCAAGTAGGATCATTAATCCAAGTAAATAATTGGCCTTTGTTGTTCTCTGTAAATCCTAATTTTTTCTAGATATTCCAGTCGACATTTCCGAATTCTAAAAGATTCCGTTAAAACTTGCCTCTTGTCAATTTTTTAAAATCTAAAGCCCATGTGTTGAATACACTTCCATAAGGTATTTCTGCCACATTTAACACCGGTTTCATCTTTTTCAAGCCTAATTATATCTTGATCACAGTTGATGTTGGAATTTTCGTCAATGTGGCCGTTTCTTCTCAAGATGCTTGCTTGCTGGCACCACGTTCAATGAGAGTCAAATAAACATTGTTTATAACTTCCTTGGTCTAATGAGATACACTAGACTCGCACATATTTCTATTATACACGAGATAAGAATGATTACTAATAAACTTAAACTGAGTAGTATACCAAACCAAAGAATATTAAACACAGGTAGGTATACAATTATTTTCTATTACGGACCACAATTTTAGCTGAATTAAAATTCCGAAACTTTAGGTAATAATCTTGTTGCATTGTATGCTAATGACCACGATGGGTAATTCCATTCAATAGCAATTGGTCACTTTCTTATATTTATGAACAGACCATAGTTTGTAAATACTACATTTATCGTCGAAACAATTGTCATGTGAAAATATATAATTTCGTGAAAATCTGAACTTTTAGTTGTTATTTATTTTGATTTTTTTACTTATTAGGTTATTTCGCACAGCCTATCAGAAAGACAGTGGTCCAATTGGTTGAACGACTTCAAAAATTCTATCCCAGTATTTAGTTCTCGAGTGTGACGGAATTAACCGATTGCGTATGGTTGGTAAAGTCATCACTGAAATAGCAGGTGGTATTTGAAATACACAAGTTTTTTCCAATTAATTGCTTTTGATGGTAAAAGTGAAGGACTGCCGATTGATACCATTTTTTTTATTGCAGATATGAAAAAATTGTAGGTATATAATATAGCAAAAATATAGAACAATCTAACCTAAAGTGCCTTAAATATCGATCAAGATATTGGGTTGTTCGGAAAGTCATTTCGTTTTTTTTTGGGGAACCTGAAAAACAGTTTTCGTATAATGAATAAATAGTTTATTAAATTATATATTGGCCATTCTGGTCCAACACCTTTTGCCATCTTTCTGGCAGTAACATAATTCCTCTCTCATAAAAGTTTTGGTCCTTGCCGGCAAAAAGCTGGTTCAGGTGGTTTTTGACGTCTTCATTTGAGGTAAAGGTTTTGCCATCCAAAAAATTTTGCAGGGAGCGGAACAAATAGTAGTCGGAAGGCGCCAGATCTGGAGAATATGGTGGATGTTGCAGTACGTCCCATTCAAGCTGTAAAAGTTTTTGGCGAGTGACCAAACTTGTGTGAGGTCTCGCATTATCCTGGTGGGACACTACACCCTTCCTGTTGATTAATTCGGGCCTCTTCTCTTTAAGTGAATCATTCAATTTGTCCAGTTGATGACAATAGACTTCTGAATTAATCGTTGTATTGTCCGGCAAAAGCTCAAAAAAAACGATTCCTTTGACATCCCACCAAACGGAGAGCATCACCTTTTTTTGGTGAATGTTGGCTTTTGACACGCTTTGAGTCGGTTCACTTTTCTGCTCCATGACCTCTTGCGTTTAACATTGTTGTATACAACCCATTTTTCGTCCTCAGTAATAATCCGCTTCAAAAATGGATCATTTTCTTGACGTTTGAGGAGCGAATCACACACGTCAACGCGACGACACAAATTTCGCTCGGTAAGGACATGGGGCACCCACACATCGAGCTTCGAGGTTAAGCCCATGCCTTTCAAATGGCCATAAACAGTCGAATTCGACAAATTTAATCTCTCACCGATCTCTCGTGTGGTTATTCGCCGATTTGCATCAACTAATGCCTTTATCGCATCTTTGTCAGCTTCGACCGGCCTTCCAGACCGTGGTGCATCTTCGACACCAAAATTGCCGGATCGAAATTTTGCAAACCAGTTCTGGCACTGGCGTACTGTTAACACGCCTTCTCCATACACATCCGTCAATTTTTTCTCACTTGGACAGCATTTTTACCTTTTCTGAAGTAAAAAAGTAAAATATGACGAAAATGCTGCTTATTGCTCTCCATATTTAAAAGGACACCAACCAAAAACTACTGCGTAGAATTAATAGAACTTTTTCACACACAAGCCTTGCAATATCAGCTCTCAAGACATATAATGGTTATGCGGCTTAAGTGTGAAGTTGGTTTCGAAAAAACGTAATTAAGTCCTCTGACGGGAAAAAACGAAATGACTTTCCGAACAACCTTATACTATCTTGAACTAATTTCTAAAAGAATAACTAATATTTGACAGGTTTTCTGTCATTCTTTGGTGAAAGTAGCTTTTTTCAGCGAAGCAGCTATTGAATTCTCCCATTCTTTCGATGTTTTTGATGTGTTTGCCTTCTTATCCGCATCTGAAAATATTTCAGTTTTGAGAAGGGCAGGTTTTATATATCTGTACTTAATAAAAAAAAATAAAAATTACGAGACTGGAATGTTATATGTTTAAAAAACAGACTTCAAAAATCTCTACATCCGCCTTTTACGTAAAGGCTTGATTTGACGCTGATAGTACTCTCTAGTGATCTTAGATGCTAATCTCCACGATGATGTAGGTATACATTTATGTATTTCATTTAATTAAATACAAACCTTATTAAACTCTCATCGGTAAGATCTCTTTCATGAGAGTAGGTACGATCGCCCGCAAAAAAAAACCTAGAACAAATACCCTAAAATTTTTCCTAGTTTTTTTTTGCTCGAGATGGTACCTACCATCACAATCAGCCTTGAAAAATAGGAAACACCTTTTCATGTGAAAATTGTACGTTATGAAGGGTGATTCCTAAAATTAATGCTTTGTTTTTGGGGACTGATTCTTGCATCAATTTTAAGAAAAACAACCTACAACCAACTATACTATATAACTAAAAATATAATTTTGTTCTGGGGGATTTTCTCTAACATTGTTTACATAAATAAAAAATTAGTTTAGTTTGAAGAGAAAGTGGATTTTATTTTTGTTTTCAAAAACTAAGCAATAAGATACGAAAAGAAGTCTAGAATCAAAAAGATATGTAATCTAAAACGTGTATAGGTTACAAAAAAGTCAGTTTTATCTTAACTCGGTCAACTAAGCAATCACCATAATATATATTTTATTAAATTATATTTCTTTGCTTTATTTACATTACATTTACGTCTCATTTATTTTTAAAAAACATAATACCTACTTACCAAATATTAATTTGGCCAATTTTAATTTTGAAAATTTCAACTTTTTCTTCATGCTCAACCAAGTAAATTTCATTGCAAATTCATTTGAAATCAACAGGGTCAGAGCTTGCTGTCTCATTCACCTAGCAAAATAATAAAAAACAAGGGATGATGTTGGTAGACTACACAACAATGCTTCGTTCAGCTTAGAATTTATCAAATATTATGTTATATATTACCTTAAAGCTGTACTTACATGAATTATTTGTTTTTAAGTAATAATAAGCACAGCACACAAAATACTCAAAATAGACGCCAAGTCGCCAAATAAACAAGGCTGAAAAGATGGCGGACGACGAGACGGAGGGGAAGCCGACGAGACTCGAGCGAGTCCGGCACGGCACGACCGCAAGTAGTTGCGTCATTGGTTGCAGCTCCGAACAGTATTGTCAAATGGGATTTTATAAACAAGTATATTATTTTTACGTTTTTGTATTTTTTTACTTAGATTTTTTATTAAAAAAGCTTTTCTTGTCTAGTTCGTGTCCAAAAATAATAAAAACAAGTTGATTTTAACGGTTTGATTTCGGATTGGCCAACATTGACGTTGATATAGATGTGCACAAAAATGTTGCCAACAAAATGTCTTATAAAACACCAGAAATCTAAAAAAAACAAGTATTTTCCTTCCCAGTTGTTCAAAATTGAACTTTTTAGGTTTCGTTTTGTTTTACGGTATTTCACTTTTTTCCCTTATTTTCCTTTTTTATGAACGAGGTTAACGCCAAAATTTCCCGGCCTCACATAGATGCAGCTCCAGTATCATGATAAAACTTTGTCTTTTTTTAAATATGTATCTTAGTATGCTACGAAAAAAAATTGAAGCCTTGCGTCGAATAGTTTTTTATTGACAGCATTTTAAACAAGACGGGTCCGAAAAAATGTCGCACATAACGCAAATTGAGTATAGAGCAGTCATAAAGTTTTTGACAAAAAAAGGGTTAGCACCTATAATTATTAAAGAAAGGCTGGATGGTGTGTACGGCCAAAGGTCTCCTTCGTATTCTGTAGTGAAAGAATGGGCAAAACATTTTCGAATGGGGCAGGAGTCTCTTGAAGACGATTCAAGAACTGGTCGATCAGTGGAGGTCATAACGGAAGACATTGTTTCGATTGTGGAAGAGGTGGTATTGAGTGATCGACCGTTATAGGTCAAAGAAATCTCAGAAATTACTAAGCTTTCTGATACAAGTGTTCGTCGATTCCTGCATGATCCTTTAGGTATGCATAAGGTGAGTGCAAGATGGGTTCCTCAAAACCTTTCGGCTATTCGGCGGATATACTGGGGATATTGTATGCTATCTGGCCTGGAGTCTTCGTTCTTACCTGGACGGCCCGTAGCTCGGTAGAACCGAGTTCGGAACCTTCGTAGGTATCCCCCCATCCGGACACAGTAACCATTTCTCCGGCTGAGTAAGATCTACCGCTGAAATCCATGGCCAAAGGCGTCGCGTACCCAGTAGTCACCACCGAAGCAAGATGGATGATCCCTATGTCGTAATCCACTGCGCTGGCATCACGATAATCGTACTTCTCGTGGATCTTGTAAGACGCCGCGGAAATTCGTTCACCACCGCTTTGATGTAGCGACGATCCAAGTCGAACGCTCAGTTGACCAACGGAGGTTATAACATCGGGTTCCAAACAATGCGCGGCGGTTAGAACGGTCCTGTTGGATATCAAAGCTCCTCCGCAAATTTGCAGTCCGTTGCGTAATACTGCCACTTGGTACGCGAAGTCTCTGATGTCCACTGCGACACCGCCTACTATGCGACCTTCGATCCTGGTACCATCGGTAAGGTTGAAGGTCGCGTCATGGTCTCCTAGAACCGATTCATCGTAATTGAGGACTCGTTGGATGCGGTTTTGGTTCTTTACTTGGTGGGTAGACTTTTCAAAATCTGAACTTTTAGTTCTTATTTATTTTTTTAAATGGATTTTCATCAAATAAAAGCAACACGATAAACATTGAGGCAGACTATACTAAGTAGATTGCGAGACAATTTCGGTTAATCCAGCAGGCTGGTAAATAGTAATCATTGTTATAATAAAAGAAACATGTAGCTACTTACCATGTGCCAATAAAGTTCTAATAAAAATATGTTGTTATAACACAAAATTATTATCTAATCAATCCTAATGTAATATATGTATATGGAAATGGAAATTTAAAACCAATTTACTATATCTACAGAGACCGATTAGTTTCGTTCATAGTTGAGAACTTTTAAGCTGTCAATAAAAATGTCGAGTGACTGTCTAACCATGCGCTTTAAAATCCTGAGCATTTTGAAAAATCTAAAATTGGGATAATTATATTTTTGTTCCCATATAGAGTAGTTAATAGAATCTAATTTTCAGACGAACTCTTAGATCTTTGAATTCTGGGATGCTCACCCAAACTTATTGAAAAAAAAATAACGAATTTGAGGCGCTCACTCACCCAAGCAATGAACGGCAAGTTCAAGCACGAGCAAGATGGTCAGCATGTTACGGTTTGCGTTTCTCTGGCGATAATTTTAACCATTGGAACATTACGATAATAATTTACACCATTTTTTATCTATTCCGATACGGAGGTGACTAACATCAATATAAATTTATTTATCTGACAGATTTCATAGGATTATCATCTATTACAAATTATTCTCCTGGAAAATGTTCGTATTTCTATATACGTTTGTCAACAGCGGTCATCTTCCATTAGTGGGTAAAAAGTTATTAAATAAACATCCTAAACAAAAATTTTGGCGTTATTTCCCATAATTCCACACACCAAGGTGTAGGTTTTTAAAATAAAATTTGATTCCCTGCTACCAGTTCCTCCATGGTATCTACGGAGTTTAGGGAAATAGAAAACAAAGAACACTTTTAAAAGATTTGTATTATTATAATATATACCAGCACCAACTTTATCATACAAACAAAAGTACAATAAAGAAATTATAAGTTATAGAATAGGAATAGAATAAAACCTTGCGCATCCACCATAAATTGCTATATTTCAGTAACTACTTCCAAATCGATATTCGGTATTTTTTTGGAGACAAATGAAGTCTTTACCGGGGTTTAACGTGGTTCGTAAGGCACGTTTAATGAATTCATATAAAATTTATAGCCATTTGTTAATTAGACACGCGGAAAATATTTTTGCGCATCCATTTAGAAATTTTATTATTACCACTACTAAAGGACATAAAACCGTAGAAATCCCTAATTTATGTGTGAAGAAAAGATCTTATAAATGGCTTTTTGTCATATTAAACACATTGAAAAATACGTTGGTGGCAATATTAACAATAAGTTAATTGCTAAATGCATTCGGCAAACGTCCGTCACTGAAACACCATATAATATACAGATTACAGAAAAAAAAAACTTTAAAAGTGGCTTTTTTACTTGATTCTTTAATTTTTTTAGCTGAATAGTAAAAGGGAGGCGGTACATGCTCAATGTACTTGCATTGCCAAAGAAACTGGCGAATGCAAACATATTGCGGCATTTATCCACCAAATAAACAATGACCGGAGTGCGTCTAAAACGAGTGTTCAGCAAGAGTGGGGATTTCCATCAATTAATCATTGAGCAAAAGAAAAATATTCTGGAGGAGCTACGGTAAATGATCTTTTTCCTCAAAAAGCGCTTAAAAATCCTCCTCAGCCACTGCACTTGACTTTGGAAGACTTTGACGATATCGAATGCCCACTGGATCATATTAGTGAGGAAGAACAAGTCTGTACGGTGGTCATGAATATATGTCTCGAAGAACGACAGGTAGAACTAATATCAGAGTGTACGAAAAAGGTGATTGCTTGTCTTTTAAAGAGTGCTGGTCAGTGTATCACCATAGGAAAAGACAAGTTGGCTCTGTCATCTGAGATAGCACAGTTTTACAGAGACCGGATACTATTAGACAGTGAAGAAGTTTTCACATTGTGTTTACAAACCACACAACAAAGCGAGACCGTAAAATGGTTTGAAGCAAGACGTGTACGCATAACGGCCAGCGCAAAAGCTCATAAGATAAAAACAATAACTCGCACTTCAGCTGAATCTTTACTACAGGATTTTCTGCGTCCGAAAAGTTTAAATTATTAAATTAAATTATGGATTCAGAAAAAGATGAATTTGAACAATTGCTTGAACACCATATGGACAATACAGCTGACTCACATGAAGTGATATTAGTCGGAGACTTTAACGCCAGAGTGGGCAAACAAAACACCAGTAATATAGTAGGTCGACATGGAGAGGATGCAATTAACAACAATGGCGAACGACTAATAAACTTTTGTCAACAATACGCCCTCAAAATAAACAATACATTCTTTGCACATAAAGACATCCATAAATTTACTTGGTACCAGCATACAAGAAACCTAAAGTCTATTATTGATTATATAATTACTAGACAAACTTCAAACCTGCAAGTGCGAGATGTGAGAGTCAAGAGGGGTGCGGATTGTGGATCAGACCACTACTTTGTCGAGGCAAAAATATGTATTCCATATCCTTGGAGGAAACAGATAAAAAATCCAGAAACAGAATCCTACACATTTGACCCAAGAATTATTAGATACAATCTCAATAGCCTAGAGCAGGAAAGCACAAGATATCTATACCAACAGAGACTAGCCCAAAAAATTAAAACAGGAAGATAAGAAAATCGAACAACACAGGAAGAGTATGATTTCATTATAGAGTGTATAACAGACGCAGCAGAAGAAGCTCTCGGGAAAACAGCAGAAAAAGATGACAAACCCTATTGGTGGGATAGGGACATTGAGAAACAGATTGAGACAAAGAAAAAATTACATATACAGCGATTACAAGACAGAGATAATAGAGAATTACAGAAAAAATATTATACACTTAATAAGGAGATCAAACGACAAGTAATAAATAGAAAGAATAATAGTTGGGAGAAAAGATGCGAATATATTGAACAATATATAGGAGGCACTAGGAGTTCTGAGGCATGGCGTACTATTAAGAATATCAGAAAAAACGCGAAAAATTGTGCATTTCCAAATAACATATCTAATCAACAATGGACAACACACTTTAAAGATCTATTAGAGGAAAAAAGGCCGGAATTTGCAAACGATATGGTGGAAGTCATCGAACGAGAAAATGAGAAGATAGATATAACACAGCTAGATGTGAAGAAAATAGCAAAACACCTTAAGAATAAAAAAGCACCGGGCATAGGGGGAATATACCCAGAATTTCTGAAATATGGCCCTAATGAACTGTTCGAGGTCTTGGCTAAACTTTTTAAGAGATGCATAAATGGTGAAGAATTGCCCACAGATTGGCGAAATTCTTATATAACGCCTATACATAAGAAAGGAGACAAGAGCAACCCTAAAAATTATCGCGGAATTGCAGTGATATGTACAATAGGTAGAATATACTCAAAAATAATACGAGACCTGGTTGAGAAAGCTATAGAAGATAAACAACCAGAAGAACAAGCAGGCTTTAGAACAGGGCGCTCAACTGTGGACAATATCTTTACGATTAAAATAGCGTGCGAAAAAAGAGTACAAAGAAATAGGGAATTGCACATAGCCTTAATTGACCTTGAAAAGGCGTACGATAGCATCCCATTGTCGCAATTATGGATGACCCTAGAAAAAGCAGAGATACCCTATAACTTAAGGAGCTCCATAAAAAACCTATATAAAAATAATTCCACTAGAGTAAGAAATGGAAAAAACTATACTGAAGCATTCTTTACCACTAAAGGCTTACGACAGGGCTGTTGTCTCTCACCTACACTTTTCAAGATATACTTAGATAAGGCTTTAGAGAAATGGAGTAGGAAGATTAGTGAGATGGGACTGAGAGTGGGAGACTACCCATTGTACAGTTTATATTTTGCGGACGATCAGATAGTCATAGCAGAAGACCAGGACGATCTCAACTATATGATACGAAAACTGAAAGATGAATATCAAGCTGCTGGCCTTATAATAAATTGGGAAAAATCAGAATATATAATAGTAGGGAACGAACATCAAGAAGACCTAATATTAGAAAATCATAAACTCAAAGGTGTAAAAACTTGCAAATATCTAGGAGTTACACTTAACAAGCAGGGCAGCAGTGACGATGAAATAAAGGAAAGAACCAATAAAGGTAAAAAGGTTATAAGAGAGTTGAACTCGATCTTATGGGATAAAACAATTACAAAAGAAACGAAAAAACGGATATACACTAGCATCGTCCAGAGTATAATCACATACGGATCCGAAACGTGGGATATGACAAAAAAGAACAGAAACAAATTGATGACGACGGAAATGGACTTCTTACGACGTAGCTGCAGAAAATCAAAAATGGAAAGAGTAAGAAATGACACCATAAGGGAAAGCATGAACATGAACACAAATATAATAGAACAAATAGAGAAAAAACAGCTGATATGGTTTGGACATACGAAAAGAATGGACGATACAAGATGGCCCAAACGCCTACTCGAGTGGGTACCAGTAGAGAAAAGAAAACGTGGAAGACCTCGAAGAAGCTGGAGGAATGAGGTAGATGAAGCTATGACATCCAGAGGGCTAGAGGAAGACATGTGTCTGGATAGAAAGAAATGGAAACTGGGGACGGAGAGGCGGCACGTACCGTAGAAATCCGTTATATATATATATGAACATCTACGATTCAATTAATTTTTCATATCATCCTCTGTACAAACGTGGGTCTTTTACGTCCAGCCGTTTTGTATCTACTGATCTCGGTCCAAAAATTATGTACAAAATTACTGTTAACGTTACTAATTGTCAATCCGATATATCGATTATAATTTTACGAAACCAATAGAGAAACTTCTTGAAATGTACGTGGTTTACTCAATAAATATTACATTAAGGACAAATGAAAAATTTTACAACCAACTAAACGCCAGATGTAAAGCAAAAAATATAGTTTTTCGTGGAAAAAAAATTTTGTTTTTTTAATGTTAATTACATGGCCGGGGCAAAACAGACCCACGTTTATAAATCAAGGTTTAATAAATAGAAAAATTAACTGCTTCGTGCTTGTACTCGCTCTGATTTATTTATTTTTGGTTTTCCGTAATATTTTTCAGGAAATATTGTTGGGAGATATGCAGGGCTATTAGGATGCTCCGACTTTTTACCTCCTACAAAATGTTGATCTTAAACTAGGAAAATTAAATAATGGTTTTTACAAATTTATAACAATAAATTCTGAATCAGTTCTTAGGATAATCATGGTCTTACTTACTTCATTCTTTTCACAGCTTTAACCCACTCTACTCTCTTTTCGAGGTTATAGCCTTGCGTGGGGAATTTATAAAATTTTTTGTTGTTTAAGTCTTCATTAACACAGCAGCCAGGAACACAACAAGTATTTCCTGATGGCCTCGTTCTAACCATTTTTTATTTATAATTAAAAACCGTTTAAAATTATTTATATTTTCACTTTTAATCACACTAGTCATTAGAGTGTACGAAAATTTGGAGTGCAAAGATTCGACTGACGCTCACGAGGATCGCTGGCATCCAATTTTTCCTTGACCACGCCCCTCCGCACAGAGCCTACAGCATGTAGATTACATCGCAGAAAACATACATTGGAAATACTATATTGATTATGTTTTTTTTTTTTTAATACGTGGATGCACCACTGGTTTTATCTGTGAAACAAAGCTTTGTTATTGCCAGTCTAGACAAGTCAGCGTACGTAGGGTAAACGTGCAACAATTAGCGTGTTCTTTATGTATTCTTAAGTGCAACAAAATAAATTATTTCAAAGCAAAAAAGTATTTTTTTATTTTTTTTATGCTTGGGATAATATGAGTTAACATCAGGTATAGAATAAGTTTTTCTAATTTTCTTCATCTTCGTCTTAATCAAAATTTCTTTCTACTGTCTTCGTCTGCCGTGTGACACCATTTCGGTCCTCAAATTGTTTAACTAAATTTTTGATTGTATTTATTGAAGGAAATCTTCTATCAAGGAACTTTTGTCGATATTCTCTTTTAGATCATGCGACATTATGTCCGTTTGAATAATACAATTTTATTATTTGACGTTTTTCTTCCTCGGTATAAACCATTTGAAGTATCTTAAGTTATTTGACTTACGCGGCAGATCTTTAGCTTTGATGAATCGTAAAAGGTAGAAAATTTTTAAAACAATTGCAGACCTTCATAATATGGGTGCTATCAAGGGCGACTTGACCATTTTTAAACAATATGATAATTATTTTTAAACTGAAATATCTCAAAAGCGGATAAATGAAATGTCAATAAACTATCTGTTTTTGAAATCAGGAAAAAAAGATCTGCGATTTGGACACAAACAAAATATAGGGCGTTCCAATTTAAAAAAATGATGTTGCTGTCATTTTGACAGCTAGCGATCGTCGTTTGTTTTTCCTGACATTTGCATAGATAATAGAACTTTTGCATTTACACTTATTTTCAAAATATAATGAATAATCATGTACCAATAGAATTCTTCGTTATTGTGCCGTGCCTTCTTGGGATATAACTAAAAAATGACCGATCCCCAGTCACATCACTCCGAAAAAGGGAGCAAACAACGAACTTTACGGAAACCCGAAGGTCTGAGACGCAAATTGTCGGCGCCGTTTGTTATTTACATTTTTGGGGGACTTTTGTGAATATTAAAACAACGGCTGACTTTTTCAGGCAAAAGAAGATTCTCGCTTGGTTAAATGGAAGTTCGCAAAATTGAATTATCCCCGGGGGCAAACGAAAAGGAAAAATTTGAACTCAAAATTGAGAGTGGAAAACGTTTTTGAAATATTAGCTTATTTACTTCGTCTACTCGGTTTGTGCAAAAAATTCTAACGTCTACTATGATGGAAATACGAATTAATGAGGAAATTAGATTAAATCATTTATCACGGCAAAAAAATTAAGAATTAATAAATGAATTTTTGAAATGATACAACTAATATAAAAATTTTATTATTAGATAATTAATTAATCAGCATTGAGAACAAAAAACACCAGCCATAAAAAATTTCGGTTAAAACAAGAAAAGAAAAGGCTGAGACTGATTCAAATCTTCATTATTTAATGCCGTTTTACTTAAAATTTCCGAGATTTTAAAACTACACTATTTTCATGCATAACGTTCATTTATTTTACTGCAAAAACACCAACCTGAAAGAATTTTACTATAACTTCAAACCGCCAAAAAAAATTGTCAATATTATTTGAGTTTGGTGATGAAAATACGAATTTATGAGGCAATTACATTAAATCATTTATTACGGCAAAAAAAGTAAGACTTTATAAATAAATTTTAGAAATGATATGACCAATATTTTTTTTTATTATTAGATAATTAATTAATTAGAATTGACATCAATCAATACCAGTCATAAAAAATTACAGTTAAAACCAGAAAAGAAAAGGCTGAGACACATTCAAATCTTCTTTGTTTAATGCCGTTTTACTTAAAATTTCCGAGATTTTAAAACTACACTTTTTTATGCATAACGTTCACTTATTTTATTGCAAAAACACCAACCTGAAAGAATTTTACTATAACTTCAAACCGCCAAAAAAAAGTGTCAATCTTTTTTGAGTTTAATGATGGAAATACGAATTTATGAGGCCATTACATTAAATCATTTATTACGGCAAAAAAAGTAAGACTTTATAAATAAATTTTAGAAATGATATGACCAATATTTTTTTTTATTATTAGATAATTAATTAATTAGAATTGAGAACAATCAATACCAGTCATAAAAAATTACAGTTAAAACAAGAAAAGAAAAGGCTGAGACACATTCAAATCTTCTTTGTTTAATGCCGTTTTACTTAAAATTTCCGAGATTTTAAAACTACACTTTTTTATGCATAACGTTCACTTATTTTATTGCAAAAACACCAACCTGAAAGAATTTTACTATAACTTCAAACCGCCAAAAAAAAGTGTCAATCTTTTTTGAGTTTGATGATGGAAATACGAATTTATGAGGCCATTACATTAAATCATTTATTACGGCAAAAAAAGTAAGACTTTATAAATAAATTTTAGAAATGATATGACCAATATTTTTTTTTATTATTAGATAATTAATTAATTAGAATTGAGAACAATCAATACCAGTCATAAAAAATTACAGTTAAAACAAGAAAAGAAAAGGCTGAGACACATTCAAATCTTCTTTGTTTAATGCCGTTTTACTTAAAATTTCCGAGATTTTAAAACTACACTTTTTTATGCATAACGTTCACTTATTTTATTGCAAAAACACCAACCTGAAAGAATTTTACTATAACTTCAAACCGCCAAAAAAAAGTGTCAATCTTTTTTGAGTTTGATGATGGAAATACGAATTTATGAGGCCATTACATTAAATCATTTATTACGGCAAAAAAAGTAAGACTTTATAAATAAATTTTAGAAATGATATGACCAATATATTTTTTTTATTATTAGATAATTAATTAATTAGAATTGACATCAATCAATACCAGTCATAAAAAATTACAGTTAAAACAAGAAAAGAAAAGGCTGAGACACATTCAAATCTTCTTTGTTTAATGCCGTTTTACTTAAAATTTCCGAGATTTTAAAACTACACTTTTTTATGCATAACGTTCACTTATTTTATTGCAAAAACACCAACCTGAAAGAATTTTACTATAACTTCAAACCGCCAAAAAAAAGTGTCAATCTTTTTTGAGTTTGATGATGGAAATACGAATTTATGAGGCCATTACATTAAATCATTTATTACGGCAAAAAAAGTAAGACTTTATAAATAAATTTTAGAAATGATATGACCAATATTTTTTTTTATTATTAGATAATTAATTAATTAGAATTGAGAACAATCAATACCAGTCATAAAAAATTACAGTTAAAACAAGAAAAGAAAAGGCTGAGACACATTCAAATCTTCTTTGTTTAATGCCGTTTTACTTAAAATTTCCGAGATTTTAAAACTACACTTTTTTATGCATAACGTTCACTTATTTTATTGCAAAAACACCAACCTGAAAGAATTTTACTATAACTTCAAACCGCCAAAAAAAAGTGTCAATCTTTTTTGAGTTTGATGATGGAAATACGAATTTATGAGGCCATTACATTAAATCATTTATTACGGCAAAAAAAGTAAGACTTTATAAATAAATTTTAGAAATGATATGACCAATATATTTTTTTTATTATTAGATAATTAATTAATTAGAATTGACATCAATCAATACCAGTCATAAAAAATTACAGTTAAAACCAGAAAAGAAAAGGCTGAGACACATTCAAATCTTCTTTGTTTAATGCCGTTTTACTTAAAATTTCCGAGATTTTAAAACTAGACTATTTTCATGCATAACGTTCATTTATTTTACTGCGAAAGCAACAGCGTGAAAAATTCTTACTATAAATTCAAACCGTCAAAAAAAAGTTCCTAACAAAACTCCAAATAATTACATTCTAAGCAAAGTACTGACCTGTTACTGACTTTCTTATATCTATGAACAGACTTTACATGGTCCATGTGTGCCAAGTTTCATTAAAATATCTACAGTGGTATTATTGACATTAAACAAAAATATTTTATTTTTGAAGGCCACAGGTTCATGTGAAGTTTTCTTTTTAAAGTGGACGCAAAAATCGCCACCTTCTTTATCGATATTGGCCTGTATAGTGGTTGCGAGTTGTATTTCTTTCGGTGTGTTTCCTATTTTAACAGTATCGTCGAAAATGTTGAAAATTATCGCCGTGTCGTCTAATAGACGCCCCGTTGCCATTGGAGTTTAGTTTGGAGTTGTACGCGGGTGTGGGGCGTCGCGACGCCGAAATATATAGCGTCAGTGCGTCTCCGGTTCGGTGAGAGTGACGTCGCTATTCTCCGTGTCGGAAAAACACGCGAGCGGCGCCCTTTTTTTGTAAATCGCCAGCTGAAAATGCTTATATGCGGCGAAGTCTGTCGCCGTTGGTCAATTCTGGACGTCCGTTTCGGGTGCTGACGAGAAGAGAACCATTTATCGGTGAGAAAAAAATAGCGGCAGCGTACGGAAGCTTTATAAAGTAAAAGCAATAATTAACTTTTTAACGATGAGTGTAAAGTACAACATCCGAAAACGTCTACCACTGTACCAGTTTGAACGAGAATACCAAAGAAAGACAACAAAAACAATTTAGAAGAATTATCTCGACACGAAAGCTTTTTTATATTTTTTATTTAACATTTGGGGAAAAAAAGGTCAAATACAGAAAATATTATTTACAAATAATGTCATTTTCTTTTGATTTTTTTTTAGTATGCCAATACACGTCTCGTACTTTGGCTTGTATTTTCACCATTTTTTCGAGAGGGACATCCTCCCCATGATACATTAAAAATTTCTCTAGCAGCTCAACTGAATGCTTGTAGAATGGTTGATGGTGGTCCCAGAGCAACTTCTTCATCTTCTTCTTCCTGTTGGTGCTCTTCCTCACCCTTTCTTGCTTGTTGTAATATGACTTCCTCTGTCAGATCTGCTGTCTTAATCAAATCCTGATCTGTCACCATAAAATCTTGCAACGTCTCACTTGCAAACGTAATTGTTGTTTTTAACTGCTGTATCCCCTCATCTTCCAAGTCCTGTTCGCATTCGGTCTCGATGATAAGTCCTGCATGACGATAAAAGTGTTGAATTGTTTCTGCTGTCACCTCTTTCTAAGCTTTACTAATAAAGTTGACTGCATCTAGCATAATAATGGAAAATTTGTTTTCGGACCCGATCATTTTCATTAAAATGTTTGCCTGTATCGACTCTTAAGACTTTTTATTACGCTCTGGTCTATCGGCTGTAATACACCTGTTGTTACAGCTGGAAGGAATGCCAGTTCAATATTCCGTAGACTTGGAATATGAGGATATACAAGGAGTTATCTAAGAGAAGTAATATTTTTTGCCTTGTAAGTGACCGGCAAATGCTTGATGTTCTTAAAACATCGTGGGTTAATTGATTTTACAATCACGACTAGCTTTCTTTATTCTCTACCACTCATATTGGCAGCTACTAACGCCGTTATACGTTTTTTAGCAAGTTTTCCACCCACACACTTTTCGCTTCGAAATTTAAGAGTTTAATCTGGCGTCATTTTGTAAAAAATACCAGTTTCGTCAGCATTAAAAATGTCGTCAGCAGGGTACTTTTCTGTTAGTTTTGGCCAATCGTCAGTGACGTTTCTATCGACAACAAGGACATCGCCACTTATCTGTCCATAATATATACCATGTCTCTGTTTGAACTTCCCGAACCATCCTTCCGAAGCCTTGAAATCGATAATGCCAAGCTGTTCAGCAAACTTTTCGGCATTTAGTTTTACGATAGGTCCAGAGACGTTGCTGTTGGAACCACTGCAACATTGCCCGATCCAAATCTTCAAATTTTGGATTTCCTAGTTTTTTACTAGAACTGCCTGCCGCTTGCTTCAGCCTGAATGATTTTTCCTTTGCACTTCCAAATCGTGGATACAGTCGACGGTGTAAGTCCGTATCGACGTTGCACGTCACTTTTCTTTTCTCCCCGTTCTCTCTCCCGAATTAAAGCAACTTTCGGCCTATATTCCGTACTTTGTTACCTGATGTGCCCTTTTTTCTTTCGGTATAGAGATTGAGAAATTCTTTATACAGAGTACATTAATACATAGCTTTGTATGGAGACCTATTAGTACAACAAATTTTGTTTGTTTCACAGCTAAAAATTGTGCCAATTTCTTGTATAATACGTCCTATACCCAAATCCAATGGTTTTTCAGATATACGTGCATTTAACATAAAAGCAACATTCAAAAATAAAATATTCTAGAAATTATAATTTTTATTTTAGTTCTTCACCAAAACGCAAAATATTTATAAATGGCAGTAACAGTTACAGGTTTAGCATATTATCATATAAATTTTGCATATTATTATATATAAAATGCCTTCCTTCTAAAGCGGCAGTAATAGCATATACGGTTTTTTAAAAATACGCCGCGTAAGGAATATGAAATAACATAACATCTGACAAGATAATTTATAAACGATTCCTACTTTAAAAAAACACTACCTGTTATGAATAAATTTTAACAAAATTGTCAGTTAGCAAATTAATAACTGTTTTTTATTGACGATTTACTTCACAGCCACCCGAGATATAAATTATAATTTCTAGAATATTATCTGGGTTTAATTGTTTTAATAGGACATGAAAAGTGCAGAATTTTGGTGGCGTTCCATTAAAAAATATATAACTTTTATCTGTGCGTGATTTCTGCAACACCCTGTATACATGTAAATAAAAAAAGTTGAAGCGGACGGACACTATAAATGATCACCTATTACATATACTGACACCTCCGTGCTCCGTTGTTTTCCAAGACACTTGTAATTTTTTTTTTTTTTGCAAAAATTGATACCATTTTTTTTTCTCGAAAATGAGCTTGCGAAAGCAGTGGAACGAGGAAACAAAATCTGTAAATAATTATTTGCTTTTTGGATGCACTTATTTATCATTCATATATTGTCAATTTCTATACCTAAATTTTCCTTTGCATTTTTCTGCACATCAAAGAAATGAGTGGAAAGGTTTAATCAATTTTCGATATAATTTACATAGTGCCTTCCAAAACTTTGCCATATATAAATCTTCCGTCCCAAGTTGAACCGTTCCCTTTTTCCGGGTCTTTAGAAATCCATTGTACATATCGGATGATTAATTAAGTTTAGCAAAAGAGGAAAGGTTCCCTTCCAAATTGGATTTACGTTCAGATGCGTCGTTTTTTTAGAAAGCCGCCCGAGAGATCCGCGGAAAAGACTCTTAGGAAACTCTTAAGTACTCTCGGGAAGGTTATTAATTTGTTTTAGGTCTCTGCTGAATTCAAGTCTTTTTTACTTACCACTTATCAAGTTTTAAAATCAATATACCAGGAATGTTGGAAAAATCTTTTTTTTTCGCTTTACCTGAAATCGAATTTATAACTATTGAGGAATAAAAAGAGGACTGTCCATTTCATTATCAAACATTTAGCTCACGTTTGTAACGGCCCTTATGCTCATTTATTCTGAAGAAAAAAAGACTGTCCCAATTCCATATGCCATAGTATTTCTTCTTCTTGAAACTCTCTTTGAAAGTTTTTCCACAGCCATTAGTTCTTGCAAATCTGCACCGCTATCTCGACGCATATAAAGACTGAAATGTAGACCCCTTTTTGCCTTTGCCTTGCGGCTTCATTGTAATTTTATATACCGGGTGACGCAAGAAAGTGCGAACACCCTATAAATTTTAAACGGCTTGAGAAAGCGATTTGAAATTTGGAAGGGTTAATATGGATTAATTTTTTGACAATATGTAGTCGGTTTGAGCGGAAATGACAGTAACTTTCGAATTTTAATTGGCACTACCTATATTTTTTTGTATTTTTGGATTCAGATCATTTTACGTAGGACAGGATGGTTTTTCTCTTATTTTTAACGCGCAACATAGAGATTGGATTGGCGAGAATGGTAAATACGCCCGGCCTCCAAGGAGGCCCGACTTAACTCCCCTAGATTTTTTTCTACACTTAAAGAGTTAGCTTACAAACACAAACCGTCAACTGTCTAGGATATTTAAATGAGACCCTTTATTTGTATTGCTCAATGTAGAGGACATATTGAACAACTGTTATAATAATTATTATTCTTTGTAAGTTATTAATTTTTTATTCATCGTTTTGTTAATAAAATATTCACCAACGTTATCGCGTATCCTTGGTCGTAGTCTGTATAAATGATACATACGTAATCTTTGAAATAATAAATACTTTTTGAAATATTTCATTTCAGATTTTCTGCCAATAATCGACACACCCTGACCTCGTGTGATCTCTCCAGGGCCTTCGACTGTGTTTCTCACCAGCTTCTTATTAAAAAGCTATATATATATATATATATATATATATATATATATATATATATATATATATATATATATATATATATATATATATATATATATATATATATATACCAGAATGACCGTTCATCACTTGAATCAGTAGTAAGCGGCGTGCCCCAGGGTTCCGTCCTGGGCCCGCTACTATTTACAATCTACATAAATGACCTTTATCATTTCTTGGCCCCCAATCACTGAGTGATGTTTGCCGACGATACATCCTTCACTCTGCTAAGAGTGTCGAGGAGTTGTCCGTTAGGGTTGGCATGCTGGAGGACAGGGCTAAGGTCTGGTTCGAAAATAATTATCTTAAATTAAATTTAGACAAGACCCAGAGTATTGTGTTTTCCTCCAATTGCTTGGTAAATGGTGGACAGTCCGTCAAGTTGCTTGGCATTAGGATCGATGATGGTCTAAATTGGAAGCAACATATCTCAGACCTGAAAAATAGATTGTCCAGCAACATATTCGTTCTTCGACGACTGAGAGGCCTGATAGGAGCAAGGACTCTGCTTATGGTCTATTTTTATTTGTTGCATTCGCACTTATGCTATGGCAGCTGCTGTGGAGATTTTTAGAATGCAGAAAAGGGCCATTCGAGTCGTTACTAATATAGGATATAGGGACCATTGTCAACCTTATTTTAAAAAATTTAAAGTGATGCCCCTTCCTTGCATCTATATCTACTACCAGTTATTAGAGATACAAAGAACGAAGGGAAACTTTAGTGCTAATTCCAATTGCCATGCCTATCCAACTCGTTCGGGGGATCTCCTTAGACGGCCTAGGTTTAGACTGAGGAAGTCTGAGAGCAACTCGTTGAACCTGAAGTTGTATAATGTTTTGCCAGGTACCGTGAAAAAGATGAGCAATAGAAAATTTAAATATACTATTGTTAGATTACGTTCGAATATTTAAATATTGGCGCGATCTATCGATTTCGGATGCGTCGGGAAATCTTCGGGTCTATTCGCGCGCGTGAGCCGGGACGCCGCAGAGGGTGGCGACGGGCATCAGTTTGATGCCCTGCTCTGGCATGCACCGCTCGACATTGACGCCAAGATCGGAAAAGTCGTCTTTAA